TCCAACTGTTGGATATATATCAGTTGTATTGACTACCATCCATAGGAGTGCTAGAAGAAGTACATTCTATCTGGATGCTTTATCCCTGATCTAAATAAGCCAAAGGGTGTCGACTTGTTACTGTTTCTAGGCTTATACCACCTTGCAGCTGTTCAGTGTAAAGGTCTCTCTGTCTGGGTGCATCAAAAAATCATATGTTCAAACCAATTCCCCTCCTTGCACTGGCAACTGCAGATAATCCAAGTGTGGTTTATCTGAATGGACTTGTAGATTCACATAGAATCAATGGCTGAGGTCTATACTGTGGTACGAGAGGGCATCATACACTAGGCGCTGGTGGGCATCATTATTCTATGCTTCTTAAGCCAAACAACTACGGTCAAGCTGGTTCTAACCATCCTGATATTGATGTCGAGAATTTTCCTCCAGCATCTTCAGGACACTATCTCTAAAACCTTAAGCACCTAATAGAATCATGCACCCAAACTCAGTATGAGCAGCTCTGTCTCCAAACAGGTATCTCAAAACCCGCTATCTTTCTTGGTATACAACCCAACAACATCCTTGGTATTCCTGGATGTTTTGGGTCTAATATCATACATGTTTCTACAATTAACATTGCTGATAAACTTATTCCAATGTGGCATGGCTCATTTCACTGTGAACCTACTAATAACAAAGAGATATGGGCCATTCTCAAGGGTCAGTAATACAACTCCTTACCCTCCTGGATCATTTAATAATCCCCTGCCGTGTTAATTCACTCCATTTCATGCGACCATGGGCACATTCACTTGGACAACATATTGTACTCAAGACCATCACAAAGGGTCCTCTAATCTGCTTCTCACAATGAACTATGGAGTGGACAAGCTTCATATCAATGACTGAGGGAGTACCCACAGTGGAATGCGGTAGACATTGTATTTGTTTCTCTTTATTGTGTTTCACTAGGTATGGACTTGTTTTATTGTATATCCTTCCATAGTATAATACCTATCAATATTTACCAATGTGATTAAACTACAAACATAGAAATAGCTCACAATTGAATGAGTTTTAATGTATAAACACTTCTCATTCAACAAGATTGTGAAAGTTTCATTTTCCATGGTACACGTCTATGTAGGTCGAAACATTGATATACTTCAATTGCTATCAACCCTTTTCAATGCACATCCACCTCTACCTTTTTTTTTTTTTTTTCTTTCACTGAGCCTCAGCATGGGGCATGGGTCTAACATTCTGTAAATGGCTGTACATTACTTAATAACCCATCGTTCTCTGAGCAAGAGGAGAATCATTGTATATAGATACCATCTAATCAATAGTGGCCTCCAGACCTTGCAGCTGTGTTTTGCTAGCGTGATTCTTGATGACTCAATGCTGAGAAACTGGTTGCGCTGCTCTGGTGTTAATTTTTTAAGGTTACTGCATGTAGGTGCCTTGTATGACACATGCCAAGGGTTCATATTAATATGTCTATGCATTGTACCATCAGAATTGAACTTGAGACCTGAATCATGGTGGTAAGCCAAAGCTCTCCTCAGGGTTAAAAATTTAAAAGCTTGCTTTTTGTCTGCATGATCTAATGCCCCAGCTGGACCTTGGCAGCAACTCCACCCTCCAATATTGCTTGTTTGAATGTCCATGTGCTTATACAACAACTTCCAAGAGGTATGTGAAGGGCTTTGTCATGAGTACCTTTAACAAACCACTATTCTTTCTTGAATCTTCCTAAGCGCCAATACACAGCGCCTAAGACAAACCCTAATCCAACCCCGAAAGCGTCTACCAGTTCAGAAATACCTTTAGCGCCCACGACACGTGTCTTCGATGTGACTGATGAAGAAGACGAGTTCTTTGATTGTGATTAGATTAGATTAGATACGGATAAGATAAGATATGGTCACGTGATACTTCTTTAATATTCTACGATGTTCCATGGTACGATTCCCTTTCTCTTTTTATGATTGGCTAGTAGTTTGTGACTCAGTTTCAATCTCCGTCTCAATAGTTGTATATAGTTAGCACGTCTTGGTAGATAGTTCTCTAGTTCAAACCTCTTGTATCTACACTGTAGCAATCCAAGACGTACTTGCTCATCGTTCTCCTCTGTCCGATAACCTTTGTTTGAGTCCTAGTCTCTGCCCAGCGTTAATTCGTTATTGGGTTGTGACAGGCTTTTAGCATGGCCTGAATTATAGGACCCATTGAATTAATGTCATTCATCTACCTGAACCTGTCAATGATCTGGTTATGATGTTGTGCTGTCTCATTTACTCACTATGACTTGTGTGTCATATAATAGACTGTAGGTTAGGCTACTGAATAATTGCGGAAACAAATTTTAGCTGTAAGATTTTGCACCTTCCCACTTAGTTGAATGAAACACCATATATCCAAATAATATATACAAACAGCTGTAAATAGGCATATTCACTGATGCTACTTATGTCTAAAAAAACAGAACCTTGTGTAATGTTTGGTTTGATTCAGTCATGTCTCATACTCTGTAGCCAATGGCCTCACAGATACTTCCTGTAATGGAAGATAGTACCTAGTGTATTCTGGGAATATTGCATGTGAGAATAACCCCATTTCCTGTACTGGAGAGAGGCTTCCAGGCTGTATGGTCTGATGGAGCAGAAAGCAAAGCTGCCTTACGCTGACCTACTAACAGACCCCATCTTGTAAAAGAAAGGGAGACTTAGATTGCTCTTGAATGTCTGTTATATATTTGTGACCATGCTTGGTGAACAGTAGGATTCTCAGTTTAACTAGAATACCTTGACTCTCTTGTAGATCTTCTGCTAGACCTAGCCAGGCACTACAATGTGATGCAAGGGTGGCTTCACTATGTGATGTCCTACACATATTTTTCGCTGAGTTCCATATTGAACCTTTCCTCCATCAATGTCTCTAGGTTAGCCTATGTGCCACAACTGACTTTTGCAACCTCTATAGATGTCATTCTGGTGTTGTTTTCATGGTGAAACCAGTATGTCGAAATGCAAACACAGTACTTTCATGGTAAAAGCAGCTGGGAACAAGGAGAGTTTCTAATATATATTTCAATGGTCTGCAAAGAAAATTAGTTGACATTAGTTTAGATGCACAAGGGACTTACTATGGGTCCTGGTGTTCTGCACTCAAAAGTGAATTTAAATGTTTTCATCCCTATGGACAACTCAAGCTTGATTGTGTCATGGGCTGCCATAGTGTGAGTAGTAAGTACAAGCTGTAACACAGGGCTTGGACACATTTTTCAAAAACTTACTTGCTTTAAGCACTACCTAAACAGTCATCAAAACATTGAATTTGTAACACTGATTAGTGGTGAAATAGCAAGTGTTTGAAGAAAATAAACAGGCTCCGAATAGACATTTTGACGAAGTTGGAAAAGGGTCTGTTTAATGTGTTGCTTCAGACCAAGCGAGCAAAATTTGCAACATGTCAGATTTATGTCTGATTACAAGCTAGGTACATTTAGAGTGGTGTTACACACACTGTCTCCCTCTGACTAGACCCTGGCTAATTTCTCATTTCCACAGTGACTCCTATTATGGCCATATGTTGGACTGTAGTAAGGCAAATTGCTGGTGTGGTCAGATGGGTCTGAAAAAGTGGGCTGAAGCCAAATGTTAGCCATGTATAGCATTTTCAGGACTGCTACCACTTGCAATAGCTGTACATTTAAGAAGGAAGTAAACCACATAGATTGAACCTGTAGCTTGAGGGCTTGAAAAAAAAAATTACTTTTTATTCAGTTGATCAGGAAAAAATACAATTTTTGGGGATCAAACACATGAACAAGCAGAAGCCATAACAGTAAAAGATAGCAGATCTTCTAAATATACCAGTGAACTTTATGAGTGCCCTTTTAAAGAAGCAAAGCTAACAAACCCTCAAACATTCACACAACTTGACTTTATTTTTTAAGGAACACACAATGTTTGTTGGTTCAAACCATGATAAGATTACTTTCTGCGGAAAATCTTATGCTCCAAGTTGCAACAGGCAAAAGAGCCTCAATGATTCTCCCTTTACTTCTAAATATAAAACAACTATTACCATCATATCTTTGAAACTGCTGCAGCATGACCATGTACTGCAAATATACAATTTTATCAAGCTAAAATATCAAATTTGTCCTTTTAAATCACAGGTTCAGGAGTTTGTTATGCTGGAGCAGTTTTTCCCTGAAGGTGGACACATTCCCACAGAAGTACTGCTGCAAATCCTAGTTAGCATTCCAGTTGCCTTCATCTGGGTGATTTGTTGGTAGGCAATACTCCACTGATAATCAACTTGCTGAATCTTTAGAGGGATATGATAGGTACCTTTACTAATTATGTGAGGCCCATCAAATCACACTTCTCTTAGATTTATTGTGTTCTGGGGTATGTTGGAGATATCATCAATTACAGGGGGCTTATTCATGCATGTTATTCTATGTTACTCTGGAAAAACATCTCTAATCTAAAAAAAATTGCAATTATTGCCCAAAATAGTGTACAATACCCTCATGTAAGACATTTTTATCCAGGAAAGGGGGACTTGAAGGCTGCTGGCTTTATAACTAGAGGGAAGATCAGAAACATTACAGTATAAGTGTGAGTGTGAAATTTCTGGATCATTGTGACCATCAACCCTGAAGCTTACTCCTAGAACATAATTAGTGACATGAACTAGTTGGTGTTACAGCAGGCTATTCATTTTCCCTATCTTTGCCTCATACTAGACACATGTCTCTACTTCTTGATCACTGTCTTACTTCTAGCGCAACTCATGTAGCACATGAGGACTCCATGAGAACCCCTATCTTTTCCCCTCTACCCTATTTCCTTTCTTGTACTTACTAGAACACTCTTCCCTTGGTCCGTGTACTTTTCTTTTATATATATAAACTCTAGTTACTTGACCTGTATTCCTTAACTTGATCCTCTGAACAGGCCTGCGGGTGCCTATTGAACCTCGATCTCGCTAGAGTTCTATCTCTAGTTGACCCTCTTGATTCTGTACTCTTGATCCTCTTTATTGAGGCAGTTACAGTAGACTTCATCCGAGTTGTAACAGTTGTATGATAAAGGATAGTGATTTTTTTTAAGCCGGAGCATACTTTCGACAAAAAGCTCAATCAGGTAATTCATTTGCTCTAGGGATGACTTATCAGGTCCAGAAATGACCATAAGAAGGATGGTCTCTTCTGCGAGATATTGAATCTCACACAGATTGTTGCAAATGACAGTATAGAAAGCTACAGTTGAGTGGTAGCCAGATTTGCCTTTGACAATTTGAAACCTGGTGTAAGAATAAGTAACACAAATATTAGAAGAGTAGCAAAATATACACCAGTTTATGTTGATTTGCCAAACTAAACCACAGGGTAGAGCTGATGTCTGGTAGCCTATTTGAGCCATTTGAAGTTTTTGTCTGCTACCATCTGGGTTGTATTTGCAGTTGAAGCTCTTGCAGGTGCACAAGACATAGGATTGCAAAGGCATTGCAGGAGGGACTCAGACTACTAGTTGGCGGGAGCTAAATGATAACAACAACTCAGATATTGAGTTGTCAATGGTGTGTACATTGCTGTATAATCTATAAGTCTCATGTTGATATCTGATGATGAATGACTGGTGGGTATAAGTCCTAAGATTCTTGCTTCAGATTATCATCAAATTCTCTTATAATCCCACTGTTACAGACTTGGATAGTATCTGTTGGCAATGCTCAAACAGAGTGTGTGTTGTCAATAGTTGAGGACATCCTTGGGCTTGCCCAAGGTTAGGGGGTCTTGCTTGGTGAGGCTTCAGCAAGCAAGATTTAATGCCTATGTCTAAATCAGGTAGCTTATGTCAAGTGGGGCTCAATGATAAGTGTATCTGCCAAGGTTTATGATATCTGAAGGTTAATTGTAAGATCTGCATTAATAAAAGGATAGAAGTCCGACTAGCTAACAGGGGTTCTGCTCAGTGATGAAGTTGATGAGTAGAAATTGAGACTAAAGACTTATCCATGATGAGCAGATAAGAAAGTAGAATATAGACAGCTGGCTAGGCTGAAGGAATCACTCTGGTGAGAGTAGGAGGTCAAGAACCAAGTAGATTTAAGTTAGAGAACTAGATACATGACAGCAAGTTTATATAGAGGGAAAGATGTATATTAGTGGGTGATAACTCATACTGTCAGAAAAGGAAATGGTCAAAGGGTAATACTAGAAAAGGAAGGCACACATTTAAGGTGAGTCATCAATGAACTAAAACATGCAGCTGCAAAACAAGTCAAATAACAAAAAGAGGAAGTGAAACAAGCAGGGGCACAATCATGCAACTGCGGATCTAAGTATAAGTACATTGTGTGACTGCACACTGAGTCATAGAACAAGAAACAGAAACAGGACAAGGGGATGTAGCATGTATTATATTATAGGTTACTGTCCAGATGGTAAGGGTTAAGGGGACTGTTTACAGGATCAGTCAGTGGGTGAAACAGAGCATGGATATGCTTCATCCAAGAAAGGGTCTGGCCAGATGTACTGGCTTTGCTGGAGTGAAAGGTGGAGAGTGAATGGGAATGCAAAAATGACAAGGATGACAAAAATAAGGTTGGGGTAAGGGTATGATGTGAGGGCTGAGACAAGTAGGATGAGGAGAAAAATAATAGGGGCCTAAGCATCTAGATGTTCTTGTAACACTTACCAGTAACTATTTTGTGTCAAAGTCTGGTGTGGTGAGATACATGTTAATTGTTGATTATTTAATATAAGTTTTAAGCTAGCACTGACTATTTGAAATGCCACTCATTTCAATGCCATACAACACCTCACCACATACCTGCTGTTCTGTAACACTCACAATGCCAAGTACTGGTGGTGTTTCTATGTACACGAAGAAATGGGCAGACAAAGAAAGCTTGCCTCCACCCTCTAGTCAAACAATGATGGACAATTTACTCGGAGATGAAGACAAGGAAGGACACTCCTCTTATGAGTCTTTTAAAGGTTCATGAATGCATGCATACTTACCATATCTTAATAGTGTCAAACCATTTACACAAAGACATTGTGTTGAGGTGGATTAATTCTTAATTATACACATAGTGTTAGAAATCTTTCCACCTGCTCCATCCTTACTCCCCACTCCCCTCTGTAATAATACACATCACTTGTTCACATGGAGTCACACATGTTCCCAATCAGTCTAAGCCATTAGGCAGTAAAACATTCCATCAGGCAATCATGGTACACCCTACTAATGTTTGGTTCTTCATCCAATCTGAACTCCTATACCTCTCTGCTCTCGCCACTAAATACACGACTCTATTTTTTCAATGGTTAGCCACACTTATGAAGCCATCTTCTATGACTTGCACCTCCACATCAGGAAATCCATGAACTCAGAGATGTGCATAGGAAACATGGAGTCCAAACCTTAGCAAAAGCAGCTTGCTGAAAAAATAGTAATATCCTTCATAGAGCTCAACATTCTGGCTTATCTTGGGATTCAACTTGAACAAATTGTGATAAATTTATTGAGAACCTCAAACATGATGAGGAGGGAGGGGAGTTGGGTGAATGTCATGGTGACTAATATGACATTAAGAAAACCAGATGCTATGAGTCATTTTCCCACCTATCTCAACTGAACAGAAAGGTATGTCTGGTACAACACACTAGCCTGAGAATAAGCATGTTTATGAAGTATAATGAAGCCAACATGAAATCAACTGCATTGAGCTCTTGTCAGAAGTGAAAAATTCCTTATAGCATTACCTAAATGTCCATCACCTGCTAAGTGTTATCAGAGGCTTATTCCAGTTCAGACAGTCTGCTACTCCATCTGTACTGCAGTATGAAACCTTTGAAATGAAGTGGGCAATGTGTTCTATAAGTGAGTTTAGTGACCTATGCCGCTATACTTGCAAGGCAAGTGTGTTTGATCCTATAGGGGTAGATGTTTGGTATTAGTTTAGATAGTTAGTTATCAATAAAAGAAAGATAGTCTGAAGGTGTATACTACTTGTCCAAAGTGAAACTGTCAAGTCCAAAAATATCGGAGTCAGGTCAGGCATCAGACTATGCATCAGACTGTCGGAAATGAGTCGGACAGTAAAGGAATATGTTGGAAGTGTGTTGGAATGTCAGTCAAATGAATATTGGATGTTGCAGAGTAAAAGAGTAGATAGATATTTCACAATATAATAAAGTACTACTAATATCCAATGACTTCCATCCTACTATTGAGTAGGGAAAAATAAGTAATGTATAGGTAGGAAGTACTAAATATTATATAGTGTCTATGTAGAATTTTAGAGTGCATTAGGCAAAAACAGTAGTATAAAATTGGGTCTAAATATATGTAAAAGAGCATAAGTATTGTACCTTTTGTAGATAACATATAATAACACTATCTGTAATATTCAATAATGCGAAAATGAGTAAACACACTGTAGAGCCTCGCATCTCCACAGGCACTTCCCACGAATTCTCCCACATTCCCTACACACTCCAGCTCTAATCCCAAGGATATGTCTTGTGCAGTAGTGCTTCATATATTTTACTTTGCAGATTCTGTGCGCAGCCACTTGCACTTCGTGCGCACTGCGCATATGCATTAGCATCGTCTGCATGCCCGTCCATCTGTCCTCCCCATGTCCTTAGATGTCCATTGGTGCATTTTCTCACTATATTCCCATTTTAACTAATTGTTTCCGTCGCTAATTCTCGGCCTAGTGCTACGTGCGCAGCTGAGACCCTATTACCTATCACACGTACTATATTTAACTTACTCGGCTTGATACATTGGACCTGTGTGCCTAGCGGCACTTAGCCATCTTTACATATACTATCTCTTTACTCCATTTTCTGGGTCAATTTTTCACCCACTTTCTCTGTGTCTCTAGATATGAAGAATTTTACTCATTGTTTGCAAGTGACTATCTAAAGTCGTGTGCTTCGGTTCTCGGTCTCCGCCTTAGCATCAGCCAACCATAGTTGGGGTGTTAACACTAGTCTTGCCTCGTCTTTCTCTCTCTTCTCTTGCTCACTTGTCTCTCGCCTTCACTCACTCGCGCTACCTTCGCGTCGCACACCTTGACCTTCGCCTTTTGCACTCGTGCGCCATCGTGCACATTCACCTTCCATAAATTGCATTGTTTCTGCTTCACGCATTACTTAGCCCTAGTACTTCATTAGTTGTTTGGTGTCCCTCTTTTTACAAAGAGAGGTTTCCTTTACTCAGTTAGCTGCCCTTGGAACGACAATTTCACTCACGCCCGGGTCTATCTGTGTTTGCTTAGCTTAGCACCAACTTACCCCACAGTTTAGATTCCTCATCTTCAATGCACCAGTGGAGATAGATATGACTGGACATGATATAGGAAGGACAAGTCCGATACGAAAATGTTGGGTCGGGGTTGGACATCGGCATCAGGTTTGAAATGTTGGGGATGCATTGGACAAAGACTGTTTGACATGAGTATCAGAAACACAGGCTTTGAGCCCAGTGCCATGACTTTTTACAATGGTATATGACAGATGGTATGCTTACAGTGTACTACAGTGCTCTCAAAGTAGTATATAAGACCTGTAACAATTCCCTGTAGTCTTCAGTCTAATAATTACATTCCAATTACATTTCAATTACCTGTTCACAACTATTTTCTTCACTTATATTGAGCTTCTTGCACTCAAGCTCCACCTTATGAACCTCCATCTCAGACCTAGGAATCATTCCCTAGGCCAAACCCTTGATCTTCCAAACCTCTGTCTTAGGCCTAGGGATGAGTTCTCTAAGCCAAAACCTTGCTCCTCCATTCCTCTGCTCCTCCGACATTTCCATGTCTTTGGATCCACTGGATCTATATTCCTACACCCATAATCCTCCTGTCCTGCTCTGGACTTTGTCCCAGCAGTCATTCCTCCCTCCATATCTACTCAAGACTTGTTCTGAGTAGTATGCACACATTCTGTAGTGTTCCTAAAAAGTCTTTATTTTTATAAGGCGTCATACTTACAATTACTCACTCATTTTCTTATTGTTTCTGTTCCTACAGTATATAAGGAGTCCTTTATCTACTGTTAGGGCAGTTGATCATTTCCACCCCCAAATATATTTTAGTTCGGACTGCTCTATCTGTCTGAAATAAGTCTATTCTACAAAAATCAACTCTACTGTGTGTAATGTTCTCTTGAGTATCACATATTTTGAACAGCCTAAAATCTAAATACCCTTCTCCCCACTACGGTCACCGTCAACGAGGCTTGATCACCCTCATACATCGACGACCATACTTTACAAACTCTCTTCCCTCTTTTAAACCCTAAAAACCCTAAAAATCAGTTATGTCCAACAACTACTGATAATGTGCCTGATACTTTTATGCTGAGCTCTCCAGCTGTAGTGAGCAGGTTGAGCGTGGATGCGGGCACTCTCAACCTAGGTGTCGAAAGCGCATGGACTTGTGGCGCAGCCACCACTAGAGTTAGATGATCTGCTAGTATTAGGGTGGAAGCCCCTTCTAGTGATCAGATGTCCTCAGATTCATAGTCAGGAGCCCTGGGGGCTCCCTTGAACACCAGAATCCTGCCCAACAGAGGTGAAAAGGACAAGCCTATCCTCAAGGAGGATGATGGCAAGGGGTCCACTATGATGAGCATAAGCCCGATTCTCAGCAGTGTTAGTGGATTACAGACATCCCACTTTAGAATATGTACCGACAGATACCAAGATGTAACTCACGACAATCGGGATACCTCATGACAATCTGAAAATATTAGTTGGTTTGACATGCCTAACAATAGAGATATTGGTGATGTACCTGAATTCCCCGTACTGAGACCAACCATCCAAACAACCTCAACACCACGTGAATCTATCAGAAAGGATCGTGAAGAAAATAAGAACTCGCCCAAAGTAGACAATCTGTTTGATCTCTGGACTGAAATAGATGAGCACGTAACTTGCCTGAGTAAGCCTGATGCAATAGATTCTGATGAATCCCTTAAGAAGCTCTGGAATAATGATTACTGGAGAGAATCTATCCAAGAACAAAACCTTGCTTTGCAAAGATATCGCAACCTGGCCTGTGTCAAGTATGCTGAACAGAAACATCTGGTAGAAAGCCTGAAAGAGCAAATTAGAGCACTACGAGATCAAGTAACAAATAGCAAGGCATGTGAAGATGAGGCTCGAGAACAGATCTCAAAAACCTGTTGCACACCTCCTGCTATAGATAAGGAAAATAGTGGCCCACCCAGATACCCTCAGCGACACAATCTTACTAATGATACCTGCTATCAAAGGGCATCATCTGTACTCCCTGCCGGGAGTTCAGTCAAGCGTGCCATGACCAGCACTAAACCCAGCAATGATAATCCTAGTGACCTGGACTCATCAGACATTGACAACCATTTGTCAACTGAATCCGATGATGGGCAAAGCCTAAGACCAAAATGTCAGCAACCAAAACCTCCTTGCAAAAAGACTTCTACCTACTGAGACTGAGGAAGAACTAGTGAACCAGATGATGACTTTGGAGCAGATTTCATGGCGATGGAACCAGAATCTGATCATGACAGCGATTTGGATGATACCAAGGGGCAGAAGCGGCATGCTAGACGCAAATATTGTGGTAAACTTAATCTATTGAAGTATCAGCAAGGATTTATCAAGAATGAGCCCCCTTTACCTACAATGGCGATGCAAACATGACCACATTTAAGAAGTGGGTTCGTGAAGTTAGAGACTGGAAGGATAGGGCTAAACTGTCCCAGGGCCAAAGTATCAAAATGCTAGGCAAATACCTCGGTGGTCAGGCATATTGGTTTTATGAGCAAGATATCCTAGACCTACGAAAGAGCTATTCTCTCACCAAGTTCTTTGAGCAACTCTTCGACTATGTGTTTCCCTCTGATTTCCGAATGCTGCAATGACAAAGATTCCTAGAGTGTAAGTAAGACCCCAAGCTAAGTGTCCGAGATTACCTTCAGAAGTTGCGCAACATCGCCAACACTATTGGTGATGTCGATGAGTGTGAAATGGTCCGACAATTCTGGATGCATTGTCAGCCGTACATCAGGGCATCATTAGTGGATAAGGGCTATGAACCAAACACTGTGAGCCTAGAGACAATTGAGCTAAAAGTGTTATGGATCAAACACGCTTACCTCAAGAATGCCAAAGACCTAAACATTCTCCTAGCCCTAAATCCTACTTTAGTGATGAGTTATGCATCCCAACCAAACCCTGCCCGAAGGAGGAACTCAAGACCATTCCAATCATTGAACTGACCTAGAATGGACTCCATCTCAGTAAATGCTATATCAGAGTCTTCGATGTGGAGTCATAAGAATAATAAGAACCACCAAAGGTCCTCCCACCAGGATACCAAACAGCAGCCCCCACAAAAGAAGAACCCTGAGTAGGTAAAATGACTGCATGAGCTGAACCAATGTTTTGAGTGTAAATAAACAGGTCACCTCACAAAGGACTGCCCTAAGCAGCATTGCCTACCATTTAAACCTGGGACTACCATCACTAGCATTGGAGCTCATGCTGTTGGGGTAACGTCTGCCGACATTCTTAATGCGGCTATAGAAGAGGGAGTTACCAACAGCCTCAGTTGGATTAGACACTGGAATAGAACTCACCATAAGTGAAACACTGTCTATAGTTACAGATACCCTTACGAAGCTGAGGAAGGTTGTGCCATTCCCAACAGATGAGATCTTTGACCCACTATATTATCCTACTGCAGTTGATCGGTTCAGCCTCTCGATCCATGGAGGTCCTAACACTTACCTGCTTTCAGACAAGCACAATTACGACGACTACATTATTTACCTCAATCAAATAGCCGATCCTGCCTTTGACATCGTGTCCTCGTTAATTGACAACAAGCTGCACAATTATGATAACTTGATACTCACCAAGGCATCCTTTAAACCCTCCTGGGTGACAGGCACCAGTGACATACTATCACAGAGAACAGACACTCAAACTGCAGGCGTTGTTGCCTTCTGGTTTGGTAAATTCAATTCAGTGCAGCAAAACTACCCAGTACATGAGCAGGAACTGTTAACTATAGTTGAGTCACTGAAACAATTCCGACACTTACTTGTTGGGCTTTGTTTCCAGATATACAGACCACAAGGGATTGGAGTGGATTTCTACACAGTCCCATCTCTCACCTAGGCAAGCACGCTGGTTAGAGGCTCTCAGTGAGTTTGATTTCGAAATCAAGTACGTACTGGGTAAGGACAATGTCCTAGTGGATGCCCTGTCCAGGATGTATAGCAATGAACCTAAAGGAATGGTCAGGGAAGCGAGCGAGTATGTTAGTGTGGAAGAAGATGACATACCTAACACTCTACTTCTTCACTTCATCACTGCTCCAGTGTATATGGGGCTACTATTGTTCCTCAGTGTGATTAAAAATTGGTGAGAATAGCGCGCCAAAGAATCGGCAAGCACCAGGTGCCAAACTCTGAGCCTGGCGAGCACTCGGATACGCCTCGTGACCAGCTTAATTTTGTGGAAAGAAGGGATAAATCAGCTGGCAAGATATCCCAAGACCATGCACCTTCAGTCAAGGTCAAGAGAGTGCTGCCCAGACAGGTCCAAGAAGCAAAGAACCATCAGACTTATCCACTCAGAACCCAGGCAAAGAAGCACCGGAGATGTCCGGTCAAGAACTTCAGACGTCTGATGACATCACAGCAAAGAACCTAGGCCCAGAAGCATCAGAACAGGGCACACTGACCAATTCAGACTCAGCTGAAGCAGCTGTGAACAACATTCTCAGTAAATCCCCACTGTCTCTCACAACAGTTATTGCACTTGGCGACCTGTCAGTAGACATACATGAGAAAATTGCTGGGAGGTATAATGAGGACGAGTTCTTCTCCAAAATTCTGAGTCAATTGATGGCCTTCAAGAATTTTGAGTTAAGTAATAACCACATCTTCATTAAGACCAGTAATCAGCACGCACTATGCATACCAGACATTCTTATTGGTAACCGCTGCATTTGAGAGGTACTCATCTCACATGCGCACTCGATACTAGCCCACTTAGAGCCGTTGAAAACCCTCACATACCTATGCGAAAATGTCTGGTGGAAAGACATGGTGAGTGATGTCAAAGCTTTTTGTGAGTCTTGCCCAACGTGTTACGAACTTGGATAGTGTCTGTTGGTACGCTCAAACAGAGTGTGTGTCGTCAATGGTCAAGGATGTCCCTGGGCTAACCCAAGGTTAGGGGTCTTGCTTGGTGAGGCTTCAGCAAGCAAGATTTAATGCCTATGTCCAAATTGGGTAGCTTATGTCAAGTGGGGCTTGACGATAAGCATATCTGCCAAGGCTTACGACACCCAAAGGTTAATCATAAGATCTGCGTTAATAGAAGGACAGAAGTCCGACTAATAACAGGGGCTTTGCTCATCGACTTCGTCGATGAGTAAAGATTGAGACTAAAGACTTATCCATAATGAGCAGATAAGAAAGTAGAATATAGACAACTGGCTAGACTGAAGGAAACACTCTTGTTAGGAGTAGGAGGTCAAGAACCAAGTATATTCAAGTTAAGGAACTAGATACATGGTGGCGAGTTTATATAGAGGAGAGGAAGCATATTAGTGGATGATAACTTGTACTACTGGAAGAGGAACTGGTCAAAGGGTGATACTAGAAAAGAAAGGCACATTTGAGGTGAGTCATAGGCAAACCGGAACGTGCAGATAAGAAATGAGTCAGAGAACAAAAACAGGAAGTAAAACAAGCAGGGGCACGATCATGCAACTGCAGAACTAAGTATAAGTACAATGTGTGACTGCACACCAAGTTATAGATCAGGAAAGGGAACAGGACAAAGTGGATGCAGTGTGCATCGTATCATAGGTTACCATCTGGACAGTAAGGGTAAAGGGGACTGTCCACAGGATCAGTCACCAGGTGAAACAGAGCATGGGTATGCTTCATCAGAGAAAGGGTCCGGCCAGATATACTGGCTCTGCTGAAGCAACAGGTAGACGAGGAGGATAAGGAGAAAAATGGTATGGGCCCAAGCATCTAGATGTTCTTGTAACACAACATGTCAGACATCTAAGCCTCCCAATGACCATCTGTATGGGTTGTTAGAGCCACTCGAGGTACCCACAAGATCTTGGGAGATGGTAGGTATTGACCTCATTGGACCCCTTCCTGAATCCAAGATCCTTAATGGCACATTTGATATGATCCTGGTGGCCATAGACCACCTAACAGCCATGGTACATTTAGCCCCCACTAAGCAGACCGGGCTTGCGACATAGCTGAAGTAATGTTCAACCTCATTTACGAACTGCATGGAATGCCAGCTCATATCGTGAGCAACCGAGACTCTCTATTTACCAGCATCTTTTGGTAGAGACTCAATGAATTAACTGGCATCAAGCTGCATATGTCTACATCATTTCACCCCCCAGCCAATGGTGTTACCGAATGCGCTAACCGGACTATCACGCAGATGCTCAGGCAATGCATGTTTCCAAACCAAAGGTACTGGTCTATTAGACTCCCAGCCATTGAATTCGTAATTAATTTGGCCAGCCCTGCAACCAGACAATCCCCGCCATTCAAACTCGTATATGGTATGATGCCACCCTCCATGATTTGAAACACCAAGTGCGAATACCCCAGAGTCCACATTTTCGCCCAGTGAATGAAGGACTCCACAATGGCTGCCCATGATGCGATAATTGCAGCCCGCTGAAGGTGAATCAACTCAGCTCTAGGTCAAATGGCAAATGCAAGGGAGGGACACAAGAAGCTGATATAGTGATCAGTGTGATGCCTAGTCTGCTATGCTTGCAGGGACAAGCACATTCAATTCAAGGGGAAGCAAGGAAGACAAATCCACAGTCGCACAGTGGCTGTGCGAGGCGAGCAATGGGCGAGCGAAGCATGGGAAACTTGTGTGCAATTAGCATGAGAGTGTGGGAATGCGAAATATGAAAGTAGCAAAAATGCAAAATAAGACTAGCAATGAATGAGGGCTCAATGAGTGACAACAAAAAGACTGCTAATATCTTCTAACTCTAGCTATAGACATGATGGGGAACTCCACTAAGGTAAGGATTGGTGTAGTAAAGGGTGAAAAATGCGGTCCTATATATGTATCTTGCTAAGTGAGCCGAGTAGGAGATAATGTATGTAATAAGGTATGTAAACCAGGGTCCATGCTCTAATATGGTGCCATTTTGATAAAAATGCGGAAATATGTACCAGTGAGACTTGCTGGACAGTGGATGGATGCTCCTGGATGATAGGGCAATGAAAGCGTGGGAAAGTAAGTGATGTGAGGGCATTGCGAGGCGTGGGAAAGTCGCGCAACACGGGAAAGCATTGCCTGATATGGAAATAGCTTGGGAAAGGTCAGGGAATGATGCTGTGAGTTGGTGCTGCAAACCCGGGTGGTATGGACTGAAGTGTTATGCATTGCAAGCCTGTAATTATGTGAATCTCTACACTGCATTAAGAGTATATCCCTCTCAAACTGAAATCATAAAGAGGCTCCCTTTGTAAAAGGGGACTTAGTATACCTGTCTACTGAGAATATAGTGCTTCCTAAAGGACGGGCAAGGAAACTAGCCCCCAAGTGTATTGGCCCATTCAAGATTCTTGCAGACTACAAAAATAACTCATTCTTACTGGATTTACCAGCCAATCTTAAGTAATGTGGCTTGCACCCATCGTTTCATGCCCACTTACTGCGGCCCCATGTCCCTAACAATGACCAATGTTTCCCTGGCCAGCAGTTAACCCAGATTAGCGACATTGGTTGCGTCGAAGAATGGTCAGTGTCCAGAATAATGGATCACAGTGGACAGGGCACCAAATCATTATTTGAGGTAGAGTACCCTACAGGAGACTGCGTCTGGCTTCTCTATCATGAAGTCTCCCACCTCAAAGCCGTCAACCAGTACCTCGAAGGTTTGGGAGTCCCTGGCATCAAACACTTACCGAAGAAAATTTTGGCCTCCTCCTATGAGATGAGTGTTGCTATGCTGGACCATTCCACTAATTCAGTAAGCGAAGCATTTGGATTCATAGACTGACTTCTCAACAGCTTACCTTCTGAAATTTGAATCGAGCAGCAATGGGAGTACTTAAGCTTCTCCTCTCAGACCTCTTCCTTATCCAGATTCCCAGCAGTTCCTCCTACCCTCACCATGCCTCCTAATAGACATTGTGGTCCCTTTATGTGCAGATGCGAAGGATGTCATAACCAGGATCTCTCCCCTGCTGCTCGAGAACCTAACTCCAAGGTTCTCATGGCTTTCACTCATTTCTTTAATGCTGAAGCCCAAGCCAAGGAGCTTGCCACCCACAAAGAAATGCATGTGTAGCAACATGTTTGTTTTGAACATGATCCCCCTTGGGATCGCTACCCACAATCCTTCAGACCCAATCATGAGTGGGAACTACCATCCGTTTGCGAACAAAAATCTCTCTGTGGCTGTACCAATCGCGCCCAAGGGTCCCATCACCGTTCCTTGGACAATTGTCCTACGTGCCCCCCTCATTACTCTCAGTCAGAGCCTCGTGAGGCTCCACCTTCCCCCAAGACAACTACAACTCCCCCTGCACTGTCAGTGCCCTCGTCCCCTGTCCCTGCTGCCGCTGGGCAGGTGGATGAAATGAATGCTGAGATGGATGCATTGATCGCTAAGTCAGAACAGTTGGATCTCGAAGTTGAGGCCCATAGGCACAGATTTTCCACAGAGGAGCTCTTCGGTAGTTTCATTCTTATCGGATTATTGATGTCCATTAATGTGCTACTCCTCTTTCTACTAGCAGCCATGGATACTATGAATATCAAGTCCTCCCAGAGCACTCAGGCTTAGTAGTACCATACTATTAATTTCAGGTCCTCAAATGACATTCACACTTTGCATTGGACATCATATTGGACATTGCATTGGACATTGCATTGGACATTGCATTGGACATTGCATTGACATTATTACATGTCTTTCCATAGTCTGCAGTACCTTGTGTCTTATTACATAGGACATTGGTGAAGGTGAATCAACTCAGCTGTTGGTCAAATGATGAAACAAGGAGAGGGACACAAGAAGCTGATATAATGATCTAGTGCAATGCCTAGTCTGCTATGCTTGCAGGGACAAGCATGTTCGATCCAAGGGGAAGCAAGGAAGACAAATCCACAGTTGCGCAGCAGCTGTGCAAGACAAGCAATGTAAGCACGAAGCATGGGAAACTTGCACACAATTAGTGCAAGAGCACGGGAATGCAAAATGCGAAAATGCAAAATGCAATGAGCAATAGACAAGGGCTCAATGAATGACTACCAAAAGGACTGCTAATTGATTCTGACTCTAGCTATGGACATGGTGAGGGAACTCCACTAGGGTAAGGTGTGGTGGTCTAAAGGGTGAAAAATGCGGACCTATATATGTGTCTCACTAAGTGAGCCAAGTAGGAGATAATGTAGGTAATAGGGTATGTAAGTCAGGGTCCATGCTCTAATATGGTGCCATATTGAATAAAAGCGAAAATACATACCAGTGAGACTTGCTGGACAATGAATAGATGCTCCTGGATGATAGGGCAATGAAAGTGCAGGAAAGAGAGTGATGTGAGAGCATTGCGAGGTGTGGGAAAGTTGCACAACACAGGAAAGTGTCGCCTGATATGGAAATAGCTTGGGAAAGGTCAGGGAATGATGCTGCAAGTTGGTGCTGCAAACCTGGGTGGTATGGACTGAAGTATTATGCATTGCAAGTCTGTAATTATGTGAATCTCTACATCAGACCCAAAACACATACCATAGTGACTCTTACTTACCCATCCACCTGTAGCTGGGTCACTCTCAGAATATTTTCATAGTTCTTCATTTATTTTCAAAAAATTACCACTCCTTCACTGAAACACTCCATCACTTGTTACACTCACACACACCGCTCACAATCCAACACTTGCTATACAGTTTCCGACATGATTTTGTGAAGTCCAAAAGTCTGAAATATCAGACTTTGCACTTTGTCATCGGACATTGGTAAAGTACCTTCATACTACCTTCAGATAGCATTGCAGTATGCTCAGACATCATTGCAGTACACTCAGACATTGTTTCACACCTTTGGACTATTCTACATCAGAGGTTTAATGTCTTTGCATAAATTTTGGTAAGTCTCATAGGACATAGCACAGCACAAACTGGTAGATTATGAAATAGATAAAATGTGGATAAAGTGTGAAAATACATGAGAATATCACCATATTTTCTGCCAAACTCTCTCATCTGGTAATTTGCCAAAAGTTACAGACTGTTCTATCATTATAGCAACATTTTCCCCTAGAATATGCCCAGAATTCACAGAGATTTCTCCTGGAGTACTGGATGCATAGAGCTGCTATACTTTTTGATAGTGTACTAGCTTCATGCTCATCCTAGCTGCAGCTCATTAATATAATATATTGACAATATGGATATTATGGGTATACTATATATCAGCAAACTACTAATTTGGCGACAGATTTCACATGAGTCACAAGCGCACACAGATCCACACAAGGTCTCACAGACATCACAGACGTCACAAGCATCACAAGAATAGCGCATATAAACATTAAAATAACAGTGTGCAGGAGGAGTAAATCAGAACAGTATATACTAGTATGTAGTGCATAAATCAAGTACTACTGGTTATATCAATGGGAAGTATGTGTCAATATTCATTAACAATATGATAGTATGGCTGAACCTAACTTAGAGCGCACTCAGGCTGTACCACGTCAAGGACTTGAACCCACAAATGTTGGAATACCACTTTTTTTTTCTCTCTATATGCATACGCCCTATGTTGAGGTCGGCCGTTAACAGACGCATATTTGCAGCTTCAACATGACGGCAGTAGAGGTCCACAAGTACCATATGGAGCTCTAAGGTGCAATCCACCAGGGCTTTTTGAGCCTGGCACACTTTGCATCTTGATTTAGCTGCCTCGAGGGCCAGGTTGGAGTGGTCATCCTCTTTGTCGGCTTGGTAGAATGAGGCGCAATCTAACTCCTGACAATGGCAGAGAAAATAAGAGCATAGAATAACTCACAAGCTGCACTCCTCCTGGAATGCTGTCCTCCTGTTTGATTAAGCATGCTGATCGAGATCGTGAATGATTTGGAGGTCGTCAATTGTGAGGACAGGTGCAGCGGTGTGCTAGTGCTGTATTGTAATGGTGATGACTTGGAAAATGATTCAAGTTGGAATATAACGAACACAATGATCGAGAAGAATGTGTAGAACGGTGATAACTTGAACAAGAGTTTCTGGAATGGCAAGAGGGTGTAGAATAACAAGAAGGAGGGAGGGCTAGAGGCTCCATATGATGATGAATGTTAAGTTGGAGGCGTGTGAATCTCGCATACCATATGTCAATACCATCATGTCCAAAATGCGGCAAAATATTCATGAAGGAGTCCAGTGTGATTTGCCACCTTAGCCAGCCCTGGACCTCATACCATAGCTCTATTCACGATATAGTCAACATTTCCCAGTTCACAGAGTTGGTTGAACCACATCAGCGATCCCTTGATTCTCTTTCTTCTTCTCAGTTTCCTTCGGATGACCACCATGACAGGGTCTCATATCCTGATCCTGGATATGAAATGGATTTTGGCATTGGTGAAGACCACTTCGACACAGTGGGAGAGGAATCTTGCAGAGGAATGGTAGGAGGGTGCAGGGACTTGTTACTCTCAGGACAGGACAACCTTCTTGGACCTATTCGATGCTGATGAGTATGCAGACTGTAGGAAAGATAATCTTTTTTATCCTTTTGCATTGAAGAACGAGTGGGAAGTTGCCAACTTTCTTCTTCGGTCCTCCCTCAGTATTGCAGCAATCAATGAATTTTTGGCACTCTCGATGGTATGTAATCTTTTGCGCTCGCACTTTTCCTTCTCCTCGCCCTCTTATTGATGATTACCCTTGCAGAGGCGCAAACTAAAACTATCTTTCAACAATGCTAAAGAATTACAAAGCCGTTGTAGAAAGCTGATCTCTGCTGGGCTCAGCGGAAATTGTACTACCTAGACAACAAATATTTAGGTAGATCTTAGCACGACCTATGCTGCTATACTTGCAGAGCAAGTGTGTTCAATCCTAAAGGGATTGCTAATTGGTATTAGTAGTAAAAATGCGTCAGTAATGCAAATAACAAAATGTCCGATGGTGCGAAATGATGTCCGAAGGTACTTATCCAATGTCCGAAGCCAAAGTGCGATGTCCGAGATTTCGGACTTTCGGACTTCACAATAATAGGTTGGAAACTTTATAACGAGTGTCGGATTGCGAGCGGTATGCGTGAGTATAATGAGTGACGGAGTATGACGGTGAACGAATGGTAATATTTCGCAATTGCAACTAAGAACTACGAGAATATTCTGGGTGATCCACAGAGTCGGGAAACTGCTCCTAACTACTGGATCATGATTGCTACAGGTCACTACAGAGTATTTAAGTAAGTACATAGAAATTCAGAAAACTACAGGCGAAGATAGTAGCGATATATTTTCGGGTCCGATGTCCTATGTAATAAGACACGAGGTGCTGCGGACATGTAATAATGTGGTCCTGAATGTCAGAAAACGTACACGGGAATAGCTACGCACCTAGTGAGGCTAGTTCAGGTGGACAAGACACGGGATGGACAAGTGCGCGCGAAGTGCGATCGGCCAATGCAATGTCTGAAGGTCCGATGCGCCGGATCCGATACAGAGTGGCTCGGACATGTGCAAAAGTGCGTCGGACATGTGCGCATATGTTTCGGGTGTTGGCGCGAGTATGGAAATACGTGGTTTTGAGCCCAACGCCGTGACCATCGCTACACCGTGCTGAGATGCTCCCCAAGGGACCAAGCTGGAAATGTGAACACATTACCTCGCCCCATAGCACAAAACACCCGATCTGACTATTCTGGAGGGATCCTGTTGAATGCTTAGAGTCTGTTCAGCAACCCCCTCTTCCATGACAAGCTCGACTTTGTCCCTCGCTGCGTGTACACTACTGCAGCGTGGGTCCTGTGTGTATATTTGGAGTGGCTGACAGGTGATTTTGCTTGGGATATCCAGGTACATGCATCTGAGTCTCTAAAATTTGCATCATCTCATCATAGGTTCTGCAGAACCAACTACCTAGAGGCACTACAATCCTTGGGACTGTACTATCTTCCAACAAAACAAACATCACCACTATGACCGGTGCCAGGGTCGCTCATCCACTTCTTCTAGGCCTTGCAAATATCTGCATGTGCACTTGCACCAAACTCTCATCTAGGGCATTCCTACTTATAGCTCTCCCCCCTATCCCACATTATTTGCACCCCAATCAACGGATGTGGGGCATGCTCGAAGATCACCTCATACATGAGTGTCTTGTCATTGTCTTGAAACCATTGATGATAGCAGCCGAGATCAGGATCATGATGTCAGATCCAGTGGGCAATGTTCATCATTGTTATATGCCTCTTGCAGCCTACATCATTGACACCCCCGAGGCATGTATGCTTGCATGTGTGCGTGGCAAAACTTCGCCATTCACCATGGTGTCATATCTTGAGTTTGGAGGCGATTTTTGTCATCCCAAATGCACGCGCTCCATCACACTTGAACAGCTTGCAAACATCAAGGCCAACTCCAATAACCACAAAGCTTTTTTTGAAGTGTGTGCTGAATACCAGCTAAACAGTGTTCACACACATTTCTGGATGTACTGGCCATATGCTGATCCCTCAGTCTTTCTGATGCTGGAATCTCTGCACCACTGGCATAAGGAATTTTGGGATCACGATCTTCACTGGTGTCTTGTAGCTGTTGGAGCGCTAGAACTTGATTTTAGATTCTTAATTTTGCAGTCAATCACAGGCTACCGCCAGATCTATTGTGGAATCTCAAAGCTCAAGCAAGTCACAGGGAGAGTTCACCGTGATGTTCAGCACTACATCGTTGGTTTGATCGTTGGTACAGCCCCTCGTCATTTTGTAACTGCGATCTGTGCCCTTATGGATGTCTGATACATGGCGCAATCCCCTTCCCCTGATGATAACCTATTGTCATCTATCGACCAATCACTCTTGTTATTTCATCAAAACAAAGATGTCATCATGTCATTGGGTGCACGGATGGGTACTAAGAAACCAATTGACAATTGGTTCATACCTAAGCTGGAGCTAATGCAGAGCATTACTGCTAGTACACATAAATTGGTTCTCTCATCCAATGGTCTGTGGATGCTACCAAACATGCTCACATATCCGAAATCAAGGACCCCACATGACATACCAACAATAGCAATTATGATCCGCAAATCTGTCATCACTTGGATCGATTGGAGAAGCTATGGCACTTTGAAATTGCCACGACATTAAAGAGTCATGTCGTTGATCCTGGTACCGAAGCTGAGGATGAGGAGGACGAGGAAGAGGGTATTGCATGTGATGAAGAAGAACCAACTGATCCACGAACTGCGCTCCTAGAGGAGCTCAATTGTACACATGTTACTACTAACTATTTCAACAAGGCCAAGGATTTAACTACTCTGTCGCATCAAGCTAGCACTTACCCAGGCCCACCTCGAACATTTACCACCGGTAATGTTGCCATTCACCTGAACTACAATCCAACCTGCACCAGGATGAAACTTGATGATGTCTCCAACAATTTCAACATACCAGACCTCTGCCATGCTCTTTCAGCCTTCTTGCAATGCGATATGAGGAACGGAAACATGATCCATGGAGTTGGTGTTCCATGAAGATCACTTATTGACCGTCCTCCAATTCTTCCCTTTGATCGAGTTCAAGTATGGCACACTGTTTGCTTACAGCAGGTTTCATACCATGATTCAATTGTTGCTTTACCAGCCCAAACCTTGCACACCTCTCCTTTTATCCCCTAAGTAATTGAAAGGCTGAAGGGATGCTGTCCTTGTGAATATTGATGGACAGTATGAATGGCCCCAGTCCAGGTTAAAAGGTGAGCACTTTTCAACTCGTCAATTTGGCCTGTATATATTGACCCCCTCAGGACACACCATCTGCAAATTGCAGCTCATCATGCGCCCGATGCCTCAATGAGGTTCTCGTATTGGATGGCAAGATCAGTACCTGTGTTATGTCCATAACATGAAGATTGATGTGGTTGACACTGTAGCTGGAATGCATGTTGTGAAATGTGCTAAGCATGCCAATGGTTCTCCAGTGGGTGATATAGTTCCCCTTTGGCAAGTTTGTTCATTCATCAACCTCATTCCTCAATTTGGGGCAGCAGCAGATGTGCGGTTGACGAAAGCGACTTCATCACATTATTCATCATCTTTTTTTTTGAACAAGTATTTTGATAAGCAGATCTATGATACTCTTTACTACACTTCACAAGGATAGATGTCTATTGTTTCAATGTTTACTAGTGCTATTCTGTGACACTTGTGATATCTGTGCGCCGAAGATGAGGAATCTAAACTGTGTGGTAAGTTGGTGCTAAGCTAAGCAAACACAGCTAGTCCCAGATGTGAGTGAAATCGTCGACCCAAGGGCAGCTAACTGGTAAAGGGAAACCTCTCTTTGTAAAAAGAGGGACACCAAACAACTAATAAAGTACTAAGTCTAATAGACATGCGAAGCGCGAGGCGAGAATGATGCAATAAACAAAAGGCGGATGCGCGAGTGCAAAAGGCAAAGGGAAAGGTATGTGATGCAAAGGTAATGCACGCAAGTGAAGGCAAAAGACTTGCAAGCGAGAGAGATGAAAGAGTGACAAGGCAAGATGAGTGTTAACACCCCAACTAAGGTTGGCTGATGCTAAGTCAAAGGCGGAGAACTGAGGCATGCGACTTTAGATAGTCACTTGCAAACAACGAGTAAAATTCCTTGTATCTAAGGACACAGGGAAAGTGGGCGTAAAATCGACCCAGTACATAAAATAATAGAGGGGTATAAGTAAAGTAGCTAAGCAGCGCTAGGCGCGCAGGTCTGATGTGACGAGCCAAACAGGATATAAATAGTACACTAGGTATGTAATAGGGTCTCGGTTACACGCAAAGTGCAGAGCCAAGTATTAGCGATGGAAACCAATTAGACGAAAAGGAAATATGATGGGAAAATACGCCAATGAACTTCTAAGGACATGGGATGGACGGATGGACAAGTGCGTGGACAATGCAAGTGTGGATGTGTGAAATGTGCGAACACGTGAAGCCACACGCGAAACCTGTGAAAATAAAACAAGTGCACCAAGTGCGCTAGACATATCCTATGGATTAGAGCTGGAGTTTGTAGGGAAAGTGGGGGAATTCAGAGGGAAGTGCCTGTGTAGGCGTGAGGCTCTACAGTGCGCTGTGAGATCTTTGCATATTTGTGCAGATGTGTGCATGCTGTGAGATGTGTAGCAGCTTGCTGATGGGCCTACCTGGATGGTGAACCTGGTGAACTGTGATACCTGGAGAAAGGGAGAATCAACAACAAGCAACAAACGCTGCACTGAGGCCAATGTATGCCACATTGCCAATGTTAGCTCAGGTTGACTAGTACTCAACAAAAAAATGCTGTCCAACACTATAGTCTCATTCCTTGTCGACATCAATCAGCTTCTTTGCAGTAGAATCAGCTCTATCAGCATCCCTGTTGGTGAATTGCCACGTACCTTGGACACTGTCAAACCCCTCCTCAAGCATGAGCTGCAATCCCGTGTTATTCACAAGGGTGTTGGCAATGCAGTCAAATTGCAGTTCTCGGACTCCATTTTCAACCAAATCATCTCTTGAACCAATATAGAGGTAGAAAGCCTTGGATCAATCAAGTACAATAGGCTTGCAGGACCACCTGCATACTCTAGCAAGGGATGGACATTCAACTGCAGAAAACGAGTCAAGCAGACTGAAGAGTCTGACTCAGAGACCGACAGACTGGAGGATGATGAAGGCTCTACCACAAAGATTGATGGGGACATAGAGGATGATGACGATGATACAGATAATGGCAGTGGCTCAAAGCTCAATTATGAGGGTTCACTCAAATTAATAATCCTTATAAAAGATGGACTGCTTGATGGGAGTTGGGATGGCCAAGACTTTCAAGCTGGATCGAAGAAAAGACAATGGGTGGTGCACACTACCGAGACAGACCTTCAGCGGCTCTTTTATACCATCCAGTACCACTTGCGCAACTCACTGAAGGATGACATCCCCTACACATTTGCAATGGGGGCCCAGTACTGGACTGCAGAGTTTTCTACCACTGCTATTCCAGACACTTTCAATGCCCAGAAGCCTGATTTATCCCTGTTCGACTTCGCACTCCTGAAGGAAAAGAAGTCATGGGCAAATGTCCTGGCCTTCGTGGAGCACACCTCTTCTGATCTTTCCAAGAATAGAGGTTTAGCAGTGTATTGGGGGTCAGCAATCAAAGCATATTTAATCATGCAAGAACAACCTTGGCGTTGATTCATACTTGCCTACTCAATCTGCACGAATATGCTCCACACACATTATTTCGACCGCTCTAGCATCATCATATCCCTTCCTTTCAACATTCACAAGTCTCCCGGCTCTATACACCTCTGCGATGCATTAGATGCCCTCACACTTCCAGATAGCCGCCACCTGGGCCTTGATCCCACTATTCACATGTGTCATGCTGGGTGCAATGGCACCCATGTCAATCTTGCAGATGGGGTGATAGGCTGGGTGAAAGACAACAAGAGCAATGTCTATTTGATCATGGCTGTGCTGTGGAAGAGCCATGGATTTTTCTGCAGGGGAACAGTCTGTTATTGTGTTAGAAACAAGGAAGGAAAGGAGTATGCTCTGAAAGATTGTTGGGTGGAAGAGTCGAAAAAAATGCATGAACCAACTGTCAAGGATATTCCAAATGTTGTCAACCTCATCGACAATGGGGATGTTTATTATGAGGGGCAGCCTGATTGCACGGCGCGTATTCGCGAGAAATATGGCCAGGATCAACGAGACGACACTGCATTCTGCAATAGATTTCACCGGCATTTTCTCTTGAGCCCTTGTGGGGAACCATTCTCTCAATTCAGCTCTAGAACGGAGCTGATCATGGCTTTTCGTCACTTTGTAATTGGTGAGTGATATCAACTGCACAGAACATAGACTTGTCAATGATGATGTATTTTAGCTCACCAAGCAATGATTGAACTGATGAGTCCTACATGGGGACCTCAGTCCTAATAACTTTGTCATACATAATGGCATTGGCTACTTCATTGACTTCAACCACACTGCAGTGTTAGCAGTACATATGACCAGCACATATTCGCCTGGTACTGTAAGTTTGTTTCCAAAATTCACCGTGCTTGCTTTTGACTGTATTGTTACAGGGTACTATGCCATATATTTCAATCCGGATTCTCCAGAGCATGATGAGGATGATCAATCCCAACCTGGATAACAGTGACCTGACCAAAGACGTCACCCCAGCCAATGCTGTTCAACGGCTGATTGAACACAGGCCCTCTGATGACCTGGAGTCGTTGTTCTACATATTTATTTTTCGAGTTTGTTGCAAAGTGTGGGGGTGTGCATGGTGAATTAGCACCATCCTGGATTTGAGACTCGCTGCCATGGGTGAGTGCCTATGAAGCCTTGGGCAAGGCTGATCTCAAAGAGGCTTTGGGTACCTGCTGTTTCACAAAAGTGGGGGTTGTTCTGGACTCCACTTTCATGATGCAGATGACATCAGATTACTTCTCAACATTTAGGCCTCTCATTCAGCACTGGCAAGCTTTAGTTTGTCTTGCAAACAAGCCCAACAAGAAAGAGAGAGTGGAGACCACTCACGACAAGGTTCTCAAGGTTTTGACCGTGTTTGTCAACACCTATGTTGAAGTCACACCCATAAATCCCTCAGCAAGTTTGATACCTATTTCCAAGGTAGGGTCCAGGGGGGGATAATCCTCACGTATGTCATCCTCCAATTCCCGAGGCAGGGCCTTCAAGACTTCCACTGTGTCGTTCTGCCCAGAATCTTCACAAGTCCTCCTGAAAACATTTTTATCTGCAATGCCCCTCGTACCCTCTCCTAGGTCTGACCATCATATTTGTCTATTCGATATAGACTTTCTCCAACTCTGTCCTGTAATTCTAGTTGTCTTGTACCTCCTCCTCCTCCTCTTCTCATTCCCTTATGATATCCTGACTTGTGTGCGAACTTATGTCGCTTATTATGTAATACAAGACACCTACAATGTTGGTGGCCATGTAGCACAACTGCAAAAAACCAGAGAAACACTAGCAGCCCCAGCAAGGAGAGGATGCAAGGAGCCAAATGTTTAAATGAGTGACTTGGATGCCGAAGAAAACCCCATGGCTCTGTCACAGCTTCAGAAAATGTAATAGCTCATTTTTCTAACTGCTACAAGCTAATGACATATCCTAAGCAGTGTTCTGTTACAGCCGACAACCAAGTCAGGTCAGGATCTCAGCTCTCTCGCACTCCCCATCCCAGCCTTCCCACCACCAATTGGCCTTTGGGGAGATTTGGATTCAAGCTGCCACCCATGTCTGATATTCGCAAGGCACCGTATTCCAGTGGTACTACCTACGGACGCCAAGCAGCAGACAAAAAAGTAATCAAAGATCAGGATTTTGAGGGTGACAGGAATTCTGACTTGGAGCATGATAGGGATTTAGGCTTGGGGTGCAACAATCAGGATGATTATGAGGGTTCTAGCAAAAATGACAACCAGGATCCAGATGATAATCTCATGGAACACGAAGACAACCAAATGTAAGTGTTCTACTTCTCTGCCTTAACCATCCTTCATTCATGCCCATCACAGGTACCATGATCAATTCCCGCATCAGCAAGAGGACAAAGCGGATGATTTCAATGATGGGCTCAAGGGTGGAATGCAGGCACATTTTGATCAAGGTATTGATGACAAGCCCAACGATGAAGCTCGACAGAAATCACAGGAAGGTATGCAAAAATTTTACATGTCCATCTAGTCACCTTTTTTTTCAGGATATTGTTGATGTCCTTGAGCATCATCAGGCGAAGAATGGACAGCGCAAGGCTCCTTTGCAGGCTTCCCTCTTGAGAGCAAGACATGCTGAACATCTCCACCGCTCGAAGTCACCTCGACAACTCTCACCTTGATGTGCCTCTCCTGCTCAAGTGCAGCGTAGATACTCACCCCCACATCACTCACATATATCTTCCACTCGTTCAAGGTCTCCTCATCGGCACACAAGATCTCCACACCCACATTCTCCATCATCTCATCGACATGAATATCAACCATCTGCGTGCGCTTCTTCCTCTCGCGTGCAGTCTCCTCGTTGTCCTCCATCTCGGCCAAGCCAGTCCTCAAATCATATACAGTCCCTCTCCCAGGCATGCTCTTTGTCATGGACCATTCCCAAGGACACTTCTCCATCTGATCACACAATGTCACCCACTCTCTGTTCTCGCTCTTTCAGCACCACACCTAAGCCAAATTCACACAGCAGCAAGGCATGAAAGATCAAACCAACCCAAGGGGACCCCGCAAAGCTCGGCTTTTATCCACCTTCCTGGCAGGCAGCAAAGGTATCAATGTGTCTCCAAGCTGTGTTGACACATCCTGTTCCAGAGCACGGAGATGCTCTACAACTTGCGCAAGAAGTCCTAGATGCTGAACTCTGGAGGTACCATGAGAAGAAGATCAAAATGGATAAAGGTAAGTGTGTATTGCACCACCGGACATCCTCAAATCTCATTATTTACAAGGCTATTTCCTGGAGTACAAAGCTCAAATGTCCTGAGTGGTAAGCATCTCATTAACAGATGATCAGTGCGCTCATTTTATCATCAGCTCTGCAATGATTTGTATACATTCCACACAGAGCTGAAGAAAGTCATCATACCCATTGTGAAATCAGCATATGACATCTTCACAAAGGGCACAGTCACACGCAAGGAGGATATACAGAAGCATGTTGTAGTGATGGTCGCGGTGTTGGGCTCAAAACCATGTATTTCCATACTTGCGCCAACACCTGAAACAAGCTTTGTGGTTATTGGAGTTGGCCTTGATGTTTGCAAGCTGTTCAAGTGTGATGGAGCGCGTGCATTTGGGATGACGAAAATCGCCTCCAAACTCAAGATATGACACCATGGTGAATGGCGAAGTTTTGCCACGCACACATGCAAGCATACATGCCTCGGGGGTGTCAATGATGTAGGCTGCAAGAGGCATATAACAATGATGAACATTGCCCACTGGATCTGACATCATGATCCTGATCTCGGCTGCTATCATCAATGGTTTCAAGACAATGACAAGACACTCATGTATGAGGTGATCTTCGAGCATGCCCCACATCCGTTGATTGGGGTGCAAATAATGTGGGATAGGGGGGAGAGCTATAAGTAGGAATGCCCTAGATGAGAGTTTGGTGCAAGTGCACATGCAGATATTTGCAAGGCCTAGAAGAAGTGGATGAGCGACCCTGGCACCGGTCATAGTGGTGATGTTTGTTTTGTTGGAAGATAGTACAGTCCCAAGGATTGTAGTGCCTCTAGGTAGTTGGTTCTGCAGAACCTATGATGAGATGATGCAAATTTTAGAGACTCAGATGCATGTACCTGGATATCCCAAGCAAAATCACCTGTCAGCCACTCCAAATATACACACAGGACCCACGCTGCAGTAGTGTACACGCAGCGAGGGACAAAGTCGAGCTTGTCATGGAAGAGGGGGTTGCTGAACAGACTCTAAGCATTCAACAGGATCTCTCCAGAATAGTCAGATCGGGTGTTTTGTGCTATGGGGCGAGGTAATGTGTTCACATTTCCAGCTTGGTCCCTTGGGGAGCATCTCAGCACGGTGTAGCGATGGTCACGGCGTTGGGCTCAAAACCACGTATTTCCATACTCGCGCCAACACCCGAAACATATGCGCACATGTCCGACGCACTTTTGCACATGTCCGAGCCACTCTGTATCGGATCCGGCGCATCGGACCTTCAGACATTGCATTGGCCGATCGCACTTCGCGCGCACTTGTCCATCCCGTGTCTTGTCCACCTGAACTAGCCTCACTAGGTGCGTAGCTATTCCCGTGTACGTTTTCTGACATTCAGGACCACATTATTACATGTCCGCAGCACCTCGTGTCTTATTACATAGGACATCGGACCCGAAAATATATCGCTACTATCTTCGCCTGTAGTTTTCTGAATTTCTATGTACTTACTTAAATACTCTGTAGTGACCTGTAGCAATCATGATCCAGTAGTTAGGAGCAGTTTCCCGACTCTGTGGATCACCCAGAATATTCTCGTAGTTCTTAGTTGCAATTGCGAAATATTACCATTCGTTCACCGTCATACTCCGTCACTCATTATACTCACGCATACCGCTCGCAATCCGACACTCGTTATAAAGTTTCCAACCTATTATTGTGAAGTCCGAAAGTCCGAAATCTCGGACATCGCACTTTGGCTTCGGACATTGGATAAGTACCTTCGGACATCATTTCGCACCATCGGACATTTTGTTATTTGCATTACTGACGCATTTTTACTACTAATACCAATTAGCAATCCCTTTAGGATTGAACACACTTGCTCTGCAAGTATAGCAGCATAGGTCGTGCTAAGATCTACCTAAATATTTGTTGTCTAGGTAGTACAATTTCCGCTGAGCCCAGCAGAGATCAGCTTTCTACAACTGGAGCCCACCGCAAGGGGTTCTTTTGGTTTAGTTTGATTTTTATTATCTAGGTCTTTCACCATTCCTGACGCCCCGATCTCGATCCCGACATTTCAATCCCGATCCCGACACCCCGATTTTTGGACCCAACACACCCGGCGATTTTGTATTTTGACTACAGAACATTCCTTCACTATGAACACAACCAGAAACCCACTCAATACACTCAATATGCCAATATCCAGTTCCAGATCAGCCCTGCATTTTTCAGGTAACCCCTATAAAGTCTTAGAATTCCTGAACACAGTAGATCAGCTCGGACAAAGTGCCAATTTACCCCAAAAATTTCGGATCAGGTTTGCTTTGAAATATACAGACATTGACGAAAGAGAACTATGGCAGATGTGCGATGAATGCACTGGCAACAGTTATGAAGATTTTGCTAATGCGATTTTGAACTTGTACCCAGAATTAGGTATGGACCGACGATATGTCCGACCCGACAGTCCGACCCCGACGAGTACGCCCGATCCAACACCCGAAAATTCGCAACCTGAAGTCTCCAACACCACAACCATCTCCGAACCTCAAGATCAACCCGAAATAGTATTAGAAATAGTATATCAGATAACAGTTCCCGACACCCCGACGATCCGACCCGAAATACCCGAAATTTCGGACATTACCATCGGACACTCCAAATATAATTCGGACAACTCGGAAATATTCACAGAAACTATTGATACTAATGCACTGACACCCAAAACACAGAGTATTGAGCTAAAGCCCCTAGGATGCGAAATACCCGAAAATTCGGACATAGGAGATATCGGAACATCAGATTATGAACTCGGACAGGCATATACCACTCGGGTACCACTGACAATTTTGTTCTTGCAGCAATCACCGTGTTTGCATTCACAAGTTTTGTTTATTTTTATAGGACCTTGCCATATCAGTCAGAACACCATCAGTCACCTTCCGAAACCCCGGAAAGACCTCCCCGAAGCACTCCGAAGATACCCAACGCATATCCAAAAACTTGTACCATAGTTTTACCTGTCCAAAATTTGTCATACCAGCCCCAAAAATTGAAGTACAAACATTCCGTCAAATGCGCCCACCAGTATCGCCAACCCTCGCACTCCCATATCGCATTTGACACGTACGAAAGCCGACGAAGATCAGATATTAGGAAGAAACTATAGTCCGACGCCCGAAAATTTTGGACTGTCCGAAACCCGAAAATTCAGACATATACATATGATATATCGCACATATGGTATCACTTGTTTTACCCCGGGATTAGGCCAGAGACTTATCGCACATAACCCCACTCACTCGCAACATCAGACTAGCATATCAGACAAATTTTGGACACAGTTTCGGACACATTTTCAGACTATCGGACATTGTGCGAACTCACCCGATTATTTAGCATTTTTCCTTCGCACCGCAGAATCGCACCTGCACCATTATTTAATTAGAAATTTGGACAAACAGGCAACAAGAAACAGAAGAAGAACAGAAGTTTCACGAAGAAAACAAGTCAGATGGTACTCTGCAACCAGTATTATTTTGATATCCGAAATTTTGTGTTTTTGCCACACTTACAATTATTATTATTTTTCTTGTTTTTTTTAGGCACCCTAGTGGGGGACATATAGAGCGAACTTGCGACACAGACATAGGGACAAATGGACATTTTCGGACTTCGGACATTCGGAACATCGGACCTTCGGACATCGCATCAGAAGCCCAGACATTGCACAGTTCGCACCCTCGCCGATGAAGACAGAGATCGACTGTGCAGAGAAGTTGTGAAAAGATGATAGAACATTGACAGACGCATACCAGCACATTTTCGGACATGCACTCAGAAAGTTCCCGTGCATCGGACCACCTTCGGACACCCTCACACATCATCGCATCAGCTTCCCTATGCTTGAGATACCTCGCATTTTTCGAATCATTGTTGTACGTGTCGCGACATTCCGAAACAATCACACATCTCTGCTACCAAACCCGATTTTCCCACGCATCGGCCACAGACTTTGGACATTCGGAAACATCGGACTCGACAATCGGACACTCGGACATTTGACAAAGTTGGAAAAAGATGACAGAATGTGAGCCGACACATTTTCGGACATATGCCCAGAAATTCCCACGCATCGGACCCGACACAATACCTTCGGACATCATTGCATATCATTGCATCACTTCCCCTATCACCTCGCATTCATCGGATCCATTTTACTGGCAGAACCGCACACCTCCAACCTTCAATCTGATATCCCAGCTCATTGATGATATTGTGACTGAGGACAGTCAATATTTAAAGCTCCTAGGAGATGTAACGATGGTCGCAGCGCTGGGCTCAGAACCAGCTATTTTGATACTGATGTCAAACAGTATTTGTCCGATGCACTTCCAACTACCCCGACCCGAGTCCGACAGTCCGATGCATGTCCGATCCCGACCCAACATTCCCGCGCATCGGACCAGTCCTCCCTATGTCCTGTCCAGTCGCATCTATCCCCACTAGGTGCGCATTTACTCCTTTTGACTTGCTAAGCATTGTATACAGCGTTATTACATGTTTTCTCATGGTCCGCAGTACCACATGTCCTATTACATAGGATTTCGGACCCGAAATTTCGCTACTACTCTCGCCTATAGCAGTCCAAATTTCTACATGGTCACTATTTAATATCTAGTACTTCCTACCTATTGCATTACTTACTTTTCCCTACTCAGTAGTAGGATGGAAGTCATTGGATATTAGAAGTACTTTATTGTATTGCGAAATATCTATCCACTCTTTTTCTCCGAAACATTCCAATACATCCGACATTCATTTGACCGACAATCCAACACACTTCCGACACATTCCTTTATTGTCCGACACATTCCCGATAGTCCAACGCATAGTCCGACGCCCGACTGTTACGACTTGGATAGTATCTGTTGGCGACGCTCAAACAGAGCGTGTGTCGTCAATGGTCGAGGACGTCCTTGGGCTTGCCCAAGGTTAGGGGTCTTACTTGGCGAGGCTTCGGCAAGTAAGATTTGACGCCTATGTCCAAATCGGGTAGCTTATGTTACGCGGGTGCGAGACGATAAGCTAAATCGGCCTAGGCTTATGACACCCAAAGGTTAATCGTAAGATCGTCGTTAATCAGAAGGACAGAAGTCCGACTAGTTAACAGGGGCTTTGCTCGTCGACGAAGTCGATGAGTAAAGGTCGAGACTATAGGCTTATCCGCGAAGAGCAGATAAGAAGATAGAATATAGACTGCTGGCTAGGCACAAAGGATCACTCTGGTGAGAGTAGGAGGTCAAGAACCAAGTAGATTCAAGTTAGGGAATATAGTACATGGTAGCGAGTTTATATAGAGGACAGGAAACATATTAGTGGGTGATAACTCGTACTACCGGGAGAGGCAATCAGTAAAGGGTGTAACCATAACAGGAAGGCACATTCGGTCGAGGTAGAACGTGCTAGATAGGAAAGTGAGTTAAAGATCGAAATAAGAAGTGAAACGCGCAGGGGCACGATCGTGCAGCTGCAGATCTAAGTATACTGTCGCATGTGTGACTGCGCATCGAGTCAGAGATCAAGAAAGGGAAAAGGGGCAAAGGGGATGCGTCGTGCATCAGATCATAGGTTACCGTCCGGACGGTAAGGGCAAAGGGACTGTCCACAGGATCAGTCAGGTGGTGAAACAGGAGCATGGGTATGCTTCGTCAGCGAAAGGGTCCAGCCAGATGTACTGGCTTTGCTGAAGCAACAGGTAGAGGGCGAAAGGGAATGCGAGGATGACAAGGATGACAAGGGTGAGGTCGGGGTAAGGGTATGACGCGAGGGCTGATACAAGGAGGATTAGGAGAAAGATGGTAGGGGCCCAAGCGTCTAGATGTTCTTGTAACACCGACCCGACTCCGATAATTTTGGACCCGACAGTTTCCCTTCGGACAAGTAGTTCTGAGCTTCGGATTATCTTCCTACCACTGATAACTAACTATCAAAACTAATACCAAACAGCTACCCCTATAGGATCGAACGCACTTGCTCTGCAAGTATAGCAGACTAGGTCGTGCTAAAGATCTACCTAAATATTTGTTGTCTAGGTAGTATGATTTCTGCTGAGCCCAGCGGGAATCGGTTTTCTACAACATCATCACAGCCACCACTAAGCTCCTCAAGACTGGTGGTTACCTTTGTATTCCTGACTCATCCAATGTATGTGATCACCTCTTGCAATGTGGCTGCTCACTGTTTATTTTTTTCTAGGGCAAATGGAACAATTTTGTGTCACAAGCTCTCATGGATGGCTGCCTTGCATTTTATTCTAGCAATAGCAAGAAGGCGCTCAAAAATACAGATTAATTTCATGGCAGAATCCCTCCGAACGTGCTTATTCTCATGGCTGCTGTGGTATGCTGTGATTTATTTTATTTTCCATTGTTAACCAGTTAATAGATGAAGGGTGTCATCTCTGGGTTTTCTGAAACTGGTACCGACAAAGTACCTGACCTCTCCGCTGATAAATGTAGGAACGACTTTAACTCATTGCAGAAGTCTTTGGACAAACTGATATACATTCCTAAATGTCGTGATGAGCTTGAAGATATGCTGGTGCTGTGGGCTGGTATTGGGATGGGTGAGCTTGTTCATGGTGACTCGAGTGCAGGAGGCAGTGATTTAGAGGATGTCGACATCATTTTATAATCTTGCATAGTAATACTCATGTTTTATGATCTACAATAATCAGCACAATTCATGCTTCCTGTACATACTTGTCTGGTGTCCCACAAATTACATAAGCTTATACAGTATGTCTTGTCTGCAAAATGTGTCTCATCTGCAGACTCCGCATAGTGTGTTCTGTTTGTCTGTATTGTGGTGCTTGTATGAGTTGTGATGCTTGTACAGGTTGTGATAGCTTGTACTATCTTGTAATAGGACTGTAAAGAGGGGACTTCCTTGTGTGCCTGTGAACCTTGTACAATCTTGTACAAGTACCCACTAGTTTGCTGATGTATAGCAGAGTACAATTGACTGATATTTGAGTGATATAATCCATAACACCCAGCCAGCCAGTACTGTGCTCTGCAAGTTCTGGCTTGAGAGCTTGTGATGAGAGTAATCGAGATGGTGAGTGCCTAGGCTGGAGAAAAAACAATGGGGGCATCAGCTTTTAGAAATTGTGTGGACATTTTACTAGAAGTGTCGAGTCTGGGCATAATTTAGTAAAGTAGAGAGCCCTACTGAAATAAAGTGAATATGTGTGCATATTTTCAGCCACATAACATACTCAACTGATTTGTAAAATCAGTTCTGGTTAATGACTCAATATGAGAGCATGGCAGTGGTGGCATGTGGATGATTGATGGATAGGCTGGGTGACATCACAGAGTACTAGAAGCATTCAAGTCAGAAGAACGACTTATCAAGAAATATTGACAACATACATGAGTTGCAGCTGTCTTGCACATGATAACATATTGAACCTCAGAATCCAATAACCTCTTTGAGCTGAGTGAGACATTGTAGTATAACATCAGCCCCAAAATTGGTCAACTAAATTGTCACATACATTGATAACGAGTCATTGAGTTGTCAACATCTATGACTGGTCAGCTTTCTAAGCTTGCCAAGGCACAAGGCTCATGTAGAATATAGTCTACATGTGAATAAGTGAGGTGATGCAGCACCTGTTGCTTCTGCCCACCTCACAGTCGTTGCTCACTTTAGATTCCTAGATATCTGGTCTTAGTATTTGCATAACTTACAAGCTCACTATGCTACAAGAGAATCCTAATGAAGCTATCATGCCGGACTATACTGCAGAAGAACACAGGTTGGCCTGACAGCAGCTCATAGAAAATGGGCTTACTGACGATTAAGCAGCACACTCTCTGAACTCTCTTTGGGTCATAGCCAACAACACGGAAAAGAAGTGCTGGGCTATGATTCAATAGAGACAAGAAGCCATATATCTTCAAAAAGAAGAAGACGAAGAGCAACACCTACAACTCCAGCAGGAAGAAGAGGAGGCCACCAAGCTAGAAGAGTGGAAGAAGAACAAGAACAAGTATGCACTTATTTGGCATGGAAAAGTTCCCTCTGACCTTAGTGTCATCCCAGCAGCATATGCCATCTAAAAGATGAAAGTGGGCAATTTTTGTGAACTGCACTATTTCACCAACACAGGGTTGAATGATGCCAAAGCTGCAATGCTTATTGTGGAACCAGACACACTCATCATACTCCCAGAAGCTAATGGAGCTCACATGTGGATCCCAGCAGTGGCCGTCAAAGACCCCAAGGCAGCAGCAGTTATTAGAGATGAGAATCTCTCATGGAAAGAATTTAATGAAGTGGCCCATCATATGATCTCCATGATGAGAATCCAAGACTGGCCAGATGATCATGTCAACATGCACATTCAATTCTGGTCAGTGCTGCAGACCCACCATTGGCACCATGCACCAGACCAGCTCAAACAGCGAGCACTGCTTCTGTACCAAGCACAGCAGCAATGCAGGTGGCACCTTACAGTAGGGACAGCTCAAGGTTGGAGCCTTGAGGAAATCAACCAAGACCTGTTGATTGAAGCAAGGGAGGAATTATTCAATGAACAATCAGAGAGACAGATGGCGAAAGCCATTCAGGTCAGCCATGTTTCATTTCACCTCCAAAAAATAAACCACTGATCAAAACCTACCAATACCACCCTCCACTATCTTCTACCTAACTGCACAATTCACTTGTGTCATACCTCCCATCTGTTGGCCACCACATGCCAACAACACCATAATGTTCTAGAGATTTACACTATTGCAGGCTTGCAACACATTATACTTCAGTTCATACCACCTGGGTTTGCAGCACCAACTTGGAGCATCATTCTCTAGCCTTTTCCCAGCTATTACCATATCAGGAGATGCTTTCCTGCACTTTCATTGCCCTATCATTTAGGAGCATCCATCCACTGTCCAGCAAGTCTCACTGGTATGTATTTTTTTGCATTTTATTCAATATGGCACCATATTAGAGCATGGACCCTGACTTACATACATTATTACATACATTATCTCATACTTGGCTCGGCTTAGTCTCACTTAGCGAGATACATATATAGGTCCACATTTTTCACTCTTTACTACACCACACCTTACCCTAGTGGAGTTCCCCCATCATGTCCATAGCTAGATTCAGAATCTATTAGCAGTCTTTTGTTGTCATTCATTGAGCCCTTATCCATTGCTAGTTGCATTTCACATTTTCGCTATTTTACATTTCACATTTTGTGTTCCTGCGCTTCGCATGCATGTCGCTTGCCTCGCACAGCCGCTGCGCAACTGTGGATTTGTTTTCCTTGCTTCCCCTTGGATCAAATATGCTTATCCCTGCAGGTATAGCAGCCTAGGCATCACAATTGATCACTATATCAGCTTCTTGTGTCCCTCCCTTTGATTTATCATTTGACCTGGAGCTGAGTTGATTGTTCTTCAACGTGTTCTTCACACTACATCACACCATGCTGTCATCACAACGCAACAAAACTGATCTGTTGGCCATCACGCACTGCTTGCATACAACAATCATCTTCACGCAAACTCAGATATGCTTATATAGCAAGCAGCCATGCTTCAGGGCGCCAACAGCCGATAGCTACACAACAATCAGCAGGACAAAAGAGAGCACACCAGTCATCAGATGACCTCCCTGACAACAACAAGAAGGTACGCACCTCTCATGCACCCCCCTTGTCCAGTCCTCTCCCATGCTGTGCAGTTTGCCTTGGAAGACACCCACATCGTGTCACCAAGTGCATTGCAGTCCAGACATGGGACAAACAGCACGAAACCTACTCTAAGCACATCCACAAAGGACTCTGGACCAAAAATGAGAAGCAACTCTGCACCACTTGGCAGAGAGAGAAAGGATGTACAGCCCTGAGGCACGACGACTGCCATATCTGTTTGGGTTGTGGAGCTATGACCCACAGAGCCCATAGATGCCCTAGAGCTCAGAAAGAGACAGCTGCTAACACCATATAGGGTGAGCGCATGGACTTGGGAACTCAAGCAAGCAGGCATCCTCGAGCATTTCACCAAAGTACCAGAAGGCCTACGTCTGGGCTTCAGTATAGATTTTCCCACTGTAACAGTTATACAGTCCCCCCCAAATAAAGAGTCAATTAGCAAGTACAAGCATGAATTTGAGGGCATCATCCAAAAAGAGTCAGCCAAAGGAAGGTACATAGGCCCATCTTCAGCTGAAACCTCGTACAACCTCCTAGGTCCTTTCCAATCTTCACTGCTATCCATCATCCCTAAACCAGGGAATTCCGGCAAGTTTTGATTAGTCCAAAACTTCCCATTTCCACATTCTTCAACCCTCCTGTACCCCAGCCCTTCAGTCAACTCGCTCATTGACACAAACAATTTTCCCACCACTTGGGGAAAATTCTTGACAGTCTACCAGCTCATTGCAACCCTTCCACTGGGTTCAGAGGCAGCAACACAAGATGTAGCAGAAGCTTACTGAACAGTGCCTTTACACCCATCACAATGGCCTGCAGGGATGGTGTGTGCCTCAGCAACAGAGTTCTATGTGGACACTTGCACAGCATTTGGCGCAACACCGTCGGCTGGTGTCTACAGTCACATTTCAGATGCAGGGGTCAAGATTTTCCACCACAAAGGCATTGGCCCCCTAGATAAATGGGTCAATGACCACATTTTCCTCACAGTAAGGCGAGAATTCCTCAACAGTTTCAAAAAACAAAGGGAAGACTGGTACATTAATTTCGGATCGAAAGGCATGCATCAGACAAAGGCTTGCCTGTTGTCACGAGTACCTTTAACAAACCATTATTCTTTCTTGAATCTTCCTAAGCGCCAATACACAGCGCCTAAACCTAACCCTAACCCTACCCTGAAAGCGTCTACCAGTTCAGAGATTCCATTAGCGCCCACAACACATGTCTTCGATGTGACAGATGAAGAAGACGAGTTCTTTGATTGTGAATAGATTAGATTAGATACGATAAGATAAGATATGGTCACGTGATGCTTCTTTAATATTCTACGATGTTCTATGGTACGATTCCCTTTCTCTTTTTATGATTGGCTAGTAGTTGTAACTCAGTTTCAATCTCTGTTTCAATAGTTGTATATAGGTAGCATGTCTTGGTCGATAGTTCCTTAGTTCAAACCTCTTGTATCTACATTGTAGCAATCCAAGACGTACTTGCTCAACTATCCTCTTGTCCGATAACCTTCGTTTGAGTCCTAGTCTCTGCCCAACGTTAATTCGTTATTGGGTTGTGACACCTGTGGTTTGGAGGCATATCACCCACAACAGGCCAGCTAGAAGAGCAGAATGAGAAATGTTCACAGCCGATAAAAGACTCACCACAGAGCTCACCAAGATTGGCACATGACAGACTTTTCTCCTTCAGCATGCAAGATATAGATGCAACCTCAGATGATTTAGGCATTGTGTGGGAAGTCCTCAAAGACTAACCATTTCAGGAGATGACTCTCTACACAGGTTTCATCTGGGACCTGAATCAAAGACTGGTATATTCCCCGACTCCCACTTTAGTGGGAAGAGGGTTTTGTCGAATCTAAACGTACAGGCACCTATACGCTGATGTGTGGGAACACAATACGTGGAATGGGAATGTTTTGGTTAAAACTGTATAGTTGATGATGACTAATGGATATTGATGCGTGCGCGATTCGGTTCACTCAGGTCGTTTGATTGTCTGACTCGTCTTTACAGGAAGAAATTTGCATATGTCTTTTCTTTGCTCTCCGTGTGCTTGTTATAAGTGAATTGACCACCTTCGTATTTAGTTATATTTTACCATGTCCATGTTTCTCTTGAAACACCCAAGTACATGTCCTCGTGTTCTCGATGCTAAGGACTGTCCACTTCATAATGTTCTTCATGATATACAAAAATATTCTCTGTTCTACGATGCTTTATACTACCCGCAATATAACGAATCTGTGTATGCAACAGCCGAAATTTTTTCTCGTTGGTTGCAACTATCACTCGTCTCCCACTGTGACAGTTTGTGTCTCGTATGTGGTCCCTTTCATCACTCCGTTGCTGTGGTTTTTGATGGGGTAGGTCTCTCTATCCACGTGGATGATGTCTCGATGACTTTCACTTGTGCACATTTTGAGTCTGCTACGTACGTGCATTGTAGCGTGTTCAAGCACTTTAAGACTTATCGAGCTGCTGCTTGGCAAGGCACTTCCCTCCCAACTGCTGCCTTGTGTATTACATCCAGGCTAAAAGACAATCCTCAATGGTTTTCTTACCCGGATGCTTGCTATGCAGAAAATTTATCTGCTTTGTCTGTACCTGTACTGCGAAAATCCGCGCTTCGTGTTGTGAGTAAAAAATTGGATGTGCGAAACAAGGAGTGTAGCATTAACAGCAATCACTTCTCATTTCACCACTAGACGCACGAAATTTTCAAGCACGCCGGATGACATCCTCTTCGAGAGTCTCTCCACAGTTCCCATCCCACCTGGCTGTGCAACAATGTGGGGCACTCTGCTTGCTGCCGAGTTTCATAACTTGTATGGTCCTGAGGTAGCCACTGCTCTATGCACTCCTCCTGTCATCAGTGTGTCTCTTGCTATCGATTCAGCTGCTATGCGAGCATCTGAAGCCATGTCTTTGCCAGTGGATTTCGGCATCAGTCAATGATCTCACCTCCCGTTTAGAGAAGCTGAGATGCACTGATGTCCAGCTATGTATCCACCAACTCGCACCCCGCTATTGCACGCTCTACAACAGGCTCTCTCATCAAAAAACGTGCAATGCGCTTGCTGGTTATGTTCGACAACGTGCACTGTCCCTGTTTCATGCTGGAGCAAGTATTTTGGGTGATATTTATCTTGCATATTTTCCGTTCTTGACATTTGACTCACTTTCGGATCAGGACATTTTCCATCAGATTATCACTCACGAGTTTGGTGCGCTCGTGACTGAACGTTTGTCGCGCGAAATCGTGTCGCAGTCCGTCAAGCACAGGTCAGCCCGTCTAGAACGAAAACAGAAAGTGTTGGCAGATGCAAATACTGTTCGCATAGAACAAGAACGCAATTGGCCAATGCCGGTTTCAAAGGAGGTTGTTTTCGAGTGTTTGAATGGCTATATGAAAGGTACTATGTGGACTGAGCTGCCTGTATGTGCTGTGTGCTCGCAGTACGACAGAGACACTACTGATGTTCGCCTATCAGGAGATATTTCGTCTTTGAATTTAGATCTGCTCCGCGTATCGGATGACTTTGTTATCAAAAAGTGCATTCTTCAAGGCATGTCAGCGTGTTTCACTTTTGGCAACAATCTGATCGATGGTCTAGTGCTGGAGAAGCGTGGTATTGTGTTTGAAAACGCGAGGGCCGTTGAACTCAAAATATGCCCACATTGCAGGTGTTCCTTGGTGCAGGAGAAGATTCCTTCATTAGCGCTTGCGAATGGTTTGTTTCGTGGCACCCTCCCTGACCAATTTCGTGACCTGACATGGGTCAAGGAGAAGATATGTGCCATCTATTCTATTACTGCGCACGTCACCTGCTTATTTCAATTGTCTGACCCATCACAGCCTAAGGTTTTCTATGGAAACACCTGCGCTCATGACATGAATGTTATGTCTACCGTTTCTGTGTTGCCACGGACTCCCACGGACATCAACGGGTTTCTGAGTGTTGTTTTCATTGGTCCTCAACCGTTTGATCTGAAGTGTATGGGTACACTGTTCCGTGTTCGCAAACAGAAGATCTGGTCTTTTCTCGTGTGGTTGAAGAATCACAATCATTTGTATGCTGACATTGAATTAGATTTGTCTGTATTGGACCAATATCCCACAGATGGTTCCCTTCCTGGTCTACACGAGCAAGTTGTGGAGGATCACAAACTCGACACTCAGCGTGTTTTCAGTTCCAAGACTTCTGGTTTTGCAACTCATCCTGCCAAATTTCTACAAGCCCCAAACATGTCTGCGCGCAATGTTGCAGATGGTGAGACGATAACACTGCTTGAAAAAATGGGTGAGTCTGATCCTGAATGTGACAAAGTTAGTGGCAGAACGTTCGTGGCTTCTGCCGTTCGAAACCTGATATGTCCTGATATTGTTGTCCACTGCAGTGCCAGTGCTGTCCCCGAGTATAACAACCCCCGTCTTTTTCCAGGTATGTATCCGACACTGTATCCATACGGAATTGGTGGCTTCGAGGACAAGTCACGGCTGATACCGTTGTCGTTCAACCGCCAGGCCAAGTACTGTCTCAACATCTCGGATCATTGTTTTCGGTATCACGAGTCCTTCATTTTTGTTACGTTGAATATGCTACAGAGGCGTCAGGCTCATCTGCAAACCTATTTTGCTGTGTGCAAATCAAACTTTGACTCTGTTGCTCATAATTTAACCAGTGTCTCTCCCGATGTGCTCAGACGGCTTGCAAATCGGCTCGAACAAGAAGGCAAGCTATTGAATCTCAGTACGGACGAACAGAATGCACTCAAGCTCCTTCGTCAAGTCAACGCCATGTCCACTCACATTTCTGGTTCGCAAGCTTCAAAGATCTTTGTGAGGAATGAGATCTGAAACTACTATGGATATTTCAGCCTACCGCACATCTTCTTCATGTTCAATCCAAATCCAGCTCACAGTCCGATATTTCAGGTTATGTATGGAGATTATTCTATTGATCTTTCAGAACGCTTACCTCGCATGCCCACAGGTCGCATTCAAGCCACACGTCTCGCTCATGATCCTGTTGCTGCCACCGAATTTTTTGAGTTCTCTTTCAAGTGTCTTTTCCGTTATCTTTTGGGTTGGGATTTTGATCATGGTCACTCTGTCGATGGTGGTGGGATTCTAGGGCACATTTGAGCATTCTATGGAACGAGTGAGTTCACTGAGAGAGGAGTTCTTCATGGACATTTTCTGATATGGTTGCAAGGTGGGGTGAATCCTTCAGAGCTTCATGACCAGCTTTGAAATGACCTGAGCTACCAGGATAAATTTTTCAGGTTTTTTGAAGATGCTATTCACCATCATCTTCCAGATGTTGAGGATGAAGTAGACCCTGATTTTGAGCCTCGCGTTCAACGGCCGCTGTGTCCTCCCGAATCATTGGACGTGCCCTTAGATGTATTGAATAGCTGGGAAGCAGCTTTTGTGACTGAGGTAAAACATTGTGGGAAGTGCTCCAATGACATACATGCCAGGCTGTGTGTCATAAGTATGGAAACGATGATCATTGTTGTTTTCTTTTCCTGCATGAGATAGTGGAGACCTCTTACTTTGATCAAGAAACGAACTCTATTGTTCTTGCATGTCGGGATGGAAATGTAAATTATTTTAATCCATATATTCTTGTCTTTTGCAGGCACAATCACAATATTAAATGTATATTATCGGGCAAGGGTGTTTACGTCTCCATGATTTGTATGACCCTGAAAATCGTTACTTGGGTCTCGCGCAGCTGGGTGACACCAAGGTCGAATCTCCAGATGTTTGCAACGAGCATGGGGTTCTTCTCAATGTGGGCAATTACAGGACTAAATTGCATGATGGCGATGTCATGGAGGTTGAAGTCATCTTGAAACTGTATGTCTGTTCATTCCTTGTCCTCGGCTTTCTCTGACAGTCATTACCACTGGCAGTTGGAACATCAGACCTCCCAAAGATGCCCAGCCCAATAGTCGCGACACTAATGGCTCCCGTGCATACCAACTTATACTGCGGTGTATGCAGCTGCTGCCATGTGCAGCTTACATGAAGAAAGCTCTGCATGATTTGAAAGGAAAAAGGAAGGCCGACGACAAGCTCCAAGGCCAGTCACCTACTAAGACCTCGAAGATGCCATCGAAGGGTTGTGACTTATTCGACATGGATCTGGGGACTGATGAGGAGTAGACTGGAATAGACAACAGTGCTACCTTTGACCTGCGAATAGCCTGATAGTTCTACGTCTCGAATGTCATATATTGATTACTGTTTGCTGTCATTATACATTGTTGTTTCTTGGAGTCGGGGACTGGCGCTTTCCAGCGCCGCTATGATTAAGTACCCAGAAAAGAGACAAATACCTCAAAGCTATCCACAACTGAAGGAAACACATCATGCACATTTTACAGGATGTCCAACAATTATATGACAAGTTATTACACACATGTGCAGCTGCCCTGCAAGGCAAGGCCTATTTGATGATCCTCGAAGAAATGCTGTCATTTTGTAGCAACAAACCTTTCACTCCATACAGGCCTGGAAAACACGTGACCGAAGACCTAGAATGGTGGTCACTACTGCTACAATCAGGCAGGCATTTCAAAACCTATTTACCCAGCAGCACCTCTCACAAACCTACTAGCTTTGTCAGATGCCAGCTCTGGCATAGGTCTTGGCATCATAATAGGAAAATTTTGGAGAGCCTGGCAACTCATACAAGGGTGGCAAACATCCAATGGAAAAAGAGACATTGGATGGGTGGAAGCAATCGCTTTTGAGTTGCTCATATACTCTATCACTGCTCTCACTGACATTAGCAGCAACTTCCTCATCCACGGAGACAACACAGGCATTGTCAAAGGGTGGTGGAAACATCACCATCGTAATAGAGCAGTCAATCAGGTATTTTGGAGAATCAACGAGTTCCTCATTAATCTGCCCCAGCATGTCAACATCACTACTACATATGTCCTGAGTGCTTCCAACCCAGCTGACAAGCCATCCAGAGGTATCCTCGGACCAGAGGAATTTCTTCTACCCCCAGTCAATATTCCACCCAAACTTAACAAATTCATTATTGATGCAACAGCTCCACTCTCACCTGCTGAGCTCTGCCACCTGCGAGATGGAAATTACACCACTCCTGCACATAAGATCATCAATAGAGAACTCATCAAACAGCAAGTGGAAGAGTGAGCCAGAGCCATGCTTACCAAAGAAGAAGACTTCATCAACAAAGCACTGCAAGACATCTGACTCCATGGTGGCATCACACTTTGGAGCTCCCATCACATCCAATCCCTCACACTCTACAGTGGCACCCAAAACCTACAGACCAGAACTAACACCCCACCCCTCATATCTTCAACCACACTGCCTAGCAAGAGACAGGTTAAGGTCATGGACCCCATCAGGAATGAATCCAAGGAGAGCAGAGCTCGTGGCTGTAACAGACAGCACACAGATACCGGAATCACCAAAGCTCAGCTAGATCACATTCTCAATGTCATAGGATCATCCTGGGCGCAGTCAATGAAAGAATTATATGGAGCAGGACTATTATTTTTTCATGTATTCTGCGATACCAACAACATAGCAGAAGATCAGTGATGTCCAGTAGCCCCCACCCTATTACTTTCCTTCCTTTTGAGTTGTGCCAGATCATACTCAGGATCTGCACTAGCCAACTACGCCGCAGGCATCAGAGCCTGGCACCTCCTCCATGGCAGACCTTGGCAAATTCCCCCACTTGAGCTCAAAGCTCTGCTTGAAGGAGCAAAAGCTTGTGCACCCGAGTCATTCAAGCAACTGAAATGTCTACCATTTACACCACTAGCCCTAACATCCATTAGAGAGAACTTAGACCTGAACAAACTGTTGGACACAGCAGTCTATGCATTGTAGCGATGGTCGCGGTGTTGGGCTCAAAACCACGTATTTCCATACTCACGTCAACACCCAAAACATATGCGCACATGTCCGACGCACCTTCGCACATGTCCAAGCCACTCCGTATCGGATCCGGCACATCGGACCTTCAGACATCGCATCAGCCGATCGCACTTTGTGCGCACTTGTCCATCCCGTGTCTTGTCCATCCGAACTAGCCTCACTAGGTGCGTAGTTATTCCTGTGCACGTTTTCTGACATTCGGACCGCATTATTACATGTCCGCAGCACCTCGTGTCTTATTACATAGGACATTGGACCCGAAATATATCGCTACTATCTTCGCCTGTAGTACTCCGAATTTCTACGTACTTACTTAAATACTCTGTAGTGACCTGTAGCAATCATGATCCAGTAGTTAGGAGCAGTTTCCCGACTCTGTGGATCACCCAGAATATTCTCATAGTTCTTAGTTGCATTGCAAAATATTACCATTCATTCACTGTCATACTCCGTCACTTGTTATACTCGCACATACCGCTCACAATCCGACACTCGTTATAAAGTTTCCAACCTATTATTGTGAAGTCCGAAAGTCCGAAATCTCGGACATCGCACTTTGGCTTCGGACATTGGATAAGTACCTTCGGACATCATTTCGCACCATCAGACATTTTGTTATTTGCATTACTGACGCATTTTTACTACTGATACCAATTAGCAATCCCTTTAGGATCAAACACACTTGCTCTGCAAGTATAGCAGCATAGGTCATGCTAAGATCTACCTAAATATTTGTTGTCTAGGTAGTACGATTTCTGCTGAGCCCAGCGGGAATCAGCTTTCTACAGCGTGTTTGACCACCACCTTCTACTGCATAGCGAGGCTGGGTGAATTCACTGTAAAAACGGTTAAAGATTACGACCCTAAGAAGCACATATCTAGATCAAATGTATCAGAATCAACTGACCGACACAGACTTCCCATCACCAAGTTTCACATCCCAAGTACCAAGATGGCACCCATAGCAGGGGAAGACACCTTTTGGGCAGCTCAAGACAGTCTCTGTGACCCAAAAGCTGCACTATCAAATCATTTACGTGTTACAAGAACATCTAGACGCTTGGGCCCCTACTATTTTCTCCTAATACTCCTCGTATCAGCCCTCGCGTCATACCCTTACCCCGACCTTACCCTTGTCATCCTTGTCATCCTCGCATTCCCTTTCGCCCTCTACCTGTCGCTTCAGCAAAGCCAGTACATCTGGCCGGACCCTTTCGCTGACGAAGCATACCCATGCTCCGTTTCACCACCTGACTGATCCTGTGGACAGCCCCCTTGCCTTTACCGTCTGGACGGTAACCTATGATATGATGCACGACGCATCCCCTTTGCCCTGTTTCCTTTCCTGATCTCTGACTCGGTGCGCAGTCGCACATGCGACTTATACTTAGATCCGCAGCTGCACGATCGTGCCCCTGCGCGTTTCACCTCTTATTTCGATCTTTGATTCACTTTCTTATCTAGCACGTTCTACCTCGACCGAACGTGCCTTCCTGTTATAGTTATACCCTTTACCGATTGCCTCTCCCGGTAGTACGAGTTATCACCCACTAATACGTCTCCTGCCCTCTATATAAACTCGCTACCATGTACCATATTCCCTAACTTGAATCTACTTGGTTCTTGACCTCCAACTCTTAACTGAGTGATCCTTTCTGCCTCGCCAGCAGTCTATATTCTATCTTCTTATCTGCTCATCGCGGATAAGCCTATAGTCTCGACCTTTGCTCATCGACTTCGTCGACAAGCAAAGCCCCTGTTAACTAGTCGGACTTCTGTCCTTCTAATTAACGACGATCCTTACGATTAACCTTCGGGTGTCGTAAGCCTAGGCCGATATAGCTTATCGTCTCGCACCCGCGTGACATAAGCTACCCGATTTGGACATAGGCGTCAAATTGTACTTGCCGAAGACCCGCCAAGTACGACCCCTAACCTTGGGCTAGCCCAAGGACATCCTCGACCGTTGACGACACACGCTCTGTTTGAGTGTCGCCAACAGATACCATCCAAGTCGTAACATTACGTGTCAACCCCACAAGCAATGACTCTCACCTGTTTGCCTGGAAACATCCCAAAGGCATGTGCCCACTATCAAAGAAAGAAGTGATGAAATGAGTAGCATCAATAGCAGCGGCAGCAGGGCTCCCAGACCTTAAAGGACACAGGTTAAGGATTGGAGGAACGCTAGAGTACCTCCTACAAGGCATCCCCTTCAAGGTAGTGAAGACCATGGGCAGATGGTCTAGTGACAAGTTCTCACTATATCTCAGAGACCACACCATGATATGTGCCCCCTACATACAAGCATCCCCAGCCCTCGAACCATTCACATGATACATGCTGCCACCGGTGGGGTAGAAACCCAAGTGAGTCCTTCGCTCCTAAACCTTGGGCATCAAGCTTTGCTTTACATGTTGCTACACTCCTAATCTTCGGGATCACAGCTCACCTTAAAGCCTAGGTTCAGACCTTTGTTTCAGGCCAAAAGCCCTGTGTTCACCCAAAGACACTTGAAAACTTTCTGTATCCACATTGTCAATACAAACACAGTCAAGTGGTAGCACAATACCCAATGTAATAGTTCACCCTAGCCTCTACTCATTTCAATACAGTCTCCTTTGAAGTCACCAAGCATTGAAGCACATAGAGAGGGGGATTAGCATGATAAACAAGAGCTTTCAATTGTAACACCACCAGCAATTGTGTTTGCATTGAGGATCCTGGTGCACAGTCATGGTCAAGAGTCAAGAGCATTGAGGCCAACCAGAACAAAATCACAACTAAGTCTCATGTTGATCAATATTTGCAACACAATGAAAGGATAGTTTGATTGTATTTTCAGATTCTGTTGAAATACCACAGGGTGTATTTTTCATTTGGGAAATGCAAGAAAATTACTGGAAATCTGAAATTGCACGAAATTATCCAAAAGTAATAGTTTGCGAGTTTATGCTGTGTAGGTAATACAGTACATACATGACACACTGTGATGTCCTGATTATATCATTTTCAATTTGTGTCAGATAAAAGCCAAACTGCCTGGTAATCATATGCCGAAAATACAAAATCTCTGAGTCTATCTACACCAATGGAGAAATGATAATCTATCTTATAGTGCATCACACCAAAAAGACTAATGCATGTGCTGGTATAAGCAGGAGAAGACACGTTGTCTGGGATATTTAGGCGCCACTCGAAGTCCTCGTTGTTTGGCCCACCGCCTGACAACATTTGGGTCTGATACGCCTTCCATGAGTAATCAATGATACTTGTCATGACTCGAACTTACAGTCCGTGATAATTCCATCTGAACCATCCTTGAAGAGCTCCTCAACGCGGTCCAAGCCATTCACCTGCAATGGTTGATGTGTAAACATTGATGATTGCGAACAAATAGATAGGTACTCACAGTCCAAGGTACAACTTTCATGCCGAGCCTGTGAGCTTCGCTAATCATTTCAGGAGTTGTGAAGTGAGAGGATCCCTCACGGGATGAAGAGGGCATGAGGAATGTTCCAGTAGGAGATAAAATATCCGCTTGTATAGCGTGGGCGGCTTGTGCTATTTGCTCGGGCAGGGATGGTCCGGGAAATGATTCAAGGCGCAGGCCGGCCAGCCAAGGGGAAGTCGAGCCATGCGACGTAAAAGCAGTGTCCCTGGATGGTGATGGTTGGCGCGCAACATGTTGACTCGAAATTCACTCACTCGTCGATAAGAGCAGAGGTTACAAGTTTATCATCCAAAGTCTTCAGCCGATGATCAATAAAGCAGAGTAAACGAACGTAAGACACAAACCTTCATGGCTACTAGAGTTCGCCAGTCAAAACTTTGATACTGTCAAAGCAATTAGACTATTGAGTAGTAGTAACAGAGCCATACTCACAGTAATAGATTGGTAGTATGGGCTAGATATGAATATCTCATGTTGCTTCTGGACAAAATCATCCACGCTAGCAGTTTGATTTGGGTATCGAGCGTTGATTTTTGACTCGATATTCCAAAGGATCTGATGGGACTGATCTGCGCAGGACACAAAATCGAAAACTTCCCGTAATGTGGATATCCGCGCTCCAGGATATATAAGCTGGTGGGCTGTATAAAATTCTTCAGACAGTGGCCTTAGATGAAAAGGGAGTATATACGATAATTGGTTTGGCGCTTTGACCCACAATCGAGAGTCTTTATCTGAGCCAACGTCAGATTTGAGATAAACTTTCCGACATAAGGATATGCGGGATCATCTGGGACCTGTGCTGGTCAGTCAACCGTCACACCTCATGCTACAATACTGCTCACCACTGGTGCAGTGTCAGAGCACTTTTCTGGCAATATACTCTCGTCATGCCATACAACGACTTCACCATCCTGTAAGCCCTGTCAGAAAAGCGTGTGACCTGACAAGTGAAAGCTTGCTTGAGTGATGCCATTGTCTAGTTCGAGTGTAGTGGCGCCGTCGATGAGACCCCTGTGACGGGAATTTGCTTGAGGTGAATCAAACATCGACCCATCCACTATACCATGCGAAGCTCGGTAGAGTGCTCTCAACAGCATTTCCTCTCCCTCCGCGATGAGCCTGAGTTACGATTTGTATAAGCCAAGATCTTGAGCGCACTACTGTGACGCACCTGTATATCATAGAACTGATGATTGTTAGACGCAGTTCGGAATGGACCCTGAGACGGTGATGCGTAAACCAGAGCCATCTCTGTGAATACGAGAGCATAGACAAATGGTATGCACATGATGAAGGAAGGTGGGTTTATTTTTCGACTTCAGCTAGTCCACAATTCATATATGATATCTCTCCTTTCTGTAGAATTGCTCACCGCGGCATTCGGCAAAACACCGGTTATCAATAAACGTTCAAAACGACCACTGTCGAGACGAACGTTCAAGCAAAAGATCCCGATAATTTCCAGCCGCCAGCGATTTGAACAGGTGGCACTGCCAGCTGCAACGTTCACTTCCTGGCAAGGCAAGTCACAGGCCAGGCTGGCCTGCTAGCTACCATTTACTGCTGCTTTGGCAGTTTCGTTACTAGAGTTATACAAACCAGTCTGTAGCTCGTAGTAACGTGCATCGTTCCATCGAATGCAAGTAGGCGACAGCAGTATCTAAGGACTGCTCCAGTCGCGAACTGGTTGGGTGGGACGAACGTGCGTGATGTCGAACGCGATATAAGTAGCTTCATGCCGTAGTGGGTCACAACAATGGGAAATGTTTCGCCAACGTTTTACTAGTAGCTGGTTTCATGTCATGTATCATGATTGAGCGCTCCAGAGTCCACGGTCATGAGATAAAGATTGTATTATTAAATTATTAATTGTGGGACGCCCCGGAGTAGACCGTTGACACAAACGTTCAACAACATGTGAGCAGTACTTGCTCAATGCTGCAAGAAATCCCTCTAAGTATTTGAGTGACGATTTTATCGTACAAAAACGGGGTCTTATACCACGAACTAATAGCTATCTGGGCTTTGAAGCTGATGCCGTGTTGAATGCAATTGACCTGCAAACGACCGCAGAAAAGTGCTCGTTCTGCGATCACACAAGACGCTAATTCAGTGTGATCACCCGCTCGAAGTGTTCAAAATTATTCATGAGATGAAATAAATGAGCGTATTAGTATCTAGTATCTAAATCATGTCAGCGCTCAAGCACAAATAACTCTGGGTGACCCCACCGGCTTGGTGGCGCTGGCGTATTTGGATCATGTCCAAAATATCTCGGGGCCATGAGGACGCTGAAACATGGTACCAGTTGACCCCCGTCTTCAGATTGGGACCCAGACATAATCACGCAATTCCAGAGGGATCGGGAGTCTCGAGTTAACTTGCTAAGGATAAGCGACCCACAGAAAATGCTTTCGAGATGCTGAAGAGAGTTCGGTCGACTTCTAGCTGATTTGATGATAACATAAAAGTACCCGGAATCGAAGACTAGGGCTTCAGTGGGGTGTCCGTACATGTTGTATCGTTTATTTCTAGATCCTACCGCTCGTCGCAGGTCCTGCAAGCTCAGACGCGGCCACACCCGTCACGGTGTTCGTTCAAGATGATTTAGGTTGATGTTGATTTGATAAGTGTTTTCCCACCTCAATGCTTTCAGAAGGATTTGGTGGTCTTCGATGACCCTGTCATATCTCGAAGGCCAAGACCCTAGCGCAGTATCGATCTGCCATGCAGTGCCCTTGCTGGTGGAGGTTGCTTGTAGCATCTGAAGCGAACGAGAACAGCCGGTCACCGGGAGCGTGCGAAAATTTACTAGTAAGACCAACGACCGTAAACGTCCGATTGTTAGAAAAATACTCCGCTCGAACAGTTACTAGTTACTTGCAACCACCGCCAGCATCGTCTGACATGGCTTCCTATGCCATCAGGAAATCTATAAACCTCGCACCGACCGTGCGTGCCCTCCCAAATGGAATCCCGAGCGCGCCGCGTCTCAACCTCGCGGCACGAGCACCTTCGGATGGCCATGGTCATGGTGCAGCAGGTCCCCGTGCTGATGTCCCCACTCGCTTGACTGGAACAGTCACGAGTCCTTCAGTTGGTCTAGTTTCCAAGACTTTCCTTGGTAAGAAATTTTCACCTTACTTTGACTTACCTTCTTAACACTAACGCTGACCAAAATGCCTCTCCTACTATTAGCTCCTCCTTCCACAACCCATCTCCACCAGCGCCTCATCCACACATCTGTTGCAGCGAAAGATGCTCCTCAAGTGCCTGATTTCGCCCCCTACCACCCGAAAGACGAGACCACCAACCGCGCCATGTCGTACTTCATGGTTGGCTCCCTCGGCGTCCTCTCCGCTTCTGTTGCCCAGTCCACTATTACTGGCTTCCTGGAGACCATGGCTGCATCAGCTGACGTCCTTGCTCTCGCGAAGACCGAGGTTGCACTTGCCAACATTCCGGAGGGCAAGAATGTCATCATCAAATGGCGCGGTAAACCTGTGTTCATCCGTCACAGGACCCCTGATGAGATAGAAGAGGCACGGACTGTCGATCTAAAAGGACTCAGGGACCCGCAGAGGGATGAAGACCGAGTGAAGAAGCCCGAATGGCTGGTTATGCTCGGCGTTTGCACGCACCTTGGTTGTGTCCCGATTGGCGAGTCGGGTGACTACGGAGGATGGTGCGTTGTTTTTCTTCCATTACTCAACTGTTCTAACAGTCTTGTTATCTAGGTTCTGTCCGTGTCATGGTTCTCACTATGATATTTGTATGTCGCCGTGATTCCTTCGCTTAATGATTTACTAATCAAGTTCAATTTGCAGCTGGCCGTGCCCGAAAGGGACCTGCTCCGGTAGGGACCTTTATCTGTCTGCTGAAGTCATACTAACATCATTTTACAAGCTTAATTTAGAGATTCCTCCTTACGACTTCAATGACGCCGAAGGAAAGCTCATTGTTGGATGAGATTAATCACGGGCTTTTTTTACTGTCCTGTAATGGATTCATAGACACTAGTAGAAATCAGCTTGGATTGCTTCTCATCAAGATTTGTGTGACAATTATTGCTGAAATGTTCTGAGACAGGTGACAGCAGCCAGTCGGCAGTATAGTAGTAATGATGGATAGGGACGTAGGAAAACTCGTAACGACTGAATGACTAGGCCAGCTGTAAATAAACAATATCCTGTGTGATAGTGTAGCCTTGACGATGGTATATATAAAGTTACGAGACGGTAGGATGTTGAGCCAAGGCAGCGGAGCTGCGTCTGCTCAGTATACGTGAAACCCCGCTCATTGTCTTCTCTTTGGCAGGTGGCTCTTCGTTTATGGCATTTCGGGAAGTGGCGTGGGTCAAGCGCTGCCAAAGTTTCGGAGATACTGATGATGCAGAGGTGGGGGAAGATGCCGTGCCGTCTTTGCGATACGAGAAAGGTGAAATACGAACATTAGATGACGTTCGCTTTGGAATATGAATAGGATGAGGCCCAGGTACGGAACCTGGTTTAGGCACATATGCAGGTGGTGATGCAGCAAATGATGCATCCAAACTTGAAGACCTGGATTCCCCGTATCCAGCGTGGGGACCTGAAAGAAGAAACTGAACCATCTTCTCGTTTTCAACAGTACGAGCATCGACGTTGATGGCTGTCGAGTCTAAATTAGGCATGATTGGCGCTGTTTCTTCCTTGATACCGTGTGAAAGCTCCAATCTTGAATGTACTGGCCGAGTCAACTGGTGATGATCGTCTGATCCAACGTCAAGGCTTTCCCTGACGGATACACCCCCTGATGAATTTATCTCTGTAGAGTTGAAGTCCCACGATTCCACTGTTCGATGAGTAACGGTGATTGAATGGTGTCTGAGACGTTCTTGGCGCATTGTAAGGGGTGGGAGGCCGTCCAATATTGTGCTGACCAGATAGGATTTCTTCTTGGAAGACTTGAAAAATGGGGCGAGAAGCAACTTCGCAGCCGTTGGACTGTCAAGGAGATATCAGATATAAAGTAACGAGTTGCTGGAAATAAAAATACCGTTTGGAGGGATCTTTTACCAGACAGGCATCGACTACGTCCTTGAAGGCACGTGAATACCGGTGAACACCCCCTACTGAGTCAAACTTCGGAGGTTTACCCTGAACGCTGGAAAAAAGGCCTCAGGAATGTGATCAAAAAATAGATACTTGAAACTTGCGTTTGCAGAAGGACATTATGAGCACTTTCTCTCGATCGTGGAGGGCGACCCTGGGTAAGCTCGATAGCAGTTATTGCAAATGACCAGATGTCAGCCTTCGAATCGTATTGATGACCCTGAATAAGCTCCGGCGCCATCCAGCAGGGCTGCATAGTTCAAAAACTTCTATGTTAGAGCATTCAAGGATCTGAGGTAAACTGTGGCACGCACAGTCCCAACGAACGATTTTCGTTTCCCCATACCAGGACGCGCAGGTGGGGATGCAGGAGAGGAGTTATTGGCAGCAGAGACAGGGTCAAAGTTGATAACACGATTGCCAGCAGCAATATAAGATCTACTGGACACATCAGCATCATCTGTGAGGGATGCGGCTACCCCAAGGTCCCCTAGCAAAACTGTGCCGTCATCATCGACAAGAAGATTAGCAGCTTTTACGTCGCGGTGAATAAATCCGTTAATATGCAGGTAGCTGTGCAAATGTGGTCATTGTAGTACGAGAAAAGAGACGAGATAGACTGACTTGAGGCCTTCAAGAGCTTGCTTGAGGATGCATTTAACAACCTCTTCTTCCATTCCACCGGGCCAGCCGTAATGCATTATGTCGGCGGCGCTCCCCTTGTTCATAAGGCGGAGGGCAATATATAACTTATGGCCATCCATCCAGCTACCGCGTACACGTAGCACGTTTGGGTGCTTTGACAGAGACATTAGTTGTGTCTCCCGTTGTAACAAAGACAGCGAATGAGGGGGCAGCACGTCCAAGTCAAGAACTTTCAACGCGCATGGCATAGGACGTCGTGGCCCTGGCAGGGGAGGGTTGTAGACAGCAGCATAAACCACAGATGATGCTCCGAAACCTATAGGAGATCCAATAGTGTAGTCCGTGGAACGGTCGCTAAATGGAAGTGAGTTTAGGTTAATCCGTTTAGCAGATGTTTGCAATACCTATACAATTGCCAGTCGTCTTTAACAGAACCGACAAATTTCCTGGCAATATTAACAGTCATTTAGTGGACTCTGCAGCGTACCATCAGAACTACCCCGAATATATAAGTACTGCCAAGGAGCCAGCATATGGCGACGTACGTGGGTTAAGGGACATTCGGCGTATAAAGATTTGCCGTAACTGCGGGTGAAATTAACGACCTTGTCACCTTGATTTTCATATCAGATCAATATGTCATCGCGTGACAATCTTGGTCACACTTTGTTCCGGGCATTCCGACTCCGTTCGTGAATCATCTCTTCACAAAGTACATGGCACCGCACCAACCATGCGCTAAATATCAGTACGTCTCTACATCGTCCACTTCAAAAATTGTCCCGGTTACAGACCAGGAACCCAAGGATGAAGAATCACCAGCTGACTACAACGCTGGCGGGTATATGGTCGTTAAAATCGATGACACATTCAAAGACGGTCGGTACGTAGTAGCACGCAAGCTAGGGTAAGTCATCATCTCCTTTGTCATGCAATTCTTGTTCATTCGACAAGCTGGGGCCATTTTTCAACTGTCTGGCTCGTCAATGATACTCAGTGGGTATTCCAGTCCTGGCAATACACACGTATGTCATAATTTTTTTTTCTAGCGAGAACCGCTATTCCGCTCTCAAAGTGGTCAAATCTGCTACGCGTTATGCTGAGACTGCACGCGACGAAATCAAACTTTTGTCTCAAGTAGCTGCTGCAAATCCGCACCATCCTGGTCGACTACATGTTGTCTCATTCCTCGATTCTTTTGAACATCGCGCTCTCCAGGACACTCACGTGTGCATTGTGCTCGAGCCCCTTGGGGAGACGCTTCTTGCATTAATTCAACGTAACAAGAAGAAAGGTGTTCCAAAACCCCTCGTCAAGGTCATCGCGAAGCAAGTGCTTCTCGGCCTTCAATATCTTCATGATGAATGCGATCTCGTTCACACTGACATTAAACCTGAGAACATTCGTGCGCATCTAATTGTTTATGTATCTCTATCCGCCTCACTGACAAGTTAATCTGTTACAGTCATTTCCATACCAGATGTCGAAGCTCGTATCCATGCCGAATTGTCTATTTCGCCAAAGCCAACATCGTATCACGTAGGCGTTCCTCAGCCCACCAAGTCCCGTTCTGGCTTGACCATTCCTTATCGACACGTATCTGCACGCGAAAGACGCGTGCAAATATTTGATTCACAGCCGTTATCAAGCCCATCGTCGAGATCTGGAAGTATCAGCGCTAACGCGAGTAGCCATAGCTTCCAAAAGCAATTTTCTGAAACAAGTCCGATCAGTGGCGCACCCATCAGCCAGTTGCTTAGGAAGTCCGCTAGAGCAGACCCTACCATTCTTCATGACCCACCAGTAATGCCTTCCAGTAGCCCGTCGACTTCGTCTATCATCTCCTTCACGTTATCCACGCCAGCAGCTTCTAACAGTACTGTCAGTACACCCCCTACCTCAGTGGGAAGTACAGACATCCCCATTCTGACGAATATGGCCTCGCTTACACTCATGAGTGCTTCGCTGGATGCCGAGAAACACGTATCTACTTCCCCCCTCATCCAATCGCATCCTTCTTCGGATATTCACATCATTTCTGGGCCGTCACTTCTGACCCAGACTGCTCCACATCAATCCTCTCAGCCGTCTCTCAGCCGAACTCCGTCGTCTCCTTCTTCAGGGGTATCCGTTCTAGGACCTCCATCTACGCCGCTTTCTACGCCGCTTTCTATTAAAATAGCTGATCTAGGGAATGCGACACCTTCTAAGCAGCATTTTACAGAGGATATTCAGACGCGGCAGTATCGCGCTCCGGAGGCTATCCTTGGACGACGTGACTGGGGTACAAGAGCTGACGTTTGGAGCGTTGCCTGTGTTGTTTTCGAGTTGTTGACCGCGGAATATCTGTTTGACCCTCATGGACAAGGCGAGGTGTTCACAAAGGACGATGACCACATGGCGCAGATAATTGAGTTACTGGGTGATTTTCCGCTAGACGCGAAGATGGGAGGAAGATATAGTCGTGAAATATTTGATCACACAGGCAAGTCAAGTGGGAAAGAGAAATTCAAACAAAGAACTTACGTTGCGTTCAGGGGCCCTTCGCTACATCAAAACGTTGAAGCCGTGGCCTCTCAATCGTGTCATGACAGAGAAATACCTTTTCTCTATCTCCGAAGCGAACGATTTATGCTCCTTTCTTGAACCCATGCTTGCAGTCGATCAAAGGGAACGTAAGGAGGTTCGCGATATGGTTGGCCATTTTTGGCTAGATGTGAAGGACGAAGAGTGGGTAGCCGTTGACGGCTGGTAATGAACCTCATGTCTCGTTGATGCTATCATTTTACATATGGGGTTTCTGTGTCATGGGTTATCCGAAATATACAACCTTAGCTCTTCTGTCACCCTACTTTAATTGTGTTTATTCCTTATGGTTGCACGATAGACATTACGTTGGCTGTAGATTTAGACACCTTTTAGTTTGGCGACTGTCCATACGACGGTACATGTATTACATTCTCTTGAGCCATAAATTATTAAATATAAAGTCTTTCATGCTCATGCTTCTGATCTAACATCCACCTCATACTCCCAGAACTTTTTGTGAGACTTGCGGTTCCAGTCACATGAAGGGCGCCAAAAGAGGACGGTGAACTGAAGAAGTCACCGATTATGTAATTATTAATTTCAACGCTTTACACGTAATTACTCATGTATCAGCGTCACGATGTAACTGACATTTTCATTTGTTCACTGATACGGTTGACATTAATGTTATTTGTATTTTGCAGGTATCTCTAGAAGGAACAATGCTACGTTATAGAAAGCAGGTCGACCATCACAAGTCCTCGGTTGGTGCCGGGATGTTCGTTTAAAGCTGCTCCTTGGCCCTTGGGACGGGTGACAGCGCAAGCTTATGACAAACGCCATGAGATGGTATAAACTTAAATTCCGGCCCTGCTTGGCCCAAAAGCCGCGGTTTTGGCCTGCAAAAAACTCAGGCTGGGCCAAAGCCAGCTGTCATTGGCTTTGGCCCGGCCCTGACCTGAGCCGCGGCTCGAATAGTGAAAATGTAGTTAGTGATCTGTAGGTCATAAGGTCACTGTACAACCAGCATTACCACCTGCACGCAGCGCGCCTATCAAAACGAGCGATCATGGCCGTACGAAGATGGATGCGAGCCAATGAGACAAGGTATACAGTCTCAAAGTCTGGAATATCGAAGGCCCTGACAACAGGTTGTGCATGGTGGCCATGACTGGATGCTACATCCGAAGTCGTCAGAATGCTGGAATCAACTAGATAGGATGCACAAAATTGATCATATGCCAATATGCATGAACACTATGCGCTAGTCTCGACTAAGCGCTGCACGGCGTTGACCTTCCATAATGGCCCAACGACACTCCTGACCCCAGCGAATTGCAGGCCAGCCTCTAGATGTAAGACTAGAAATGCAAATTGATGCCGAGACAGGTCTATTTGCGTGATGTCGAGGAGCGAAAGCGGCTGGTTGCGCATAGGCAAGGCTGATTTTAAGAGTTCGTCAAATCTCTGTGTCCCGTTGACGTCAAATTTAACAAGTAAAGAAAATTTAATGCAAGACTCACGTTTAGCCATGGTTCCGACGGTGCTCGGGTGAGGGGAATCGATCGGTCAACACAACTTGAAGGAAGCAAGGAGGATATGACTTACATGGGATCTGGCACTACATGTGGCAAAGCGGCACACTCTAAGACATCGGTGTTCTCCACTCTGAACTTTGCGAAGGCTGAAGAGGTTCAGAACATTAACATTGAAGATGAAGTGCTGAGGGGAAATAATCACAACGGCGAGGATGACGGTCCACGGATGGGACCAGGTCAGGACGACCGTCTGGTCATTGTGTACACTACATTATATGACATAAGCCGGCTGAGCCAGCGGCTTTGGCTTTCCAAAGCCGTTGCACCAGGCCCATGATGACTTTGGCCCGGCTTGGTTTGGCCTATTTGGGCCCGGCTTCGGCTGGCCCATGCACATCTACTACTGTAGTACTACTTATAAATACTAAACACATAACACCTGTGACCTATGTGATAGAAGTCGTCATTTTTCCCTGAAAAAGCTCCAGCTCGTCCAACCATGATGCTCGCCTCCATCGCCTCCACTCTCTCACTCGGCTTTCTAAAAGCATGTAGTGTGGTCCTCCTGATTTTGGTATCAAGAGGACTTGTGTGGTTGATCAATATGATGATCGTAGCACCCATGTTTGACCCGCTCAAGAACATTCAGGGGCCGGACGGTTCTCCGCTGCAGAATCACTTTCGCGAGGTCATGGAGTACGTGCATATCCAATTCGAGGTCAGTCGTGAGGAGACTAATTTGCCTTCATTTCAGCCCTAGCGTATCTCCAAACATGCATGAAAAGTGGGTCAAGTCATTCGCGAAGACATTCAAATTTCATGGGTTCGGTAGGGTGAGTGCTTGCAATCTATTCCCGACTCATCCTCCTAAAACTACTATTAGCATGACTTCCGTCTCTTTTCCGTCGATTTTTGCGTTATGTCGCATATCCTCAACTCACCGATCTACGAGAAACCGTGGCAAACGCGAACATTGCTGACGAACCTTTTTGGCCGCGGTATGCTGGTTCGTTTATTTCTAGAGGCATGAATATTCTAAGTGGTTGAATACCAGGTATTTTTGCAATGGAAGGTGTCGAGCACAAAGCTTTAGTGAGAACTGCCCTTGATTTCTGAAAAAAAAATATTCATATGGTTACTCGCAGAAGAAGTTAATTGCACCAGCTTTTTCAACTCAATCAATTAAAGCCATGGCTCCCATATTCTTCCAGAAAGCTGAAGAATTAAGGGACAAATGGGAGAGTTTTGCGTCTTCTCCCACATTGGTCGAAGATGCGAAATTCCCTCCCCTTCCTGCACCACCTTTCTCTCCTTCTCCTTCTTTTGCCGAGGCAGTGATCGACGTCGCTCACTGGTTTTCCCTTGCAACATTTGACGTGATAGGTTTGGCAGGCTTTGACTACCACTTTCATGCTCTCCAGTGTGAATCAGAAGAAGTCTACTTGGCATACAGAAATATGTTCAGGATCGCTGACAGGGGTCCCAAATTGCGAGAAATTGTCCAGCTTTATTTCCCGATGATTGAGAAGATATTTGTCAGTAATACCATCAGTTTGGCAGATACTTGACTGATGTATTGTCTTCGTTGCAGCCTAATGAAATCACCCGCATCACAAATGAAAGTCGACGCGTAATCAGCGAAGCTGGTCAACAGCTCATCCAAAGCAAGAAGCTCGCCATCCTTGCTGAAAAAGCGAGTGCGAACGACATCAAAGAAAATGATATTCTTAGTCGACTCAGTCAGTGGCTCACGCCACTCTTTGTTAGCTGTATCTGAGATTTACTTGTAGTCAAATCAAACCTATCGGCGGATAATTCTGAACGACTTTCTGACGCAGATATTCTATCCCAGCTCTCAACATTTCTTTTCGCCGGCTCCGATTCTACGTCTCTTGCTATGTCCTGGTGCATCCACCTCCTTTCCCTCCACCCAGATATTCAAGGTCGCCTACGCTCTGAATTGAACTCGATGTCTCCTTGCGCATCTAATTCTTCATCGATGTCAGGCTATTCTGCACCAACACACGCAGAAGCCATCGATGGGCTTCCTTTCCTCGATGCAGTAGTCCGCGAAACACTGCGTCTGTGCCCTCCCGTCCACGGCACAATGCGGGTGGCTACTCGCGATGACAATATCCCGATATCTTCGCCCATAGTTCTTCGTAATGGCACGATCATCCAACCGGGCGAGACTATCCATATCCGCAAAGGCTCTTACGTGCACATTCTCATCGAGGCTTTGAATTATAGCACTGACATCTGGGGCGATGATGCAAGATCGTTCAAGTAAGTATGATTTTCCTTGTTGCGCCGCTTTTCTGACAACATTGCAGCCCCGATCGCTGGTTTTGTCTGCCTAACTCTGCACGCGCTCCCTCTCATCCAGGAATCGCGAACCTGATGACGTTCTCACTTGGTCCACATGCTTGTCCGGGCTGGAAGTTCTCGATGTTGCAAACCAAGATATTCCTGGCTACTCTCATCACTCATTTTGTTTTTGAGCCTGCTACAGATGTACAAAAGTTCAACGCAATTCTGACGCGGCCCTACGTATACGATCAATTTGAATTCGGCACGCGGCTACCTGTAAAAACAGGACGAGTAAATATTTGATATTTGTAGATGGGTATACTCTTGTAGCAAATTGCCTTTGTATTTTTAGTCTATCCTTATCGTCGCTAAAGTATCCATCTGGTTACCAGTCCGATAAACCAATGGGTAGATCATCATAAATGTAGGACTACGTAGCTCGAAGCGGAGTTTCACCATCGTTCAGAGTCACATGGTCAATGGCGCCGATCAATATGTCCACCTCATCCTCTGATGATATAGAATACACCGTGCTATCGGTCGGGGTTTGCCTGGTTTCCTGGACAGGACGAGGGGAATCTACAGAAACTTCGTAAATGCAACAATATCTAGTGCTAAGACAGACCTCACCTCGAGGCAGAGCAGTAGCCATCCTGCTGGCCTTAGGGGTCCTAGGTGCTCTTTGCATGAAGAGGGGGATGAGTTTTCCGATCTTACAAACGCCACAAACTAGAGCAGAGTCAATGAATCTATGTGTGGTATTCCAAGTACATTCGAGAGCAGCTCACCGCATTCATCAGGTCTGATGGATTTGCTATATCGCCCATATCTAATGCCACATCATCAGACATTAGATACTGACGCTAGACCTAAACTTGTCATACACTTTTGAACACTTTTCGCATTCTTCATAAAATTATCAAATTAGCATTTGGTTGAAGCAAAATCTCATACTTACTCCACTCAAATGGGTAGGAAATCTCATAGTTGTGCCTTGTCTGGGATCGCGGCCGTCAGAAAACAGTCACTTTGCGCTCGTAGTTGCCTACTGTGATTTCGATTTCTGGATGCTTGACCATCACTTTGTTGGCCCTAGCAAGATATCAGATGAATAATAAGTGACAATGAAAATGATGCGGGCACAGACCAGGCTTTGAAAATTTGGCCATGACCTTCTTTCGGGCTGCTATTGATGATCCAGGATGCCAGATGACACATCTCATGCGACAAAGTATTTCGTATCCGTTCTAAGAGAACACAAATCAGAGGCATGGTAGAACAGAAACGAAGATCTCTCCACCATCACAATCCAAAATTTTGGTAGCCAACTCGATCTCTGTCGTCTGAACACCATCCCTAGACCTGCCATAAAGATCAGCATAATTAAAGATGTAGAATAACAACTGGATACCTGTGCCACTTGGCCCTTCCCGCGGTAGTTAAGAGGCGTTTGTTCCAATTCAATTTCGTCTCTCGGGGGAGACCGTTGTTAAATATTGTGCTATTAAGCTCTTCAAAGAGCTGTGCAGCATATTTCTCGCGACGTGCCTGCTCCTCTGCTTTTCTGCGCGTGGGGATCCTGGGGGGTGGTTTATTTATTCGTGGCGTTATGCTGCCTAAGATTGCTTGAGAGGTGCCAGACAGCCTTTTATCCTCTCCAGATGAATGTGACTGAGATGACACATCATCGCAGCGAGTAATTGGGGAAGAGGGAATAGTTACATTGACAGTGGATATCTGAGCACGGCGAATGGGTTTGCGTGCACTTCGAGGCTCATTCCTATCGGGTTGATGTTTGAGCTCGAAATTAGCACTAGTGGGTATGGCCTCACAAAACGAGAATGGAACCATCGTCTGCATCGCTCTCATCAACATAAAGTGATAGGAAGTCTTTCGGGCGCTGAGCTACAGGTTTCCTCGGAATTTTGGTGGGGCTCTTGACAAGATCAGTCAATTTGTCTGGAAAGTCAGAGGATGTATCGTGACTCGGAGTATCACTATCTGTCAATTCGATAATTTCGGACGGTCCACGAAATGAGCCTGTGTTGACGGGAGTGTTCTGGCCCTGTCGAGTACTGTATCTTCATCAAGTGTCTGATAGCACGGTGTACGAGACAACACTTACCCATCTGTTGTAAGCCTGGATGATCAATTGAAAGTAAAAACATGTGAATATGTTTGGACATATGATATCTCTGCCATAGAGTCTTACGAGTTGTCATCATCGTCTGAGGATATTTCAATGATTTCAAGTGAAACCGATTGACACTTTCTATGTATCATATATGTGCAAGTTAACGTCAAAGAGTGGTTTCACGAGACAGTCACGCACCTGAGTCTCTCTTCCTCGCTGTCTGATATTAAATCTGGACTAAGCCTCCTGATCATTGATCCTAAGTATTGGGTGGCAAAAACAGATAACAGAATTAATCAGTCAACGATATGTGGGCACTAGGCGAGCAGTAAGATGTTTGAAAACTGACTGTATACAATACATCTCGCGCGACTCGAGACGCGTTTGTTCCCGGTGTCCCGTGACAATGTCAACTTATCATGTGCATGTTCAATTGCGACACTAAACCGTTATCTTTGCGCGATATAATAAGGCCCGCCTAGCTCAATCGGATAGAGCGTCAGACTTTTACGAATTGTACGAGTTTGTGCAAGGCGGTGATCTGAAGGCTGCGAGTTCGACCCTCGCGGTGGGCTAAAGTTTTGGTCAGTTATTAATTCATTTTTTTCGTTTTCATCCTGCACATGGAGACTATGTAGGTCCGACCTCGGCATTGGACAGGAACATTTTTACGTACCGGCAACATCATTTAGCCGTTGGCAGTCCGCGCATAACGTATATAATAAATAGTACAAGTACTTCCACGCGTTTGTTTTCCGGGTTCACTGTAACATCTGAGTTGGTTTTACTTTGTGGAACGTGTCAAAGACTTGCGTATAACTCAATAGAAACTTCGCGGCTGGCGTACTGAGCAGGGCTTATGTTTTCTGATCGGTGCAAAGTGCTTATACAAATTCAAGTTCAAGGACAGCCACATATTTTTGGCAACAACTGCTGGAGCCGTAGTTGTCGCTTCCCAAGTTCATGTTAAACCTGAAAAGAGCCTATATTTGGTCTAGATGGTGGATAATCATTGCAGCGGTATACGCATTTAAATTCCTCTGACTTTCTAATCCTCTACACCCGCCTCCTCTTCTGCAATAAGCCTCTCCGCTTCAAGCGCAGCCATGCACCCACTCCCCGCACTGGTAATAGCCTGCCTATATTTCTTGTCCTGTACATCGCCAGCAGCAAACACGCCCCTGACGCTCGTCTGCGTCGTTCCAGGGACAGTGATGATGTACCCATCAGGGTCTGTTTGCAGCTGGGAGCGCACGAGAGACGTGGCGGGTTCATGTCCGATCGCATAAAAGAGTCCGCGCACGGGTAGATCGCGTTCTACGCCTGTCCTTACATTTTTGATGCGGAGGTTGCTGAGGTTGACGCCGTCGCCTTGGCATTCGGTTGCGACGGTGTTCCAAAGGATTGTCTGTGAAAGCGTATCAGAGGTAAGGGGGTATGAGAATAGAGGGAGACGTACAATCTTGGGGTGATTCATGAGTCGCTTGGCCATGGTTTTAGAAGCGCGGAGTTCGCTCCGGCGGACAAGGACGTACACGTGGGAGCCATATTTTGTTAGATCTGCCAGAGTTTGGTGTTTTATTTTTGATCTCGCAGGATAGAAGGATTGAAATAACTTACAGGTAGCTTCTTCTGCTGCAGAATCACCACCACCGATAACAGCTAAAGGTTGATTCCTGAAGATAGGGACGGCAGCATCGCAGACCGCGCATGCGCTGATGCCACTTTGCCAGTATGTGGCCTCGCCCTTGAGTCCTACTAGCCTCTTCGTACCCGCACCAGTTGCGATGATGACGGTATCGGCAGTTTCTGGTACATCATGTTCCTCGCCTTCTCGCCAGTAACGGAAGGGACGCGCAGAGAGATCGATATTGGAAACAGTCTCTGTAATTATCCGCGTTCCGAACCGAATAGACTGCTCCCGAAACCTATTCATGAGCTCGGGGCCAAAGATGCCAGATGGGAAACCCGGATAGTTCTCAACTTCAGTGATAGATGAGATGTAGTCAAGACAAGGGCGGGATGATGCGTGTACGAACCATCTGCGGTTGTGGTGAGTTGGCCACCGGCAGCAAAACCATTTGCCATAAAGCCCTCGAACATGACAGGATTGATGTTCGCGCGCGCAAGGTATATAGCGGCGGTGTGTCCTGCAGGGCCTGACCCAATGATAACCTGCACATGGGTGAGTGTTGGGGAATGATAGAAACGAAATGGATGATACAGACGACTTTTGAATGCATCTTTGTGCTCCTTGGCACTTTTCTATTTGTGAGTGAGGCCATTTTTGAGTGATCTAGTGCGATCCAGAAGGGAGACAGTTCCAGTTGCGAGAGGAAGTAACCTTACCAGACCTTGCCAAGTTGCATAAAGCGAATTAGAGAATACATATCTAACTTTCGGAAAAAAACCCAGGGCCGTATTACGACGCTGCCTGATCACGAGTCTGGTTAGCGCCTTCAGAGTGCCTAGACCTGGGCTATGGGGCCCTTGAAGTGAATGACATGGTCCTTGATTATCGGACTCTTTTTGCCAACATCTTCGTCGACAAACGATAGAGACTAGTACACGATAGCGTAAATCTACTGCACTAGATGTGCTTACTCTCTCATTAACTTCTAGGACGAAACTCACTTAACACACTTGAATGCAAAGCGCTAAATAGAATCTGTGTCCACATTGTATACTACAGTTGCGGACAGACAACTATGGTTAACTGCCCCACAGCCTTCTGAAAGAACTCAGTAACGTTAACGACGCCTTACGCATGATCAGAACAAAACTTCATTTGAGCTGCCGGTAACAGTCGTTCAACGTGGTCACTCAAACCCCAAAAATTTGGCCGGTCATTGAAATAGCGCAATCGATGAGACCGCCCAGCGCCATGGATGGGCAATATCAAGCAAAACACGCCAAAATCTATTAGCCCACCGCGAGGGTCGAACTCGCAGCCTTCAGATCGCCTAGTCATAAGAGTCTGACGCTCTATCCGATTGAGCTAGGCGGGCGATGTAACACTGTCCACAGTATACCTATATCAACAGAACGAATGAAAGAGACGTCATACAAGGAGAAACTATTTGGGGGACACTACTTATGATCTACTTACATACATTCAAAGCAAAGAACGAATAGATGCCATCGTTCGTACAACACATCATCCATCAAACACCGACTCTGTGGTAATGTTCAAGCGTGCGCTGACATTAAAATAAACAACTTACCGATGTACAACCTTTTTCTGCAATACATGTGGGTTATCACCTTATTTTTGTGGTCCAACATAGAATGCTCACCTGACCAGAGAACCGTATCACCTCCCTCTTCTCAAGGATGAAAAGTGTCCGTTCCAGTGCGTGATTCGAGTAGCCCTGCTGCGTTACAAATTCCCTCACCAAACTTTGATAACTCGTGCTCCAGCCTACGGGAAGACGTCTGCGCAATTCTTTCTCTATCCGCGACATCTCATCATTCAGCTCGCCACGAGACATGCCATCGACGGAACCCGCCGAGACAGCGTCCATCGTCGAGAACTTGAAAAGCCGAATGGCTTCCTCAACATGATGATTTTGAACAGTCGGTGATAATGTCATCTTGGCAAGCGATTCTGATATTCGAATAATAGCTTCTAGTTGGCTGTAAAAGGCGTCAATCTCAACAGCAGTGAATCTGACGATGGATACCAACCGAACTGTTATTGGAATTGAGCTCCGTTCGTCATTATCGCGTTCCACTTGCTGAACCTGCTTCCGAAGACTGACAAAATGACTGCTAAGCATTTCTTGAGCATCTGGAGATAACCGCGGTGCGCATTTGCTGAAGACCACATAATTAGTTTGATTACCTTGCAACAATAGGAGATACTCCAAACCTCTTGCAATACGAGATATATCGCTTCATTTTGTCAATGTCAATTTCTCCGACAGCTTCTCCATTGTCGTCTGTACTCTGATTCGGCCGATTCATGTGGATGTTCATGACATGCTTGGCAATCATCTGAATATTTGGTCGTGAGTTAGGGTTTAGGATGAAGGAAGTGGACACTGACACGATCTCGCTGTTCGTTGTGCTCGTCTTTGACGATGAAAATCATATCAAAACGTGACAAAATAGTTGTTTGAAAGTCGATGTTCTGGACACTATGTCAGAAAAGTGGAAAAGCCCCTGGTGAAGCAAATACCTCGCCGGGGCTCCGACCCTCGTCATATCGTCCCCAAACTGGATTTGCTGCTGCAAGGACACTTGTTCGGGAGTTCAGCACCGTCGTGATACCGGCCTTCGCTATCGAAATGGTTTGCTGCTCCATAGCCTCATGAATGGCAACCCGATCTTCATCGCGCATTTTGTCAAATTCGTCTATACAGACAACCCCAGTATCTGCGAGAACCATGGCACCACCCTCGAGATAAAACTCACGCTAGGATGCGAAAAGTTAAGACAAAAAGCAATCATTTTTCCAAGTCAATTGATGCTTACAGAGACTGCGTCCCGCTGGACGACAGCCGTCAATCCAGCTGCGCTGGAACCCTTTCCAGAGGTGTACACGGCGATCGGTGCAACCTGCAGGATGCAATGAGAGGCGTACAGCGCGGGATTAGTGCCTTTGCATACCTTCTCGACAAACTTAAGCAGTTGACTCTTTGCTGTCCCTGGATCTCCGAGCAAAAGAACGTTGATATCGCCTCTCAACCGCATACCATCTGGTAAGACCTTCTTAGAGCCACCAAAAAGCAGACAGGTGATCGCCTTCTTGATGTCTGCGAAAGCAATTAGCATGGGTCAAAAAGCCAGTGCGCAGTTGGCGACGAACCGAGGCTGCCATAAATACTTGGACCAACACTCTTAGCAAACCGTTCATAGAAACCCTCGCTGCGTGCCATTTCACCATATTCTTCCTCCTCTTCAGGAGTGAATTGCACTCCAAAAGGATTTGAGGCGCCACCACTGGCAGTCGGCGAGGACATTTCAATGTGAACAAGGCGAAGATAAGGTTGCCGAAGTGCAGCAGGACCAGCAGATTTCTGTGATAATTTAATTTTGATGTGTATCTAGGGAAGATTGAGAGATACTCACGTTCTTTGCAGAACTGAAAGTAGAATAAATCCCAGTGGCGACTATTCGTGAGCCAGGGACAACCTTGCCGGTTAGATATCGGTCCGCAGAGAGGAGCATGTGCCGTGGAAGTTCACCGACTGGAACCATGTCTGGTGCCTCTTGCAGTTTCAGAGTCTGCTGATCAACAAAGGCCGACTTTGAGTGAACTATGATGTAGGGGTCCATTGGGCAATCTTTCTTCTGATTCTCGAGCTCTGGTGCATCACAGACTCTTGGTAGGCCTCGATCAGAGCCATTGCCTATTCCTCCAAGGCCGCCAGCAGGGTATACATCTTTTGTGGACCGGCAAGCACGACATTGAAGATGAAGCTTTGTTGCTCGGGAGGAAAGAACAGAGGCAGAAATAACAATTCCAGGTATACGGACTAGCTTGTTCATCGTATTTGCTGTCAAGTCGCGAACACGCTGCATTTGGAGGCCAGATTTGATGGTGATTTGAACTCGGGGAATTAATTGGAGAGTAGCCTCTGCGCGTTCATCAGAGCCACCAGCTAGCGGGAATAGAATAGTACGAGCTGCTTTAGTAGCTGCATTCTCAAACTGTACATGCTTTGAGCTTCGAGTGCAAGAACACGGGAATTGTACTTACCAGCGGCAATATGTCTGTCGGTTTGTCCTGAATGGCATGGGCTAGCTCATCATTATACAGACCAACGTGACGAAGCTCGACCTCCAGCTGGTATTGCTTAAGGAGCAAGTTTGCACGAAGTTGATCCCTGCAAGCTTATTTAATAACTGTCGGACACCCAGTGGATAATAACACTGACCTGTATATGAATTCGCCTCCGACACGATATTGCAACAAAAACTCTAACAAGAGTTTCTCGGTTTGGGATGGAGAATCAGGAGATCCAACGGCTGGTGGGTCGTGGACCGAGACGGTGAACACATGATTTCCGTCAAAACCTGACATTTGATGAGCGAGACAGAAAGGACTATAGCATATCTTCAATAAATGAGGATTCCAGGAGACGCGATCAAGGCTTTAGGGCCGACAGATACGCGACATTAGACCGATCTAGACATAAATTCTCAACTGTATGAAATATTTAATCCCGTTTAGCTCAGTTGGTAGAGCGCGTCACTAGTAATGACGAGGTCAGTCGTTCAAGTCGGCTAATGGGAATTCTTTTGTCTCCTATTTTTTTTTTGTCCAACCCTGGTAGGACTCAACGGTTTGGCCGCATTCGTCAATCTCCCTGCTCAGTGCTCATCATGACTTCGCAAATGGATACAGATGAGCAATCCATAGTCCTCCCCACTAGCACAACGTCCGGATTGTCTTTGTCGCTGTTGGTCCACTTTTTGTCTGATACTGTTAAATAATGTTGACGTCGTCCTCCAGGCATCCCCTGCCGATCCTGAACATCTCTGAACATTTGACGAGACTAAAGCTTCAGACTCGGTCCAATTCACCTTTCGGCATGTTTATCTCTCCCTCGTACTCGTTACTTATCACTCACGGCAGACTGATCAGTCCTCGGCGCATTGCTAGGCACCCAGAACGGTCGAGAAGTCGAGATTGTAAACACATTCGAACTTGCCACAGAAGAGGGTCGCGATGACCTTGTAGATCACGACTTCTTGGTATCTAGACGAGATCAGTGTAAGTCTTATATGTGATCCGCGTCCTCGCTGGCCGACCCATTTCCTTGTCGAAGATAAACAGGTGTTCCCCTCTTTAGAGTTCATTGGATGGTACACAGTAGCTTCTGTGCCGACCTCTCGTCACATCGCGTTACATGAGCAGGCATGTCAATCGTTCTTGACTTCTCACTTGTAAAGCTCATAGCCCACAGTTTACAGGGTACTGCTCGACGCCCCTCCTGCTTGTCCTACAACCCTCCATAATAACTTCTTCTTCATCTGATGTCACGGGCCAGACACTTCCTTTCAAGGCTTATGAGCCCACCATCGAAATAAGGGATAAGAGGACACGTTCTGTGTTCATAGAAGCACCATTCAAGGTAGAGACAGGTGAAGCCGAGCGTATTGCTGTCGATTGGACAGCCAAGGGTGGCGGAGGAAGTACCAGCCGTAGGTGAATCGCTCCTTCTATTATACACCTCATCATCTTCTGCAGTTGAATCTCATCTTCAAACTCAGCGGGCAGCAGTCAAGATGTTGCATGAGCGAATATTGGTTCTTGTACAGTATGTGACAAACGTGATCGCAGGTACGATATATGCGCCAATTTGAAATCCAGGATGTATACATTTGTACGCAGGCCAAATCCCGACAGATCATACAACCCTTCGATCTTTGTCTGCATTAATTGCCTCGTTACCGGCCAGTGAGAACAAGGGCTTCCGCGACGAATTTAACATCGTGCGTACCCTTTCTACTGACACCCTCCACTGTCTATCTCTGTTCGATATTCACGTCATCCTTTATTCACTCTGATACGCCATACAGGAGTATGAAGATGTCCAGCTTACTGCGTTGCTCTCATCGCTTACGAAATCGACAAACATTTTGAATGACGTGAGTCATATCCAATTCTTAGTTTCCCGATTCAGGCTTGATCAAACATGGGCGCTTGACATGTAGCTTGTTGACAAGCACCTTGTACTCACAGGAGGATCGCGGGACGATCGCACTCTAAATGTAAGGAGGAGGGGGATGGGCAGACAAGGGATGATGCCAGGGGATTGGGCGATGCACCCTTAGTTAATAATTGAGAATGTTATGCCACGTATTGTGTATTCCTTCCTTACCCGACACCGAATACTCATACACATGGATCATATACTTGCAATTGGAGCTCCTAAATTTGTATTTGTATATTTTTGTCTTGGACTGACTCACGTTTAACCAGTAAGCCTGCCACGTAGAACCAGGCTTCACATCTCACTAGTTCTATCTCCTAGTCCATCATGGCACATGTTGGAGTCCTATCACCAGCCTCCCTCCTTGGTATGTTGTCGCCTAAAGGCATTTACATTCTAGGTTATGGCTGGCTTTATGGGATGTGTAAGATAGTTTCCGTCATCATATATCTGTCTGCGCTGACTCACGAAACGGATTTAGCTGTGTGGGTATCATTTTTTGGAGGTATGAGACTATCAATATTCATCATGAACCTATCTTTCTGACGACATGTATTCAGGAATAATTGCTTTGCGGACGTTGCGTTCGTCTTTCCAATTTACATGTACCTCGTGCTGTGGATAATCAGACTGCTTCATTGAAACAGCTAGACACCAGTTTGGTGCTCTTCAGCACAAGACTTTCCCTGTCTACTTTTCTTCCTCGATTGGACTCTCCTCGGCTTTGTTGGGGCTTTGGGCATATGCTCATCCCGGACTCCTTGCCAACATCACCAGCCCTCTTCGGGCTGATGTTGCACAAGGCATATGTGCTCGCAACCGTCATAGCGCTACAGAGCTGCAACCAGTTAGTCGTTGGGCCAATGACTAGCAGGCAGGTGGGATGTAGTTAGAAGAACAGCAGGTACTGAATTTTCACGTACCCAACAGCACTATGTTCCAGCGACACAAGTTGGAGAAAGAAGAAGGAAAAAGCTACAATGAACCTGGGGTAAGCTCTCGTCATTCTTTCAATCATAACAATGTACTGATAAAGATTTGAAGGTTTCCGCCCAAATGAAGGCATTGAATACGAAGTTTGGAATGCTACATGGCATCAGCTCGCTGGCCAACTTGGGTGCAGTCATTGCTCTGACCTTTCACGGCTTGTGGATCGGGAGCTATGGGTTGTGAAACACCTTCGGGATATCATAAATCAGTCTCAAGAGTATCCGTGTAGCTCTCAACAGCCAGAGTAGATATTACGCAAAAATACAGTTCTAAGCAGTACAGTCATGCACCTACAGACTCCATGGATGGCATGTATCCTTCTCTCAGACTTCTCTCCAGCCTCCTGATCTCCTCGATGGAGGTTGCCTTTGCGATGGCCAGTTTGACCTTCTCGGCGTCTTCTTTTGACATCAGCCGACCTGCCTTCCCTGACAGCGCCGCTGGCTTTGGCTCGTCAAGAGTGATGGCTGCTTTTGAACCCTGCTTCGATACGGTAGTAGATATCGTTGTTGCAAGGGCAGAAGGTAAACCTTCTGCCGTAAGGAATAAAGACTTTCCCGCCTCCCGCTCCTGAAAGGCGCAAGTGTGCTGAGCTATCGACCGCGCTGAGTTTCGAACGTCGTAGGGCGCACCTTATCGCGAATCCTCTGAAAATCCAGAACTCTCAGCGATGCTATTCTCCACGCAAGCCACTCGCGATACCATTTCTTTTCCCTCACGGGGTTGCCTAACAGGGCAAGGTACTTTAATCCCTTGATCTCCTTGAGAGGCTCAAGATCGCCAAGCTCAGCGACACTGTTGCCACTGAGGACAAGAGTTGTAAGATTTGGAACTGAAAGGTGAATCGAGGGTGAAATCGAAGCAACTCGGTTGTTGGCAAGAAGAAGTGTTCTCAGTCGTTTAAGCAAAGGCAGATTGCCCAGCACAGTGATTGAATTATCTGTGAAATCTATAGCATCGTGCTGGTCCTATCCCAAATGTAAGTTGCAACAATCACTGCCATGATATACATGAGGCCAGTGCGCGCACCTTGGTCACACCAAGGTTTTCAATAGTAGGGATTTTGTAACCTTTGGAGTGATATGAACATAATCCGAGATGCAACTGATTTTTACGAGCTCACCTCGTAGGTCGAGCTGCCGCTCTTTTACTGGGTTGAGTGCAGACGGGGCCTGCGCGAGCAGCTCGGGGGTGAGCTTGACCATGGCAGCTCTAGTCAAGCGTTGAGGTGCACGCTACGTTTCAGACTCAGACAACCAAGAAACAGCCACTTGCGACGCGACGTGCTCAACACATTGCTTCCTGACCATCATGAAGCCCATATACCAGAGACTCAACCTGTGCGACCCTCTGCCCACTGAATCTTACTTTTCTTCTGACTTTTTTTTTGCAGATTTATTGACGGCCAGGACGCCTACACCTTTGTTCCCGTGGAACCTATTGGAGCGCAGTCTCTCACCATACACAGGGCTACCGGTGATATAGTACTCAACGGTGAGTTTCCTTAACATGTGGTATCACAGCTACATATGAACCTGCTCAGCACCGAACACACCTGTCCATCCTACCGCCTCGAGATACGGCAAGACAATTTATGGGATCCTGGGGATGATTTCACTGGCTCTTTGTGCGTGTCGCGACTTCCAGAGCCTGCTTTACCTGAACCGATCCATCATGCAGCGGAGTATGTGATTGTAATGACAGGCCGCGAACACCGTGCGCGCCTTATGGGCCACGACATATACCGCGCGGCTGACTTTGACATTCTGCCTCTAAATCCAAATGTCTCTGTCCAGAATTCGCCCCACCCAGTAGAGGGACACTTGTTGGCATTGGTTCGATCGCATTTCCTCAGCGGACACTTTTTATTTAGCTACGGCTGGGACTTGTCGAGGAGACTCCAAGCACAATGGCAAGACCGGGATAACGAAGAGAGAAAAGCCTCGTGGGAGGTGGTGAGTGTCGATATATGCATATAAATCATGAGAATGACCGAGCATTAGGCTGATGACAGGTTTTTCTGGAACAAGTTGGTCCTTCATATATTCGTGCGGAATGTGCATGTTGACATTCGCGACTTCTCACAGATTCTTACAGTCGAGACTCGCAGACACAGACATCGCACATGATGTGAGTCCTTTTCTCGAGTTGTAGTACGCATCTCATGGTTTATAACAGCTCAGTCCTTACATTCTCCCAATTATCTATGGCAGTAAGTCTGCGCCTCAATCTTTCTGCTCATTGTTTGACGGCTTTTAGCGTTCGACATGCGCACTGTATATATCCATGGACACCGCATCCAGCTTTGCCTCATCAGTCGACGGTCGCGCTATCGTGCAGGCACGAGGTACTTCCGTCGCGGCATCGACCATGAAGGCCACGTTGCTAACTTTAACGAGACCGAACAAATTCTCTTGGTTGATGAGAAAGCCGCCGGACGTTTATCGCTTGCTGAGAACTTAACACATAAACTGAGCTTTACTCAGATTAGAGGCAGCGTGCCGGTTTTTTGGGCTGAGGTCAACACACTCAGATATAAGCCTGATTTGCAGGTTATGGAACTTCAGGAGACGGTAATTTTACTCGTTTTTGATAGATGTCATTGTTTTGACCACTTATAGGTTGACATGATTAAGCTCCATCTTCGAGATCAACTTTCACAATACGGCAGTCAAAGTCTCATTAACCTGGTGAATCAAAAAGGTCACGAGCAGCCGGTGAAGGAGGCCTACGAACGCGCTATTTCCAAAGTACGTTGCCATTGCACTGTTTCTGCATCTTATTGACGTGTTTTAGGTTGAATTCTCGGACGTGAAGTATCAATACTTCGACTTCCACAACGAGTGCAAACACATGCGATGGGATCGTATTAGTCTTCTCATCGAGAAGATGCAAGAGGATCTCATTCAGCAAGGGTTCGAATGAGCGGTTCTCAAGAGTCCTTTTACTGATGTACAAGCAGATATTTCCACCTCGACGCGGCACAGAATAAGGTCGTACGAATGCAAACAGGCGTGATGAGGACGAATTGTATGGACAATCTGGATCGCACGAACGTAGTCCAAGCAGCGCTAGCGAAATGGACACTTACTCAACAATTGAAAGCCATTGGGGTGGTGTCCGAAAATGAAGATTTGGATGACTTTGAAGCATTGATCAGAGGTTTCCGTGAGAGTAAGCCTGTCGTTGCAGTCTCATCATTTGCATACTCATCAAGCTATTTAGTGTGGGCCGATCATGCGGACTTAATCTCGAAGGCATATGCAGGCTCTGGGGCGCTAAAGACAGATTTCACTCGTACAAATAGGCGAACGAAAATAGGTGCACTTCAAGATGGGTACAAGAGTATCACCCGATACATTAAGAACAATCATTTCGACGGCGCTAGACAAGTTCGTGTTTCTCAGAGTTTGACTTCGCTACCCTGACAGATATACAGGATGGATTTGACCTTGTCACTGGGGCTTGGACTCCTCAGAAGAATCCAGTCACTGCTTCATCCTTGGTAGCTGATACGCGACCATTGACCATCCGATCAGTACGTTTGTCTACACTCGGAACAGCTCGTTATTGAATTTTGCTCCTTCAGGTCCCTTACATCATGTCGTTCGCGCTATTCATGATCTGTGCTGGACTTACGCTACCAAGGACATCAGGTTGGCTATAATCTCCAGCATTTAGCGGAATTTGCTGACCAGTAGCCGCAGACTACTCACTATTGTACTACTTCATGTTGTGGTTCGTTATCGCTTCATTGGCTGTCATGTTCATGATGGTGCATGGTATCGAGTATGTCTCGTGGCCGCGGCTTATCCCTCCTACGGATATCATCTACTACAAAGGACCAGGATTTCGCTCAGCTCACAACGGGAAGGGCTTCACTGGCCCTCTAGCTCGTAAGTTGGATCTTGCTAGTCGATCAAATTACTTTGGTACCAGGCTACTCTTAAACGGGCGTAAGAGAGCTTTGACGGTCAGTGGGATGGAGGAGGGGACTAAGAAGAGAGTGGATTGAAAGCCGCTACTGAGTACTGAGCTATGGTATGCAGCGCCTATCAATCATACTATCCGGATGCTATATAATTACCCTTCATGTACATTTCTTCAATATTATGTAATATTGGCAAGTGTCTCGATCATACCTTACATAAGTCTGGAAAATTTCCCATTTTGGCGCCGTAAGCAATCCAAACTCCGCTGTGGCGCGTCGCGCTAGCATGTGGATATGTTTGGAGCATAAATCCTCCTGTGTCCTTTCCTCACCATGTCTGGCAAAAAACGCGCTTCCCCCGGCGCAGACGTCGAGAAAAATCCTCTGTCAAACGTCGAACTCAACAATGAAGATGCTCAAAAACTCCAAGACATTCAAAAACATATCCAACGCGTTGAACTCGTTATAGGTGAGCTTCACAGTGCACGGCCAGAAAGCCCAGAGAAAGCAGAACCACAAATTAACAATTTTCAAGAGCGCCTGGCTATGGAAAAACTGATACCGGTCTATGAAAAGCGCCGTGCTGTTGCTAAATCGATAGAGAAATTTTGGCCTGTGGCTCTTATGAACAACAGCATGATCTCTTTTCATGCACAACACACTATTGATCAACTTGCGCTGAGCTACCTTGAGGATTTATGGATCGTTCGCGATCCCAAGGAGCCACGATGCTACACTATCGAATTCGTACGTCGTTATTGATGTGCACTGCGATAATAAACACCCTAAATTGTCATGACAGTTTTTCAAGCCAAACCCATACTTCACTGACTCCGTCTTAAAAAAGGAATACAAATACATATCTCCACCCGCCGCGTCGGGCGACAAGCCTGATGCAGATGGTATTACGGACTCCATGCTCGACTTCTCCTGGGCCCGTGATGTCCAGCCTTCCGTAAGTTATGTACGTCTCATGCAATCACACTACTAAACTTGTGGTAGGCAACTCCTATTCATTGGAAGGACCCTGAGAATGCCCTAACTAAACTCCACCCTCGTGTGGCTGAGGTGGATGGGGAGGATGACGATATGCCTGCAGAGGCAGGCAGCTTCTTCAACTTTTTTGAAATCGCAGATGACCCCTTTGAGGTGAGTAACGTCAGTCACTCGCCACAGGTGCCTAGTTTGACATACTTCTAGATTGGTGCACAAATTGCCAATGAGATCTTCTCCGAGGCCACAGATTACTTCATGGGTAATATTGCTAATGACGAGCTTGATTCTGAGGAGGAGGACAGCGAAGATGATGATGATGACGCTGAAGAAATTGATTTGGAGAAACCAAGGGCGAAAAAGCAAAAGAAGGAATAGATGATATCACTACCATCTGTTCGATACACGTATTTATGTCTTGTCAGCTGCCCAGCTTGACTGTCTCATTGGTTTAGCCCGCACTCGGGTTGTTTACAGTAGCACCTATACTCCCGTGGTTTTCTTGTGTGACTTCACTATCTCTGGTGGTACTTTAAGCATGTCCACATGTATCGCAATGAGTTTAGGCATTACAAGATGCACTTTTCGGTCAGGCTATAAGTAATTTTGAGAAACTCCGCAGGTTGGCGGTTTCACTTGCAGCCAAGCGCTGGGACAAGGCGTGCTGAACAATCATGTATATCAAGTTTTTGCCAAGTGGGTTCGACATGATAGCAGCGCAACGCGTATTGTGAAAGTACATTCATTTATGCTACGGAAATCCTGGCTGTTTTGCTTCCTCCACACACTGTAGGAGTTAGCGACATCTAGTGTGGATACTAGAAGAATATGGCGTTCTCACAAGATAAGTTGAAGTTCTAAAAGTGCAATATCATATCTCGGTACGTTCAATATAAGTGGTATAAACATGTGCCCACAAGCTTGTCATCAGGAAAAGCACCCCTCAACTGACTTGTCACAGTGTTCTGCGAACCATAAGAGGTAGCGAGCTCGAGCCTTCTCCCTTAACTCTGGGACGAATGACAAAACTCTGGAAAGCCTCAATTTCATGTGGACAGGAGAAGGTAAAGTGTCGGAGCAGAGTCACTGTCAGAGCCTTCGACACGTCATGATCAGATAGGGTACTCAGGGACGAACATCATGAATGCCTACCTTTATCTCGGCAGCCGCAAAGTTTCGCCCGAGGCAGCCCCGGGGGCTGTCAGGGGTGAGCAAAAAAGTGAGCATCAAAGGAGCGGTACGCCTACCCGACACTAAAAGCCAACAACTCGCGGCTAGTCCTGGTACCACGGTGGAGCCAACGTTCTGGTCGGAAGTCGTCCGCGTCGAATCCCCATGTTAACTTGTCCTTTTGAATCACATTGACAGGCAGTGAGATGATTGTGCCTTTCGGAATGATGAGGTGAGGACTACCAGACCCTGCTACAGGTTCCGAAAGAGGTATACTGATAGTCTCAGCAGCCTGCGCGAATGCAATTGCGTAAATATTTCGGCTGCCTAGATTTAACCTTACCTCATGATGATTTTCGAGAACAGGTGGATGAAGGCGGAGCGTCTCTAGGAAAAATGCGTCAAGAAGAGGGTAGGCATTGTTGAGTTCGTCAAAGGTAGGGTCTCCAGCAGTCGAAACTTCTTCACGGATTGCTTGCTGCCATTCAGGACTCATAGAAAGTTCAAAGAACAGCCACTAGAAGACACTGTTAATCAAATTTTGAGACTAGTCAAGTGAACTTACAGCAATTGTGGCGGAAACTGGTTCATAACCAGCTGAGATGATGGTGCGCATCTGCGCTGCAACTTCCTCTTCATCCATATGTACAACAGCAGTGGCTTTATCAGCTCGTACTATGCAAATCATCGTGTCAGCAAAGTAGTGATTCTCAAATAATTCAGAATCATACACATCAGTGACATCAGCGTCTTACTGTTCGGATCACTGACAGCTTCCGCATCCTTCAAGATGTCTGTAGCCAGATCCCCAAGCTCTTTCCGGGTTTTTCTGATCATCTGCCCTTTCTTGCCGAGATGCAAGATAGATGGTAATAACCAAAAGAGAGCTTTCATGTAGAATGAGGTAAGCGATTTTTCGTGATTGGTCAAGCCATCTAGGGTTTCCGCAAGAGCGTGTGACTGGCCTCGAAGGCAGTCGAAGTCATACGACAACGTTGCTCGTCCAACTGTATCCAACCTATATGAAATTAGATTGAGGACACACGAAACACTTGCGGGTAATACATACGCAAAGCGTCCAGCCCAGTTGGTCATCTCAATCACCATTTCGTCGCTATGCTGGGCATCAAAAAGCTTGTGCCACTGGGACACCATCTGGAAGAAATAAGAGAAGTATTCAAAGTGACACATGCAGCTTACTTTAGCAGCGTTTTCGTAGAAAACTGGAGTCAAGTTCCGCGCAGACTGTGAACTGAAGCTAAGTCAACGTAGAGTTACCACCGAGATAGTGAGCGCTAATTACCTTAATGCTGGGCCAACGCTACGCCGTTGCTTCTCGTGAGCTTCTTTGCCTTTCCACACACATCAGGGAGTGGATTTAAGATTTGCATTGAATTATTACCTTCCACCCAGAGAATACCCTCTCCGAGCAGCATACGAAACCAGGCACGCACGCCTTTTGGCTTGGGGAACTGATATGCGCCCTCTCCCAGAATAAACGAGATCGCATGCGGATCCGTGATGGAAAGGAGCTGATGCTGATGAATGATGAGAGCAGTGAGCGAGGCAACAAGATTCGAACGTGATGCCCTTACGCCAAACGCTCCTGTGAACTTCACAACATTGCCGTATGTGCGGTGCCAGTCCAGATATAAGGCACCAGGTGTGTTATAATACAATACCTTTTCTTCGCCCCACACCCAAGAGGAAGTCTTCGGGCCCGGGACGTGGCGCAGGGCGAACAGAGACGAGAGTCGCTGTAGAAAGAAACGTAATATGTATACGAAAGCGAAAGCAATACAGAAATGGTAGATGTACAACATGGAATGCGCGACCGTTTGAAAGAGCCTTGGAGCGAGATATGTCGTCTGTATCACAGTGGCACAATTGAGGATGCGATCAGGAGCTCCTTTTTATGCATCCTTGTGCATCTAATTTGCGTAATGTTTTGGGCAAACATTTCAGATCAATCGGATTATGATGTTCGCCGTGGCGTTATGATTGCATCAAGACTTTCAGCGATGTAAAAAATCTGATCGGTCATAGTTGGCAAGTCCTTGCTCCTGATTGACGGTTTGCCTGATTCGATGACTTGGATTTGAATCCTGGACATTGGATGAGCTGGCAGAGAACTCGAAGATGGCGATGATGCATTCAATCAAGGCATAATTGAAAAGGCACCATAATGAGCTCAGTCACTGGCTCGCTGCAGCACCTATCCGCGAGTCCGCTGAATCGCACTTGATCCTAATACGGAATGATGGGTAGGACGCGAAGAAGATAGGGCGAATTTGCATTTGGTCCATCTGGATTGAGTATATCTGCAAACAGAACATTTGCCCCGCGTGTATCCAATCATCATGTTAGCAACGAACTGGGCAGTGGCACGTTATTAATCACGATTAGCATACGATGATTGGTTTCCGACGGAAAAAGGGCTATGATCCATCGAGTATATGCCTTGCTAAGTTGCTTGGAGGGTACAAAGCAGCCATGAGATCTGATAGTCAGTTTCACTGCGAGGGACAAGCTGGCCGCCTTACGGCAGTGACTCTGAAGTACCTTCCAGCTGAGGATAGCTGGAACCGCGACAGAATTCGAAGTGAACTATAACGTACTAGCATCAGTATTAATGATAGTAGTAAGGATACCTTATCGATCGTAACAAAGGGTGTCCTTTATTATGACTCCGACAGCGGTATCAACGACTGGTGAGTGCGGTGAAAACCTAACCGCGAGCCTGAACTTCGCACGCGGTAGTAGATCAGTCCAGGAAACAGAGACACAGACACCGGGCCGTGTAGGAGGTAAAGTACTCGCGTTCTATCGTTGAGTCGCTGTGGCGAGAACCAAAAAGATATGAGTTCCACCGAAAATGTCAAAGCTGCGCGGTAGGAGAACATAAAAATGATTTCTACACGAGGTATTATGGAAACATACCAAATTTGGTAATTGACCCGGTGTCGAGCCTAACGCGATCGTGTCACTTCCTTACAGCTTGTTACTAGCAGATTATCCGCGTTGAGTGAATACGGTCGACCAAGGCTCAAATTTGTTTCGCATGTCTATCACCCGGAACAAATCTCCTTCAGAGGATCCTCATAACTTGCGCCACAGGTCCAGCAACACTAACGTCGACGTGGAGGGTGACTACATCGACATGTCCCCGCTACCGCCTTTCCACAAAAAAGCCATTTCTTCCTCCTTGGACGGCATTCGAATACTACCTCGTGTGCCTACGGGATCGTCTTCAGACCTCGAAGATGTCGAGCTAAGTTTGTTGTCCGAAGAGGAACGGGCAAGTGCTGGGCGAAACCTCGAACATGGTCACGGTGACGCGCATTCTTCTGCAGGCGGAGCGAAAAAAACTGCTATGTCTCCTAGAGACAAAAAGGCAATGACCCTGTTGATCATTCTTTGTCGGTCACTTTCATATCTCCGAGCTTTCAATCCAGTTGACATGACCTATTAGATTTAATACAAGGAGTTCCTGTAAGTTACTTATCTACTTCGGATGTCGCCCCGGAACGGATGCTTACTATTCCATGAACAGCTTGGCCTTGCCCTTGGTATGACATACTTCTTTCTTTCTGCTCACTCTCTGACATTTTTCCAGGTTCTGTCCCGTTCATCCTCCGAGAACATCTATCATATTCACAACTTGGCGTGTTCGCATTATCCAGCTACCCATATTCGCTCAAGCTATTATGGTCTCCTATCGTTGATTCAACATTCCTTCCTTCCATTGGTCGTCGAAAATCATGGATAATTCCTATGCAACTCATAATCGGCTCCTTGATGCTTTACATAGCATCGAATGTCGGGAGATTGATGGAAAATGTATGTGGAAACTACTAGACTTTCAGTCATCCACCCTGATGTGCAGTCAGCCTGCGGATAATATCCATGAACTCACTTTTATATTTACGTCACTGGTACTCTTTTCTGCAACGCAAGGTACGTGTATTCATCGCGCACCTGTTTTATACTGAAACTATTTGCAGATATCGCTGTTGATGGTCCCTTATCTGATTTGTTTTCAGTCACGTCGATACTAATATCAATACAGGATGGGCTTTGACGCTTCTCTCTCAGGAGAATCTTTCCTACGCCTCTACATGCCAGACAATCGGGTTGAACACAGGCTTCTTCGCCTCTTTCACCGTCTTCCTAGCGCTAAACAGCGAGGCATTCGCGTGAGCAATTTGTGTTCAACGCCCCGTATTATTTAGTGACAATTTGCAGTGACAAATGGGGCATTCCACGCCTCGAGTTAAGCGTATATCTCCGTTTTTGCAGCCTCTTGTGTTTCGGCGTAACTTTTTGGCTAGCCTTCTTCGAAAAAGAGGTGACTATCAGAGAAACTTCTTGCAACGAAATCGATGACAAAATGATACGTTTTTCCAGGGCAGTGAATCGTTAGACGGGTCAGAAATGACTGTTACATCCGTTTACAAAACCATATGGAACATTTGCAAGCTCAAGCGTAAACAGTTTCATTTTCGGGTCATTTGGTCATTGATGATCCCCTTCAGACGTCCAGGCGCTCATTATCATGCACTTCTTCGCGAAAATCGGGTTTCAAGCTAATGAAGCAGTCACTAGTTTGAAAATGATTGAGAAGGGTTTGGGTCGCGAAGATCTCGCTATTGTTGTCCTCATAGATTTCCCTTTTCAAATCTTGGGAGGCTGGTATGCGGCAAAGTGGTCAAATGGCGACAAACCGCTCCGTCCATGGATATGGGCGTTTTGGCCCCGACTAGCATTTGCCCTTGTGTCGACGCTCATCGTCTACTGGTTTCCAACACCCCCTCTTTCATACGGATTTTTTGTCTTCCTCGTTATCCACACAGTGCTCCAGGGACTTGCATCGTATGCTCAATGAATGAAATGCTGAGCAAGGCTAATTTCTTTCTAGGACAATTCAGTTCGTTGGCATCTCAGCATTCCACACCAAGATATCTGATCCTCTCATTGGAGGGACCTACATGACGGTATGAGGTTTTCACAGCTCCTTGCTTGTCGACTGATAGCTTCATACCCATTTAGCTACTCAATACGTTTACTAATCTAGGAGGAACGTGGCCAAAGTACTTTGTATTGAAAGGCAAGGGTGTATGCCAACCATATTCGTCGAGTGCTACTAATGCTCGAACAAAGGCGTCGATTACTTTAGCGAGGCGTACTGCGAAGTGAAGGAGGCACACAGTGAGCTGCTTGTTAAAAGTAGGCATGAATGTTTTCTACTCTGGGCGCTGCTTAATGCTTACTCGAAACCAGCTGCCGAATGCGTCTCTGAGCGCGGTAAGGAGGTCTGCTTGGACATCAATGGAAACTGCGTCACAGAACGTGACGGATACTACTACGTTTCAGCTATATGCATCTCATTTGGCGTGCTGTTTTTAGTTTTTTATATCATTCCCACTGCACGCAAACTCCAAGGTAGGTAAAGCTATCTATGTCGTTTCGGAATTAACTCAGGCGTCTGTCTAGCTCTTCCTGTATACAGATGGCGGATCAGTCCAGAGTGAGCAAGGGCTGGGGCTTGCACTGTCGTTCGTTACTTATTTTAATATAACTGGGGGGTAGTAGATAGCTCTTGTTCGTTGATCAAAGTGCCATTGTGATGCAACCAGTACACTCATTGTTTGAGGTGACTCTCGGCACCTGCCCTAAATTCAGATCGCGTCCTATGATATCCTATTTTCCACGGAAACGTGCAAACCATACTACTGAGATTTTTCGCTAGTCACTTCTTGCACTAAGCAATAGCTATTAGAATCGATCGTTCTGCACTAATCACCACAATACTGCAAAATGGCAACTACAACCATGCATTTTGGCCCCGAGTGGATGCGGGCGAAGCCACAAAATACTGCCGCTCGTCCCCAAGCACCTCCTTCTCCACCTCCGGCAACTTCTAATACACAGCAAACGAACGCGTCAACTTACTCTGCACTCGTTACACCTGCTGCCGCACCAGAGCCTGAGAAACGCGATGAATGCCGTCCGTTCAGATATTCAAAGGAAGCAATGCTCAGAATCTACAAAGAGGGTGGCGGGAGAGGCGGTCTGGGATTAGAGGTGGAAAGATGGGAGGGTATTGTACATGAGGTCAGCAGTGAACCCACAGGATTGCGCGAAATGAGCGACGCAGAAAAGAAGGTCAGGCAAATTGGACTTACAGTTTATGTCTTTGGCCTTATTAGCTCACACGAGGCATGTAGCTTTTTGCTGGGCCACTTAATTCCGAACTTCGGCGGCGCCAGTCTACCGACCTTATAAGCACGCTGTCATCACCATCTGACAGAACTAGGTTGAACCATTCCAATACCGGAGGAGGGAGTCCTATGAGAGGGTTTGGTCTCATGGGAAGGAGGAGAGACAGCACAGGTGAACACTGGCATGTCCCTCACCCGTGTCGTGACACTGATCAAGTTTTGTCAAGATCAACCACCACTTACACTACCTCGTAAACTGTCTGTGTCTAATACGCAAGGCAATTCTCCACGCGACGGAGCACTGCCTTCCCCTCGTACCCGAATAGGTGGCTTTGCTTCAGGATTTGACGGTGTTCTTAACGGTGGAGATTCTTGGATGGCTAGACGACGAACATCGGAGAGTGTACTGAAAGTTGGGGCAGCATCTACCGGGACCCATCCGGAAAGCAGAGAAGAGGATGCGAAAGGACATAACATCAAAGAAGAAGAGGAAAAACACCCAGTACAAAATACCACGCTCCAGCCTAGCCCTTCTGCCGCTTCTCAATCATCTCTAATCCCTGATGCCCTGCGTCCAGACAGCACAAGCAACAGTCCAAGCCCGCGATCCGCGCTAAGTGCAGATTCTGTGTCACATCGTATGACTGGAATGAATCTTAGTGAAAATGAGCGGACCAACGCGAACTTCCATCCCAACCCGGTGGCCGACAGTCTGATGACGGGTCCACCACCGGGTCTGGATCCAGCTAGCATTGAGTGGTCGTACCTGGATCCTCAAGGTCAAGTGCAAGGTGAGTTCTTCAGATTGCAGCCATGAGTTCCAGAGGTGATGTTCTTTCCCAGGTCCTTTCAAAGCTGATTTAATGCAGAAATGGTTTGATGAGGGCTATTTCACCCCCGACCTCCTGATGAAGCGTACTCACATTGATCGAGAATGGACGGCGGTTGGGATTCTCGACCAGCAGTCCGCTGGTGGCAAAATATTTCTTTCACAATTCCCAACTTCCGCCGTACCTCCTGGTCTCAGTATCCGTACCGATTCCTCACAGAATTTCTCCCCTGCCCAGAATTTCTCCCCCGCTCATGATCACAATACATTCAGTGGATACCAGCCTGTACCAACTCGGACTCTCCGTGCTGCGACATTGGACCCATACCTTAATAGTGCCTCTCCTTCAGATTCTCCCTCCTCGTCCTTTGGTGGCGGGAGGTTCGGCAACGGCTCCCCCGATACTTCTGCATTGGCGGGGAGAGTTGGGAACATCTACACTGGTGATTCGGGACTCGTTGCCCACAATTTTACTGGAAATCCAGGTCCGTTCGGTCCAGTTGGGGACCCCCGCTCGTCGTTCAACACCCTGGCACCCGGCAGAACTTCATCACTGGACACATTCAACACCTATAAGAACAACAGTAACTCCCAATGGCCACCGTCTATGACCCAGAATGTACAGCATTTTGGCGGCAGTGAGCATTCCCTTGCGACTGGTTTCAACAATAACATCGGCTCAGGCGTCATGCCGGTGCCGGTGCCAATTGCGCAGAGTCACTCTTTCACACAGGAGTCTTCGTATGGCGATGGAACGTACAGCGCTATGGGCAGTCTTGGCGCCTCGCATGACTCACCCATTGCACGGCACCCTGTCGAGGTGAATGGGTTAGGCTTCAACAACCTAGGGATGAACGGCTCACCTTATGTGCAACACTTTTCTCAGTCCCCTGTTGTGCCGCAGCAGCGCTCGTCTACATCGCCGTTTGGTGAAGTTCTCACAAAGGTCGCTGAATCGCCTGCCGTGCAGCCTGAGAATGTGTCATCGCCCTGGGGCGCACCCGAGCCTGCTACTGTACGCCGCCCATTGGTTGAAATCCCTACCCCGCCCCCTGTTGCCAAGGCAACTCCAGCTGCCTGGAGTCAACCTCCGCAATCCGCGCGTAATGCCCCCAAGGCAAAAGAACCTTCTCCATGGCTGACAGCCTCCCTAGGCGTCGTTGATGATGGATGGCGCGAAGTTCCTGGGCCAAATAGTCTCACTGTGAGCAACCTCGGGCAGCACAATAAGATGTTTGAGGATGTGGATGAGGAGTCCAACGTTGCTGTGTCGCCCATTGCAGAAACGGAGGAGGAAGCTGCGACTTCACCCGTACCTGTGTCAAACATACCTCAGCCAGCGCCTGTGGTCCCGGCTCTTGCTCCACATAATGAGCCCCCGGCATCTACGGCCCCCAAAGCCAAAGTCAAATCTACCATTCGCGAGACCCAAGCCCCCGCCCCAGCTTCAGCACTGAAATCTACACCTCCCGCACCCACACCTGCCCTAAAGAGCCCATCTCCCGTTCCAAAGCCTGCGTGGGCGACTGAAGATGATGCGAAAAAGGGCAAGGCATCGCTCGGTCTACGCGAGATCCAGGAGGCAGAGGCAAAGAAGGCAGAGGCACGTAAGGTTGCAGAGCGCGAGCGGCTTGCACGCGCCAATGTGCCGCCCTCACCTGCTGTCATCGAGGATGCTCAACCGTTTACCGCATCATGGGGACTTCCGACCTCTCAAACGGGTGCACGAGCTGCTGTGATACCAAGAGGTGGAGAAGCTGCAGCAACACCTGCGGCGAATGCTCCAGTGTGGACATCAACGACTACGGCGCCTGCCAAGAAAACGATGAAGGAGATACAGGAGGAAGAAGAGCGCCGGAAGAAGATGGGATTGAAGGATTCAATGGCAGCGACGGCTGCAAGGCGCGGATATGCAGAGACTACTTTCAAGGTATGTACAAAAACCTCTACGACACGGGACTGCTTGTTGATTTTCTTTGGAATGTTTTGCAGGTAGTTCCCAGTGCACAGGCTAGTGGTGGGGCATGGACGACGGTCGGTGCAAATGGCAAGACAAACGCACCCGTAACTATTCCTGCACCCGCACCAGCGCCTGCTCGTCCAGTTGCTACGTCATCCATATCCACACAAGCAGCGCCTACGCCTCGCCCCAATGGGACAGCAGTCCGCTCGACATCGCAGACCTTCACGAAGGCTACTGCTGCCACACCACGGGTGGACGACACGCCCAGTTCGTCTTCCAGCGATTTCCTCAAGTGGTTGAGCGATACACTGAAAGGGCTCAATCATTCAGTAAACCGTGAGTCATTCTCCAAGATCGCTTCATTAAATATTCTGATATATGATATTATTTCGGGTGAGCAGTGGAAGATATCACACAGATGCTCCTTTCTTTTCCTCTTGACCCAGACCCTTCTACATCAGAAATCATTTCCGACCTGATCTATGCGAATAGCACTACGCTTGATGGGCGGAGGTTTGCGGCAGAGTTCGTCAAGCGCCGCCGGGCTAGTGGGACAGCCGGACCAGGATCATATGGGAACGGGAAAGTGTCGATCGCAGATGTGGTGAAGACGGCGCCACGGGCTGCTCAGCCAGAATGGGGCTTCAAGGTGGTAAATAAGAAGAAGAAGAGGGCGTGAGGTGGAGTAGGAGTAGGGGAGGGATTGGAGAATGTTTTTTAGTGTTACATGCATACTCATGCTCAGACACTTGTTCACTTGTTTTAACATCATCTCATGAATTAATTTTCTATGCTCATCCTAGCTGAGCATTGACACGATCTCCACATTCGAGCAGAGTACTACTCCCTTGACGCGCGTCATGGAGTTTAAATAAAATAATCACTTAGGGTCCTCCGACAATTTGTGCAACATATTACATGTATTGAGTAGCTGTTTTGGTTTAGTACTATACATTATACAAGCAAATCGTGCCAGAACATAAGTAAAACTCAAAGAAAACAGAATCCGCTCAATACGACCCACTCGTGCTCAGAGAAGGAGGAATGTATCTACTTCCGTCTCACTGACGGGAGACGAAGATGCGGGCAATTCCTCGCTCGAATACGACTCTAGCACGTTCACCTCCGAAGGACGATCAGATTCCAAGAAAGACGTCGTCGCCGCCGCCGGTACCAACGATACCGGCTCATCTGCAGTATATGCCACCTCCGCGGGGATATCAGCGTCCTCATGGGTTGAAGTCTCAGAATCGGGAAGAGAGACACCGAGTGTGTTTTTGGAATGTGAATCGGAGGTATCGAGTGGAGGTGGCGTTGGGTGCGTTACGGATGGGGATGTGGTGGGTGGGTTGGTGGCCTCGATGATTACTGCGTCCTCAAAGACAGAGACGGTGCTGACTTCATCGACAAGCGGCACCTCGGACTCTTCTTCCTGCGGGACCGAAACCTCCTGAGGTGTCAACGTCTCGTAAACCTCAGAGAATGCTGTGGTAGTAGCGCTCGGCTCCGCCGCAGATGCGGTTGCGATCTCGATCGAAGCAGCGGGTACTTCGATAGTAGCGTCAAACACTGCAGGGTCTGCAATTGCTTCGATAGGAGAAGAGGCGGCGGAAGCGAGTGCTTCGACTGGCAGTGCAGGGACAAAGACGTTGGTAGGAACTTCATCTATAACGGGGACCTTGTTGGGTGAAAGATCCGCAGAGGTAAGATTCTCCGGCTCCGAGGGCTGCTCGACAGGCACCGTAACAGCGACAGGCTCTGACTTCCTGGCACGAGCACGCCCCCTTCGCTCTTCTACACCTTTCTCAAGCTCTTCTAGCGCTTGCTCTACGCGAGCTACAACTGCGCGCCTTGCGTCTCTCACTACATGTGACCCAAAGCTGGGGACGTCGTCCAAGTCTGCCAGGAGCAGCGACAACGCATGCTCCTGAGCGCGGAGAGGTGCGTTTCTTGCAGTGTATGTTAAAGCAAATGTATCATCGGTATCAAGAGCTGAATAAGCTGGCGATGACGAGCGCGAAGGAGAGAAGTCGAGCTCAGCAGGGAACTGAAAGTCAGCGAGGAGTGCCTCCAGACGGGATAGGATGGAAGTAATCTGAGAGAGGGAAGTTTCAATCTGTGCTGGAGGTGCAGAAAGTTCTTCTTCGACGTCAGATTCAGGGGTTTCTTTGGCTTTTCCCTTTCCCTTGTGTGAAGAGGTAGTGCCCTCTTCCTCAACATTGACCTCAGTAGAGGTAGGGGCAGCGAATGTTACTGGAGCGCTTTGGACAGGAGTGTCTGTCGAAGTGCCTTCAGACAGACCAGCAAGAATCGACTGCAAGGTATTGCTCAATTCAGACTGGTACTGGTTCATCAGACGCTCCTCGAATCTGTCCTTGAGGCTTCCGTCGGAGTCAGGGATCTCCTTGGCTTTTCCCTTCCCCTCGTATGAGGAGATGGTTGGCTCTTTGTTGACGTAGACCTCCGTGGGGGTAGCGGTAGCGGATGTTACTGGAACGTGTTGGACAGGAGCTTTCGAGTCGCTTGAAGCGCCTTCAGAGAGACGGTCAAAGATCGACTGTAACTCTGACATACGACCCTCAAGCCTGTTTTGAGGGCAAGGCTGGTTCTGGAGAGGGGCCATTGAGGTGGAAGTTGTGGCTTGAGTAGGCAATTCCTTGGATCGTTGTAAGTCAAACGAACTAGAGTCAGTGGACAAGAGTGAACATACAGCATCCACAGGCAAGCCGCAAGGCCAATATGCACTGAGATATGGTTCAGCATGTGCGAGGAAGCTGTTAGCCTCTGCAGCGCGGCGACGGGCACGGAGTTCTCGCTCCATTTCTTGTTGCTTGCATTGAGCCTGTAAAGCAGCATACCACCCTCGGATAGCGGGGTTGTGTTCGCGATGGAGTTTCTGGATTGCAGCCTTGCGGGCGGCCCTGGAGAGTGCAAGCTCGTACTCGTACTCAGCAAGATCATGTGTAGTATAGCCGTAGTACGGCTCGCGGGTATGAAGGTAGTCATTGCGTTCTAGTACACGGTCAAGCAGGCCATTTATACTGCGCAGTTGGTGAATGCTTTGCTGGCTTGGATAAAGAGCATTTGGGAAGGGTTGATTCCTAAGCTGTTGACGGCGAGCCCATGCACGTTGGCGTGGAGCATAAGGGTCGACAGAGCAGTGGGGAGCAGCGAATACTAACATTGTGAATTGAATGAGATGAGTTGATGGGAGATGTCATTTTGAGCAGTAAATTTATATGCCAGGACTGTGGACTGTGGAATGACGAATCTGCTTAGTGGTATGTACGCGTAATGGACAGACGCGTCCATCAACTCATCGTCAATTCCACTAAATTCGAGAAGTTACCAGATTAGGAAGGTCATACCTGTGACCACTGCTGGCGGTGAGCGCTGCAAAGTATCAAGAACTGAGTACTCACTAACACTCGAGCGCTCACTCATGGAAGGCAAGCCAGAGTAATTGTAGCTACTTGGATTAGGATGAGCAGTCGACACCAAATATTGAACCGCGCGGCTCGGCAAAATGGCGGCAAGACACGTTGTGTCGTGTTTGGCTCTCCTTCCTTCTCTCCTTCATGGCCTTTCCACAAGCTGCAAGTCGTTTCCTCGGTACGAAACTATTTCAATAGATTTAAGAGATTGGCTTTTTAACACATTGTTGCTAAAGTACCCCTTGGCCTGGCTTTTGCCGTTGCGCAAGCCAGTATTTACGATGTGCCAGGTGGTTTCCGGGCAGTCATGTTTGACCGTTTTTCTGGTGTAAAGGACAAGGTATTCAAACTCTTTAATGAGACTGCCACTTTATAGACCATCCAATACAGCCCACTAGTGAAGGTACCCACTTCCTTGTTCCATGGCTGCAGAGAGCAATCTTGTATGACTGCCGGATTAAACCCCGTGTACGTCATTTTCGTTACAACTATCCTTCTGCTCAAAAATTATCTAGAATATCTCAACGACCACCGGTTCAAAAGACTTGCAAATGGTCTCCATCACACTTCGTGTCCTGTCCCGACCAGACGTCGAGCATCTACCTCGTATTTACCAAAGCCTCGGCATGGATTATGATGAACGTGTCCTACCTTCCATCGGGAATGAAGTCCTAAAGGCTATCGTGGCACAATTTGACGCTGCTGAATTGATTACCCAGCGTGAGGTGGTATGTCGCCGTTCGTTATCGTCGCGTCAGATCCATAGAGCTTGCACAGGTCTCGTCAAGAATACGCGCAGACTTGCTACAACGTGCTGGCGAGTTTAACATCAAGCTGGAGGATGTATCCATCACCCATCTCACATTTGGAAAGGTCCGTAGTCCTTGGATTTTATATCATCCAACTGACACCCTTTGTAGGAATTCACCCAGGTTCGCACGAGGCTACGACATGCTGGTTCTTTACTAATCGACTTTACATACAGGCTGTTGAAGCCAAGCAAATAGCACAGCAAGGTAAGTTCCAGCTGCTTATTACTATGACAATCTAACGTGTTGCAGATGCCGAGAGAGCCAAGTTCATCGTCGAAAAGGTGGGTTCTTGGTAAGGAGCTATCCTGATCAGGTTACTGACGGCATGCAGGCGGAGCAAGAGCGTCAGGCCGCTGTGATTCGTGCGGAAGGTGAGGCAGAAGCAGCAGCAACGATTTCAAAGGCCATGGACAAGGCTGGAGATGCTTTCATTGCACTTCGTAAAATAGAGGCGAGCAAGGCGATCGTGCAGAGCTTGGCTGCCAATGGGAACGTGACATATATTCCGAGCAGTGGTGTGTTGTTAAACGTACCGACAAAGTAGTTCATCTACAAAGTTTCTATTACTATTGAATTGAAATCGGCGATGACCGTGGGATGAATTCCCATGGGGTGATGTGGTGAAAAATGGGATTGTAGTAAAAAGATCTTAGCAGTCGACGACGAAGTGCGAAGAGGCCAACGACGTCGTTCAAAGTCTCTCTTGTTCTCTTTTTCTTTGTCTCTTTCTCTCTCTTCTCGTGTTTTTCATTTTTCTGTCTATTCTCGACGGACAATCCTTCTCTCTGATTTCAGTAATCAATTCTCCTGTGCGTCTTTTCATTTCCTCATCAATCTGAGCTCCCAGCTCACTCAAATTTACAGCCTCTCATTCTCATTCCCTATCCATATTAAATCATGAATCCAATGGGTGGTATGGGTGGTCATGCGGAGGCACCAGTGAGTAACAATCCTCAAGCCCATAGATATGGTCTCATGCATGGCAGCGGAGGGCCCATCTTTACGTTGGGAATCTTAGTCCAAGAGTCACCGAGTACATGCTCACAGAGATCTTTGCCGTTGCTGGTGCAGTTCAACACGTCAAAATCATCCCTGACCGCAACTACCAGCATGGTGGTCTCAACTACGGTTTCGTCGAGTACATCGACATGCGCGCAGCTGAGACTGCTCTCCAAACCCTTAATGGACGCAAGATCTTCGACACTGAGATTCGCGTTAACTGGGCCTATCAAGGCCAACAAAACAAGGAGGACACTACCGGTCACTATCACGTTTTCGTCGGTGACCTCAGCCCAGAAGTCAACGATGAGGTCCTCGGAAAGGCTTTCAACGCGTTTTGCACAATGTCCGACGCTCGCGTGATGTGGGATATGAACTCGGGAAAATCTCGCGGTTATGGTTTCCTTGCGTTCAGGGATAAGACCGATGCTGAGCAGGCCATCGCGACTATGAATGGCGAATGGCTCGGCTCACGTGCTATCCGTGTCAACTGGGCAAATCAGAAAACTCAAGGAGGGCTGCCTGCCCCTCCACGCCCTGGAGGCAGTGTCGGCACCGCACCCGCCCCCATTAACTTCCAGGGTGGGCCCCTCTCTTATGAATCCGTTGTCCAGCAGACTCCTTCATATAACTCCACTGTTTACGTCGGAAACCTCGTCCCGTATTGCACCCAAGCAGATCTCATTCCGCTGTTCCAGTCTATCGGGTACCTCTCGGAGATTCGCATGCAGGCAGATCGCGGATTTGCATTCGTCAAGCTGGATACGCACGAGCACGCTGCCATGGCTATTGTACAGCTGCAAGGGCAGATGGTCCACGGTCGTCCCATCAAGTGTAGTTGGGGTAAAGACCGGGCTGATGGGACTCCTGCCCAGCCCGGAGCGCCGCTTAGCCCGACGACTCCAGCAGCCCCTTATGGAAACATGGTGAGCATTTTCACTTGTAAAAATATTCCTCAGCGGGCTCACTGGTCCTATGACAGCCCATGTATGGAATACCACAGCCTAATACTTATGGCCAGTATGGGTTTGGTGGATACGGCGGTTTCCCTAACCAAGGTGCTGGCGGGTCGCCGACGCCTGGCATGCAACCTACTCCTGGTGCCGTCGGTTCTGGCCTTGGCGGTGCAGGAGCGGGTGGTGCGGACCCCTCTGCTGTTGGTGCTGGTGCTGCAGGTGCTGGCGCTCAATGGCCCACTGGAGATGCTGCTGCTAGCTACTATGCTAATTACTGGGGTGGTGAGTGTATTCTTTTCGCACGCACCAACCATCTCTTACCCAATTCTTTTTCCAGGATATTACGGTCAGCAAGGCCAAGGCGCCGAGGGCCAGGGTGCTTAAAGAATCCTTGTTTGCTCCATGTTTTATTCTTCCCATTCATCATCGATATCGATATCGTGCTCCTGCCTCTCGAATGTAGCCTGCGAACATCGTCCATTCAAGCCAAAGTATTTTTTCTCGTCTCGCTCGAATCCAAAATTGTGAAAGATGTGCTTTTTATGTTTGGTGACTTTATCCAAGAACAAACAGTATTATCCTTGTTTTTCTCCTCATTTTGTTATTGACTGGTTCCAATTATTCATTTCTCCTCCTGCGTCTCTTGCTAATGAAGTATTTCATTTCTCTCTTGTTCTTTTCTTCCTCGTTTCTCTCCGTCTCTGATTGTTGTTTGTGTATATGACCTCGGTAGATGTGCGGCTTCTCATTAAATTACGTCTACTCAACGGTGCAATAGGTTTTTTTGATAGCGAAGTCCACCACTTACCTGAAGTGTCTGATTACGATTGATTATTTGTCCATTCTGATGTTCCATGAGCCAAAGGGTATGTGATTATAAGGGGGTAGTATGTGCATGAAGTAGGGTCTACTCATCGTCCACCATCAACCATTCGGAGTCTGATCCAAGCTCGTCTCCCCCTGCAACTTTGTGCCATCCATCGATGTCTCCTCCACTGCCTCCCCCTCCTCCTTCACCCCATTTCCCGACAGCGAAGTACCGTTGCCTGATGCTAGTTTTCCATCTCCGCCATCACGCCAGTTAAGCACAGCCTGATGCCGCGAACGCATATCCTCATAGAAATCGTTTGCCTCGTTCATCTTGTTTGCTTGTGCCTGCTTATCATCTAGCCAGCGTTGAAGAAGTTTAGCATTATCCTTCGTTAGCGTCTGATTCCGTTCATCGATCTGGCCGAGTTCGAGCTGAAGCGTGTTGATCTCATCATGGAGGATCTATACACAAGATCAGGACCGATCAGAAAAAGAGAGATATAAGCGCACCTGTGCAGTACGATCTTTCTCGGCCATGAGCTCTGCATGCTGATCGACCTTCCTGCGCAGATGCGCGACTTCTTCGCGCGCTTTGCGAAGGTTCTCGGTCTCGATGCGTGATGCTTCTTCCTTTTCGCGGAGGGTTTCGTTCATGGCTAGCAGGCGCTGAGCATTCTGGCCTTGTGTCTTGTACACAGTCGCGAGCTCATCGCGGAGGGATGAAATTTGGGATTCGAGCGAGGCCATGTACGCTGCGCGTACAGGATTGCTATTACAGAAAACATAAGATCGACATGCGTGCGTTGGATGAGATGAATAAACCTACTCTTCGCTTGATGCTGTTCCAGGTACATGAACCGTCGAGGTACTTGGGTTCGTGCGAACTGAGCCGACGGCTTTGAGGAGAGATGCATTACGTTCTTTGAGGAGCTTGGTTTGTTGAGCGAGTCTGCGGTCTGAATTGGGGGGATCAGCGGAGTCTTATGGAATGTTGAATGATGGAGCGTACATTGTTCGATGATGGATGCGAACGCGTTTTGTTTTGCGTTTCGCTCTGATAGTCTGAGGCGGAGGAGCTCTTGCCAGGATGGCTCGGCCATGGAAAGTTTAGAATATGCGCACTACACCAATGACTCGAAGTTCGGTATACAGCGTGACAGGATCACAGTCACGCAGCTATGTCTTGAAAAGGATGGTAGTCTTCGTGTTGATACGCTACTTCCCCTGAAGAAATTCACTTGTATTTTAAGGAACGAGTATGATAAATAGTGCACAGGACATAAATGTATTGTCATGGATATTCGAGACTAGGATCGTAGTAATATCTCACAAGGAAATGAAAACTTACCGCATGAATCGCCGACGGGATTCACCTCCAATTAATAAGACATGATAGAGACCAGGAGGAGCGCTCTGGCTCCAACAGTCAGGATGACATTTCTCCGTGAAACTATCCTCGGAGAACGCGAAGAGGTTCTCGGGACTATGGCAATCAAAAGTCCCTGCCCGTATCGGTCAATTGAGCTGACCATCGGGAGACGGTAACCAAGAAGATGCGGAAATTCATTGGCAAGCACAGTCCAAGTGACGTCGAGACCACATAATTATGACAGATGTATATCTTGGCAATGATACATGTAGAAATGATTGCGCCTCGATGGTCAGGCGAAGATTCCGCCTTGAAAATGGTCTTGTATGTTTGTCTTCCCTCGACATTTGGAGCCTGGCACACAAAGACGCATCAGCAGAATCGGTACGCGCAGTTGGTTGCGCTTCAGCTACAGCTAACGAGCTATCCGTTCGCGATGCGAAATATTTCGTTAAAGATAGCTGGAGAAGTCTTGAAGTACAGGGTCGACGGCGACATAGTCGCACCATGCAAGTGTGTGACATGAGCGTGACCGGGCGGCGATTACCGCAGTTACCCACGAGATGTTTTGTAACGCAGACCAGTTGCTTGCCGTTCGTTGGCATACCTTTAATTTTCCTTTATACACCTTTGCCTATCCTCATCCCCTTTCTCCGTTCCTCTAGTCTTTCCTTATCCCTTTGTATACTTTCTGCTCGTCCAGAGTTATGGGCGCCGTCAGCAGCTGTTGTGAATCCTGTTGTAAGCTTTACAAACTCATAATATAGACTTGAATCCCCCTCATGAATTTCTACAAGTCCGCTCTAGAAGATCTCAGCAGTATGAGCCTCTTCTTCTCGAGAATGAACGAGAGGCAGTTGCAGACCTTCTTCAATATCTAGAGAGTATGTTTTCAACATAGCCAAAACTAACTTTGGCTCACATGGGCACATAGACCGCACAACCACCAACTTTTTTCAAGGCTCCCCACTCACCGCATTGACGACCCTCTCTTTTTCCGATAATGTCGACCTGCAGCGTAGTGCTGCACTTGCATTCGCCGAAATCACTGAGAAGGAGGTGCGCCCCGTGGGGCGGGATACGCTTGACCCAATTCTTTTCCTCCTGAGCAGCCAGGACACGGAAGTGCAGCGTGCTGCTAGTGCCGCCCTTGGGAACTTGGCCGTTAACAGTGCGTTACACCACGCTCATGCATGCTCCCTATCCTGCACATTACTGATGTCACGCGTGCAGCTGATAACAAGCTCCTCATCGTGAAACTCGGGGGCCTGGAGCCACTCATTCGTCAGATGCTGAGCCCAAACGTCGAGGTGCAGTGTAACGCGGTAGGCTGTGTCACCAACCTCGCAACACATGGTAAGTCCAGTCCATATCGATGGTGATTATCGATGATTGACCTGCTTCTAATCACTTGCGTGCCCTTCTGATTTGCTTCTGTCACTTGAACCTTTGACACCCTAAGATGATAATAAGACGAAGATTGCCAAGTCAGGCGCACTTGTGCCGCTTACTCGCTTAGCACGGTCCAAGGATATGCGCGTTCAAAGAAACGCTACTGGGGCCCTGCTAAACATGACCCACTCAGGTACGTAACTATTCCTATCGGATGACTCATTAATGAACGAAAATTTATAGATGAGAATCGACAGCAGCTTGTAAACGCCGGTGCCATCCCCGTGCTGGTGAGCTTGTTGAATTCGTTGGACACAGATGTCCAATATTATTGCACGACCGCATTGAGCAACATTGCGGTCGATGGAGCAAATAGAAAGAAACTCGCACAAAGCGAATCAAAGCTCGTTACGAGCTTGGTAGCTCTTATGGATAGTCCAAGTTTAAAGGTTCAGTGTCAAGCTGCCCTTGCTCTACGGAATTTGGCTAGTGATGGTACTTGTTCTCCTTTTTGATGTCTCTTCTGTTTAACATTGGTTTTGCAGAGAAATACCAACTAGAAATCGTCAAAGCTGACGGTCTTACTTCACTTCTCCGACTGCTCCAGTCTACTTACCTCCCACTCATCCTATCTTCTGCTGCATGTGTCCGTAATGTCTCCATCCACCCACAGAACGAGTCCCCTATCATCGAGTCCGGGTTCTTGCAACCACTCATTAACCTTTTGTCATTTAAAGACAATGAGGAGGTTCAATGCCACGCCATTTCCACCCTGCGTAATCTTGCTGCCAGCTCAGAGAAGAATAAGACGGCGATCGTGAAAGCAGGCGCCGTCCAGAGTATTAAAGAACTTGTGCTGGAAGTGCCAATGAATGTGCAGAGTGAGATGACTGCCTGTGTCGCCGTGTTGGCCCTGAGCGGTCAGTTACATGCGTTTCATGATGATCTCTCTACTGACGGGTTCGACAGATGAGCTTAAGGGCCAATTACTCGAGATGGGTATTTGTGAAGTGCTGATCCCATTGACGAATTCGCCTAGCTCGGAAGTCCAAGGCAACAGTGCTGCCGCCCTTGGTAACCTATCATCGAAAGGTGGGTTTAGCAGGGTTTGAATTTTCTAGGGATTGACCTTTTTTTCAGACGGCCGAACTGCATCTGACGACTACTCTGCATTTAACGACGTATGGGAGAAGCCTGATGGTGGCATGCACCGATATCTTTACAATTTCTTGACGAGCGCAGACGCCACTTTCCAGCACATTGCTGTTTGGACGATCGTGCAGCTACTGGAATCGGGAGATCCCCAATTGATCAGCAATATCCGCCTTTCTGGTCTTTTGAACCCTTCGATCAGGCAGCTCGCGCTGTCACGTACACCATCGGCAACGTCTTCCGTTGGTACGCCTCGCTCGCACCGGTCACAGTCACAATCATACGCAGATACCGATGCTGGCGATGGTCAGGGGGAGATCCAACTGCTTGCCCGACGGATCCTAGAGTTTGTTGATGGGGATGTTGATGGTGGACTTCCGCGAAGCGTGGCCGGATCTCATATGGCTGGGTCTTCTGTTAGCAGTGCCAGGGACGAGGAACTCAGAAGGAGCGTGCGGGAGGCATTCTCGACTGGTTCGCACCACTAGCCAGGGCGGCTAGTAGGAATGGTATATATCCTTCGTTCACGGCCTGGGCTTTGCCTTTCCGTTGTATATCCTTTGCCTTGTTCATCGTTGTGCATCTTTTCTTAATCGTATACTTATGTCTTTAGTTGTTTTTTTTTGTTTCGTGGTTCCGATGCCTCGTGTTGGTTGAACGGTGATGATTACGACTATGCTTGTGCATATAGTGACGAATAGACTTTACTGATTTAAGGACTTGCGCAGCTCTGTAATTTCCTAATGGAGTAATTTGAATGACTAAATTTGGATCTACCATTGTTCCACGACGCTGTGATCACAATTGATCATGGCTACAAAAACCACTCATGACAATAGTCGATGCTTTTAGTTTTCGTCTCCCTTCATTATAGACTTGCGTTGGTACACGGTTGAACCGTGCCATAGACTCGTAGAACGTTTTCAAAGCGCCTGACCGGCCTCGTGTTTTTAAAGGCCTCGGCAATTCCAAGTGAGGCAGACACACTTTCGAAATCCTGAACGGGTTTATCGCGTGGTTTCCTAGCTTTGCTTGATAAGGTGTGCTTGTATTAGAACTCGAGTCTCTCCGCACTCTAACTCTTTCCATTTCTCTCTACTTATTATTGGACCACCAGGCTCAATAAGTTTCTTTCCTGCTCACGCTCTGGATCGTGGCCCGGTGCTTCGATCACTCGTGAGCTCTTTTATTCGCAGAGCACCTCCAACTCTTCGCTAGACCTCCACACCCCCATCTAATTACCGTCTTCACGAATCACGACTCCCAATGTACACTTTCCTTCCCCTCATTGCTCTCGCACTCTCCCCTGTGTCCCTGGTGCAAGGGAAATCATTAATGTTCACCCACGCACACAAGGTCGCCGTCAAACACAGCGCTGGCCTCGCGCGCGACCTCCGCGTGGCATTCGGTAGCATCCTGGCCACGCAGCCCAGCTCCTCATCATCAAATCTGAACTTCTACTGCGTTGGCTCTGATGGGGAGGGTGTCAGCATGCCTTCATCTGGTAACTCGTCTTCATCTCCAACCACGAACGGAAATGCTACCTCCACTGGATCGGCTGCGCCATCAAGCACAAGCGTTCCGTCATCGTCTTGGAAGGTAGCAAATAGTTACAGTGGGCAAACGTTCTTCAATGGCTGGAGCTTTTACACCTCAGCGGACCCGACAAATGGGAACGTTCAATATGTAGATCAAACCACCGCTCAGAGCGCAGGCCTTATCGAGATTAACTCGAATGGGAACGCCGTGATGCGTGTTGAAACAACGCCACAAGTCCAGACCAATCGGCAGAGTGTGCGGATCACGACTCAAGCCACTTTCGATGGTGGCCTGGTTATAATGGATGCCGTGCATATGCCTACTGGATGTGGAACGTGGCCTGGTATGTAGCGATGTGTTTCTGCATTTTGTCGGTTTTCACTGACATCGGCGTTAGCTTTTTGGACAAATGGCCCCAATTGGCCAGCCGGAGGCGAGATCGACATCATCGAGGGCGTGAACAACTACACGAACAATCAAGCGACGATTCACACTAACCCAGGGTGTATATTACCCTCCACCAGCAGCACCTTACTTAATATGTCTGGAACATTGGTTGCGTCTACTGACTGCTCAGCAGCTCAGACCGGTAACCAGGGGTGTGGAGTTCGTTCTAACTCGAGCGTCTCATTTGGATCAGGGTTCAACGGAATTGGTGGCGGTGTTTATGCTAGTAAGTATTTTTGCTAGTCTCCTTTAAATACACTAATGGTGGGTGCAGTGCTCTGGGACAACTCCGGCATTTCAGTATACTTCTTCCCCCGTGGATCAATACCATCAGATATCTCTGCCCGAGCACCTCAGCCTCAGAATTGGCCGGCTCCCATGGCCAACTTTCCCTCAACGGATTGCAATCCTTACCAATATTTCAATACCCATTCCGCTATTTTTGATACCACGCTTTGGTAAGTTTCTTTTAACACACAACTGAGTATCTTGATGGTAATTGGCATGCAGTGGTGACTGGGCAGGCTCCGCTTGGAGCGGCACAGGTGTGCCTGGGCAATCAGTGAGCTGCGCACAACAGACTGGTTTCTCGACGTGCTCTGCATTCGTCCAGGCGAGTGGTGGCTCTTTCAGCCAAGCTTGTAAGTCTCGCGGCTTATCTTTCTATCCAACGTCGCTAACTGGCTACAGACTGGGAAGTCTCCAGCGTTACGATATACCAGAACACATCATGAAATATTCACGACACTGGAAGAATAGAGTCTTATATAGATCTATCGTTGTATTTACTAGGGTGTATATTGTAGCTCTAGAGAACGTCTGGAATTGCACGGCAACACACGCTAGCCGATGTTTGAAGTTACTAGGGCGTGATCGTAAAGATGTCCAAGTCGAGCTCATCGTGGAGGATACGCAAGTAGTATATTCCATCTATGGCTCTGAGACAGTCCTAATTCATAAGATCGCCCCTCTTCTCTGCCTCGCCAGGCTCCATGCGAGCGGAATGACTGCCAAACTGCATTGCCTTTTTCTTCCTCATGCTCGCCTCAAGAAGCCCCACCTTTCGCGCAGCAAGCCGCAGTAGCATTTTATCCCCGATCCCCAGCTCCAGCCGTGGATCAAGCTTGAGATGCACGGGAAGTCCCGCGAGAAAGGAGACGACCGTCAGCGAAAGGAATGGATGACGCGTTTCCTTGCCATGTGAAGAAATCACGCGGTCGTCTCGCCCGAGGTTACGAGCTGGTATGCGGTCGAGTTCGAGCTGGAGCTGAATGACAGCATGAGGATGTAAATTGTGGGAGGGGAAAGTGGTTTACCTCGTCGATAACGCCCTGCCAGCCTCGAGTCGCGTAAGCAGTACGATGACGGCCGTATCCACCAAGTAGCTCGTCAGACCCAAGGCCATTGAGTAGGACTCGTGCTGTACTAGTGTATGGCTGATAGTCATCAGGTGCTGCTGACATTCGGACTCGGCCAACCCCTTTGGAGGCAAAGTAAAGCGCCATGGCAAGACTCTGAGGGTGCATGGCATCAGAATGTTGACTAGCTTAGGAAGGCAACCTTACAAGATCCATCACTGTTCGACCAGGGAACATGATAGCTTCGACAGCTGCCCGCGCAGCTTGAGACTCCTATTGTATTACAGTTCAGAAGCCTGGCCCATCTGAGTCAGAGGGTAGAAACAGACCTCGTATGGAACATCCACCTCGACCTAGGTGAAATGAGCAACGTTCTTGTCGAAAATTTGATACTCACAAAATTCCATATTCTACCGGGACATATCCGCCTGAATTCTTCGACCTCCTGCAAGCCTGTCACACGGTCTGGAACCAGATACGATGGAGATTCCTTGATTGCTCCACTGATCTCTGCTGCTTTGAGTTGTCGCTTCTTCTCACGTTTGGGGATAGCTCCTATGTTACCATCAGTTTGAACCTGGATCTTTCGCGGATTCTGGAAGGCCACATTAAGTAGATCTATGGGTTCATCCAGTGGTAAATGTCTAGAGACCACGAAATAAGAACAAGCGCCACAATAGAGTATGACTCATCAAAGTACCGGTGAGCAAGGAAGGCTAGCATAGTCGAATCGATGCCACCACTAAAGAGGACTGCGACCTGCGCTCTCCCCTTTTCGGACGACGTTCTTCGTGGAATATTCTGAACACGAAGCATTACACTTTTGTCCAGGTGATCGATAAGATTATCAACAGCGATGGCCAGATCATGCGGTAGTATTGCATGGTCCAATGAGGGCACAAGCGGCGGTACATCCGGAGGGAGTGCGGTGTTCACGCGATTAAGCTTTGCCTACAATAGGCTGTCAGTCATCAAAGGCACATGTCATCTCAAATGTACTCACGAATGTCAGAATTTGCCGATCAACTTGTCGTGGAATACATGTCAAGCTGTTGTCGAAATGTTGCGTGATCTACTTAAGTCAGGAACTAGGATGGAACGTGAAGCGCGAGATAATTTACTTCTTTGGATTCGTATAGTTGTCCCACATCAAGGCAGAATATCCCATCAGTGGATAGTTCTTCCATGACGTATCCTTGATCATCTCCAACGGAGACGGATGCAAGTAAAAAATATGGATTCAACACAGACGGCTTGTGAATGAGCAGAGATCGGCGTCCAAGGGTGTCTCGAGCAAAGTATAACTTTTGAGATTCGGCCTATGCATGTAAACGTTAGAAGATCTATTAAAATACTACCAGTGCAACCCACATGGTAATAGACGAATGCATATCTATTGCGTACTGAACTTCAGCAGGGAAAGACTGTGCCCGCAACGAAAAGAACTCACGGTCCCTCGATCCTCCCCAATAGGCAAGGGAGATCGTCCATTGCAGAGAGTGTGTGTATGCTTTGGAAGAGTTTCGCGCCATCATTTTCATGTGCATCGACCTATGTCAAAATGGTATTAGTCCTGGCCACGAAGGTAGAAGCTTCTGACTCGCATTCAAGCCTTCGAAAACCTCGCCATTCCAGCAAAAGACATTCCCGTCCTGCTGATGAGGCTGCAGTATGTGTGCGTCACCTCGAAGCCGGAGCTCAGAAGCAAAGAACTCGAGATCGAGTACCGGGCAGCATGTCTTGCTCGGAAATGGGGCTTGTGCTTCACCAGCCTGAGAGCATGTCCTTTGGACTCGGACATGATGGGTTCCTTGTGCGTCGGGACCTGTGGAGTCGTACCTCCTTATTAGCCGTCGAATGGAAATGCATCAAACATACCACGAGCGGCATTGGCGACTTTTAATCGCTCGGACAACTTGTGATAAACGGTATCGTTCGATCTACCATGAATATTATCGGTGTCGCCACAGCATCCTACGTGAAGCGAACAGAAGATGCCGCACATGAAGAGTCTGAGATTTTCTAGTATCGATCGAATCCGTCGACCATTTGATTCGGTTGAAACTCATCCGGGCCGCCTCTGATCCTCGTGCCAAAATTAAGGGCAAGTCATTGGTTTATTTTGATAATTCCACAACATGATGCGTATCGTACTTAATAGTGCACCCGAAGTACAGTTGCAATACAAAAAAATGAGGAAACGCAGAATAGAATCTATTGAGACAAGACAAGTTAGTGTTTCATGTCCACCTTTAAGCGGAGTACGAGCTGGCAGAGACATTGCCTCCACGACCAGTCCAGTTGATGTCTGAAAGTTACACGGTTAGGGACGTGCAGACAAATAGAGACGGAGTACATACGGATGTCGGTGTCCTTGGGTAGGCGGGAGTTCTCCTTGCCAGACACCACACGGAAGGTGTGTGCACCGAAGTAATCACGCTGAACAGTTGGTGAGCATGGTGCCTGGTCAGATGTCATGTGTGCGTACCTGAGCCTGGATGAGGTTGGCGGGAACCACTTCACTCCTGTATCCATCGAAGAAGGCAAGAGCAGTTGAGAAAGCGGGGGTGGGAATGCCCCAGAGGCAAGCCTGAGCGATGACACGCCTCCAGCCAGGTTGTGCTTTGTGGACGGCTGCATACAATGTCATTAGATGGTACTGATCAATGGCTATTATACGAACCTTTGTTGAAGAAATTATCGAAGAGCAGAGACTCGAGGTCCTTGTTCTTCTCGTAAGCGGAAGTGATGTCACCGAGGAACACACTCTGTGACAAAAATGTAAGCCTCGGGGACAGAATAGGTTGGGTTTGAGTACCTTGATGATGCATCCGCCTCGCCACATACGAGCGATACCAGCGTAGTTCAAGTTCCAGTTCAACTAGACTTCCTGTTTAGAGTGTATACTTCGGATATAGAGTTACCAACCTCCTTGGCAGTCTCCCTCATGAGCATGAAGCCCTGTGTGTATGATATGATCTTGGAGGCATACAATGCCTGTTCAAGGTCATCGATAAACTGTTGCTTGTCGCCGCGGAAGGGTTCCCTTTGAGGGCCATTGATAACTTTGCTGGCGCGCACGCGCTCGTCCTTGATAGCAGACAAGCAACGTGCAAACACAGCCTCACCGATAAGCGTGACTGTTAATCGCGGTTAAAGATCGCACTTAGTTCGGATAAGTATTGGCATACCGGCAGTGCCAGCGTCAAGGGCAGCAATTGCCGTCCATTTTCCGGTACCCTTCTGACCAGCCTTGTCAAGAATTTTGGTGACGAGAGGTACACCGTCGTCGTCGTTGAATTTGAGAATGTTGGCGGTAATCTCAATGAGGAAGGAGTCAAGGACACCCTTGTTCCACGTTGTGAAGATGTCAGCAATCTCACTCTCGTGGATACCGAGGCCACGTTTGAGGATATCGTAGGCCTCAGCGATCAGCTGCATGTCACCGTATTCGATACCTGGAATGATTTCCTTAACCCTACAAGCTACAGGGGTAAATAAAGATAATCACCATTGTGAACCATCTTGACGTAGTGGCCAGAACCAGTCTCGCCAACCCAGTCACAACAAGGTTCACCGTTGACCTGAGCGGAGGTTTTCTGGAAGATCTCTTTGATAGCAGGCCAGGCAGCGGTTGAGCCACCAGGCATGAGGGAGGGGCCATGACGAGCACCCTCCTCGCCACCGGAGACACCGGAGCCGACGAAAAGGAGGCCCTTAGCCTCAAGCTCCTGGGTGCGGCGGATGGAATCAGGGTAGTGTGAGTTACCACCATCGATGATGATATCGCCCTTCTCCAAGTAGGGCTCGAGTTGTTGAATGAAGCTGTCGACAGCAGGGCCAGCCTTGACGAGGAGGATGATCTTGCGAGGGCGCTTGAGTTTAGCGCAGAGCTCCTGGATGGAGTGTGCGCCCTGGACCTTGGTGCCTACAGGAAGAACTTGAGTCAGTGATAGGGATGAGGGGTATGAGGTCATAGATAACCTTTTGCCTCGTTGGCGAGGAAGTCGTCGACTTTGCTGGTGGTACGGTTGTAAGCAACAACGGTAAAGCCTTTGTCGTTCATGTTGAGGATCAGATTTTGACCCTTTCACCAAATTCACATCATGCGACGACTGATCATATGCATAGATATCTTACCATGACGGCGAGACCGATGAGGCCGATATCACCTCTGCGGGAGAGAGGGGTCAGCGTATTCATTCTACATGATCGTCGAGCAGGACGCACACTGGGGCCGACATTGTGTGATTTTGAGAGATGTGGTTAAGGAAGAAGAGAGGATGATGGAGTTGTGATGGAAAGATGGGTTGCAACTTCAGCGGATTAATAACTAGATTAAAAGTCTACCGGAACACAACGGCGTGAGACTCGAGATACCAATTTGCTCCCATGCTCTGAATCAGCCAAATGGATAGTGATGGCACAGCCCAATGGCTCAATTCACTTATGAGATCAATACCAGAAACTTCGAGACCAAGCTAAATCTCTGATAATCGTTGGCATAATTATCGCAAAAGATGCCTAGCACCTAACGTGAAACCATATTCAGTTTAGCTGGGGCGCATTCTTCGAAACGCGTCTTGACTAGCGCATATGAATGACAAGACAGATTGTCGTGGGCAATATGCCCGACAGCGAGAGAAAATCATTTCAAAAATGCATGTTCGACTGCGAAAACAGATGATTGAGACTCACCGACGATCTCACACAACATATTGTGGTGAGGACAAGGCTGCCGCCAGAAGTGAAAGACGCTTCAGTTGAGCCAATCGCAACCCGGTGAGACCCGGAGACTTTCATGTGTCTTTACGTTGCATTTCCCAGTCCTTTAGCACCTAATGAACGCGTGGGCTGGAACCGTGTCTTCTCTGACCAAGCTTAAACTAACCATTGCCACGGGACGAGAGCAAATCTTGCTCAGTAACACAGCTTATAGAGCTTCTGGCTATAGATATAACCGCTTACTGCTTACCGTGCCTGCGCTTCGACAACGTTGATCCCATTATTGCCACCTGAGCGCAAGTGGCACATGTCATCTACTCGCATCTCCATCGATACGGCCCAGAATTCGGGCGCAGTGTGTGAAGGATGGGTCCTCAAGAAGAGAAGGAAAAAGATGCAAGGTATGTTCCTTGACCCTGATCTCCCAGCTCATGGAACTCCGCCCGTCCTGTAGGCTTTGCACGGAGGTACTTTGTCCTCGACCAGTCAGGATCCTTGTCCTACTCCATCGACCCAAAACGACCCATACGCGACCAGATATTCCTTCCTCATGCTGCCTTGTCCACTGCTATTGGTCGTAAAGATATACACGTAGACTCGAGTAATGCCACGTTTCATATCAAGTGTTTGACCGCAGATGACTTCAATACATGGATAACTGCAATAAGGTGAATCAGTATTCTGGAACTGTGAGGTGTTTGACACTAAGAGTGGCACGCGTAGACAGTTTGTCCATCCTGAAGGACGACGGTCCCTTGCAGGAAAGATCACGCCTCGGCTGAGTCAATCCCAGTTCAATAGATCCGGGGTTCAAATAGCTGAAGATCTTGGCTCTGTATGTACTCACCCTATTGCTCAGCACAAAGGCACGTCGCTGATGCGCTCGACAGACAATATCTCAGTTGGAAGCTGCTTTTGCCGCTCTCCAATCCGAAAGTATGCATGAGAGAAGTCACCCTTCACTGAAGTCCAAGTCGGAGAAGGATAAGCATCATCACCATCCGAAAGATGTCTTCAATATGTTCAAAAAATGTATTCCTCCGTCCTTCCTTTGGATCATTGCATTTATTGACTCAAGTCCTTTCAGCCCACCAGGCTAACGAGGATGGCACGTTGCCAAAGAGCAACTTTGACACTTCGTTGAACATTCGCTTTCAAGAAATTAACACAGCCCTTGCATCTATCAAGTCACAACATGCTGCCCTACTCAAGTCTTTAGCGCATGATGTCACAGCACCACCAACAGCCCGCGGCTCTCCTCTTCCTCCTACAGAAGAGAAGGAAGAAGAACCTCTCTCAACTTCTCGTTTCAACACAACTCTCTCTCGGAGATCAAACTTAGCGATCTCCATGTCGAGTCTGAGCGACAGCGCACATAACGAATGGTTTGATGCTGAAGAGGGTCTAGGCGAGGAGTTTTTCCTGGACGTGGCCAACCCAGACGAGGAGAGGGAGCTCATAGTTCCACAATCTGAAAATAGCAGCTTAAATCAAACAGCATCTAGCGATGATGAGCATTCCCCACCTCTAGTCCATGATACAGATCCCTCCGTGAATGCTCGTCAAGTGGTGCGACGGAGCCGCTTACCTTCGGGACCGATCGGTGATGAGGGCAGTTTGTTCGCCATTCTCAAGAACAATGTCGGAAAGGTAACTTTTGATACTTTGGGTACTAAAACCCTTGGCTAATGAATTTGTCGAAGGACCTGTCTACAATCGCATTGCCCGTATCATTTAATGAGCCCCTGACCTTGTTACAACGTACAGCAGAAGAACTGGAATATTATAACTTACTACACCAAGCGACTGAGGCTAAGGATCCCATTCAACGCTTGTGTTTCGTTGCTGCGTTTGCCGTGTCCGGGTACGCACACACAAGATATCGGACCGGTCGCAAAGGCTTGTAAGTTAGGAACATCATATTTTACTTCTTCCGATAGCCCTAACAACCCGGTTAGCAATCCAATGCTCGCTGAAACATTTGAAGATGTGCGAATGAAGTTCCTGGCTGAGAAGGTGTCCCACAATCCTGTCATAATTGCATACCACGCAGAAGGCAAAGGCTGGGAATTGAATGCTACTTCAGCCGGCAAGACCAAGTTTTGGGGTGAGGATCATGCCTGATAGCGGTGCCGGTGGTTGACGTGCTTGATTTAAATATAGGCAAGAGCTTGGAAATCATCCCACTTGGGACAACGCGACTGAAGATTGAGAATGACACATATGAGTGGTGAGCAATGTTCATTGTGCCTTTTCCGTGTAAGATTTTGACACTAGCAGGAACAAACCTTCGTCATTTATGCGAAACCTGATGATGGGCACAAAATACCTGGA